GTTTGAATAAGAAACCATTGTGCCATTAATGTAACTGTTCTATTGAATAAAATTGAATTAATCGTTGAATTTCACAATGTACTGAGCGAGTACGTAACTGATTGTACACAAAATACAAATAAAGTTTATTATATAGAACTACATAAACAACTCAGGTGACAGCTTAGGTTTTTCAAATTAAAGGTATGTGTTTTGATTTACAACCCAAATATTCGACTTCATAACTTAAAAATCCGACACGCTTTGGGGGTTGGTTTAACGTCGTAAGAACTGGCGCGTGGAAGAAAACTTGTTTACACATAGGTTAAGTATTGTTTGCGCCAGGTTTGCGCAGTGTTCACCCAAGAAGTAGACTTGTAGGACGCACATGGCACGCACCTCGAAAATGCTTCACACACTCCTAATACTAGAATATAATCATTGTCCAGTGTGTTTCATTGCTAGATGGCTGGGCACTTTATCTTGTTTTTTTTTTTTCTGTTGAGTTGTACCTTTTCGTGTCGAGTCGAATCTTGTGTATAAGATCACACTTGACCTCGCCATCAACAAAATTAATGATTTCGCTGTAAGCCTCGCTTTAAAAGTTTCCAAGACGAGATTTTTGCAAAGCCAAACCATTAAAGGTATACTACTACCTCTTCAGGCTTCCATCCACATACGCGATTTACGTCACCTCTTCAAACCGCATAAAACGCTTAGGAGTACGCCTGGATATGAGACAGCGTAATACGTTGTAGTATGTCCACACGACAGGGGACATTTGCTAGAGAGGAAGACATTTTACATAGTGAAAGAATGGCCCATGCCCAAGGAAAATTTTGTGACCCTTGCTCGGCTCCAACCTGCGGACGAATCAGGCAGTGACATGAAAGTTAAAGTACTTTATATTTACAATAAAGGGCGTAAACCTGCAAAAATCACTTTTGATGAACATCACCAATTCGGAGGTTAAAGGCGTTTTACGATAAGGAATTGAAAAACTATTTAGGGCGTGAAAACGCTCATAAAAACTATGAGGACACAAGTCTTTAGGATGACCAAAAAATTGACCAAAAGCGTTTTTCAACAATTATTTAATTTAATGGATATATCATTTTATAGAGAGATTCTATTCTTTAATCATGGCACCTGATAAGTCTTCCTTTTACTGGTGACATATTCTCTTCTTCAACTTTCAGACTTTAAATTTCATGTCGATTCTAAGGGGTAGAGTTCCTTTAAACAGACAATACTAAAAGTCATATAAAGGTCAGAGTTTCAGACTATACTATTGATGTCAATTTTGTCATCATAAATTATTATATTTTTACAGTGTTAACCTCTTCAAATAAAAGGATTATTATTGTATTGGACTGGCATTGCACACACAAGTACACAAATCACAATGTTAATAACACTGCTTGTGATAATCGGTAAGCTTATATTATTATTTCGTTATATTCTATGAATCTATAGGGGGAGCGGATAGGGGGGACATAATTGTGATAGAGAAAAGGGGAGAGAGGCGCAAGGAAAATGTAAAATGATAAGAAAGTGGGGGAGGGACACTGGTTACACTTGACAGGGAGAGAGAATATTACCTCGGTCAGCCGCGTGTGTCCAGATTTCAACAGACAAAAACAAAATCGCCTTGAGTGAGGTTATTTTTTGACTTATCTACCTTGTTAATTCTATCGGCTTGTCTCGATCCAGAGACCAAGACAATCCGTAGGGTGGTAGTTAAGGATTAACATTGAAGGAAAACTTTTATGAATATTTAGGGAATCGGATGTTGGATTTCAAGCCTGAAAAGGAATAGAATGTCTGAAAAATTGAGCGAGAAAAAACATACATTATCTCGGATGTCAAGGTAACCTCTCAAAAGACGACAAATTGTTGAAAAACGAAAATTTTGACAGGTTGACATGATGAGTGCGGTGAAATAAAAATTGGCTGCTGAAGGACAAACACCTGTAGGCTACTTACTGTCGAGTGTCATATTAAGTTCATGACGCAATAAAAATGACAGTTTAATGTGGTCAGAATGAGTTTGTCATCTTGTTGCCTTCTAGTCTCATTGTTGGTTAATCTTGTATCCCAGGGTTCAACAATTTATGTGTTTTCGCTATTATTGTTTTTTATACGCCCACATTATAACGTGGTAGTATATTGTCGTCTCCTCCTGTCCGCCGTCCGCCTGTCCGTCTATCAGTCCGTCGTTTTTATCTGTTTTTAATGAAATTTGCTGTGATCATTTATATTCATGAGATCTTGGTCAAGTATTTTGAAGATTTTTCGATGAACGGTTTTTGAGTTATTGCCCTTGACTACAGAAAACACCTCAAAATTTGTTTGTGAACAGAATAGAGACTACAGTTTGTATCTGATTTTAATGAAATCTGGTGTGATCATCAGATTACTATGAGATCTTTGACGATTTTTCAATGAATGGAATGGAGTTATTGCCCTTGACTTAGTAAAAATGCATCAAAATTTGTTGGCAGTTTATGTCAAAATGTTATGAAATTTTGTGTGTTTGATTCAATCAACAATATCTTGTACAAATTAGTATTCGGTGTGATTTGACACCGCCTTTGATATACTGAAAATTTATCAGAAAAGTGCTAGGCAACCACTAACTTGTCACCATTTATGTCAGCAGAGGTTGTTATCTTTGTATTGTGACATAATAGATTCGGATTTTCAACCTGGTCTCCCTCTGTAAGTATACAAATCGGAGGGAGACACGGAAAAAGCGTCTTATAGTTGTTCGGATGGGAAACCGAGGCCATGTGTGCTACAGACTGTGCAAGTAAAAGATCCCTCGACAGGCTATACCACTTGCCGAATCAGGTGTAAAGAAGCGTACTGCGTAAAACTCACAAATTTCATTTATTTCTAGCCTGTATGGTACACGTTTCTGTACAGTTTCAGTGGACGTCGGCAGCAAATGGTATACCCAACACTGCAGTCACAGCGACCACGAACGTTTACTATTGCGAAGTTGACGATGGCGGAAAGGTAATCTGAACTAATTTTATTCATACAACTGGCGCTGCAGGCAGGTTCCAATCCCCAACCACTTACTTAAGCAGGAGATTTATTTATGGAAGGTTGCGATTTAATCAAGTACCGAAAAGTTGAGTGGGTTTCTTTTTTGGGGGTTTGTCAACTTGATCCTCTCACTGTCCACATGGCTGACACTGGTATTTTTTTTATTTCATGTCCATTTTGTTCAACTTTCAGAGAACTGGTACTACATTGAACAATGTGTGTGAATATGTCAAAGATAATGCAGCCAAATCGTCGACAACTTTCACCGTTTTGGATAACCCAAACCAAACGGAAGTAATGTGGCTATATGCTGGAACGCCACCTAACGCCGCAGTAAAGTGCAACGAGGGGAACAACTGTTACGTTGGGCAAAGCGTGTATGCCGACGGTATATGTGAAGACTATCCAGGAAAAATCATTGGAAATAGCGTGATTATGGTCAGAAAAGGTACGGTTCGTCCTTCCTGTCCATTGAAAGTCTACCTCATTCCAAAATAAATGATTGTACAGCCAGACAAACATCATATACGAGCAAAAATAATTTGCACATTCCTGGATCCTAAAACAATAAACAGCTTTAAAACATAAACTTATTTTTGCACCCATACACATACGAAACTACGTTTTACAACTGTAAAACCAGGACAAAGTTGTTAAGGCGACACTCACATGCTTCTATTAGGATCTTAAACCAAATTCTTTCTTTATATGCATCATGTTCAGGTTGAATTAAAGTGGTGTCGCATCGCAGTTTGCGATTCAAAATGGCCTCTTATGCGATCAAAGGTTTCCTACGATTGGCCAAAATAAAAATTGATCACGACGTTCTGCGAATGAAGTATTTATTAAGGTTTACTACAATTTAATTAAATTACAACCTTTTTTTTAAGAAATACGAATCAAAATGTAACTTCATTAGCCAAAATTAAAATTTTGTCTGATAAATTACTAATCAATTTTTTTAATCTGAATTGTGGCAAATTACGTATTTATCCACTCAAATCAATTCTTGATTAAAATGAAGGACTACTGTTTCTGTCAAATTGTTTTCTTGCGCTTTCTTTGCATTGATTTTGGGATCCGAGGGAGCATGAGTTATTTTCTTCGACATCCGACGCTTGATATAAGCAGACCGACATCTAATCAATAACTTGTAATCAGTTGAAGATCTAGATATCGACCAAAAAGCTATGAAACAATATGTGATCAGATTCCCCGATTGATCTGATCCCCGGTTGTTTGGATTACCCGATTGATCAGATCCCCGCTTGTTTGGATTACCCGATTGATCAGATTCTCCAATTGTTTAGATTTTCCGATTGTTTAGATTCCCCGATGGTTTAGATTCTCCGATTGATCATATTCCCCGATAGTTTGGATTCCTCGATTGATCAGATTCTACGATGGTTTAGATACTCCCGATTTTTTTAGATTCCCCGATGGCTTAGATTCTGCGATTGATCAGATTCCCCGATTGTCTAGATTCTCCGATTGATCAGATTTCCCGATTATTTAGATTCTCCGATTGATTAGATTCCCCGATTATTTATATTCTCCGATTGATCAGATTCCCCGATTATTTAGTTTCTCCGATTGATTAGATTCCCCGATTATTAATATTCTCCGATTGATTAGATTCCCCGATTATTTATATTCTCCGATTGATTAGATTCCCCGATTATTTATATTCTCCGATTGATTAGATTCCCCAATTATTAATATTCTCCGATTGATTAGATTCCCCGATTATTAATATTCTCCGATTGATTAGATTCCCTCATTATTTCAATTCCCAATGGATCAGATTCCCCAATTGATCAGATTCTCCTACAACAATATACATCTACGTGAAAATGAGACAAAATGGACTTATGTGTCCTACGTTCCTGTTGTAGTTTGGGCTAACGAAGCCGGGCATCTTCTCGCACTGTTCAATGAGGAAAATTATTAACAAATTAAAACGACTGTAGATTACAATGATTTTATTTTCCTATGTTCATTTGAGGTATAGCGATATTACGTCCAACGCATACCAAAAAACTATCACAGGTGATATGGGCTGTGCATCGTAATGTTGTGTACAATGGGGTAAATTGCCTACAATTGAACAATTGATTTATTTACCTATGTTCATTTTAGGAATAGCGATATTACGTCCACCGTCCACTAATATATTTTCACCAGTGATATATTCAGACTCGTCTGAAGCCAGAAACTTGACGCATTTGGCAATATCCAGAGGTTCACCGGCTCGACCTAGGCAGGTTAGGTGGGCTTGAGCTTTTGTGTACTGCAAAAGAAATAGAGATACAGGCACGGGTCGTCGTGGTTGTCCTGTCGTTTCTTCTGCTCGCTTAGGATTAAAAATTCAAACGGGCACCATTGATTCAGCATCATTCGACATTTTGGTCGCAAGGGAGAATAAATTCAAAATGGCTACGTGTATACAAAATCATTTTCGCGCCAGAATTAGACTTTACATTATATATGAATACATTTCTGCTATTCACATTACAAAGCAAAATATGATTCTCAGGGGATACTACATAAGATGGATTATGACAGATTTACCACTTACCTCTTCCAGCTGCTCTCTGGGCATTCCTGCTCGTATCTGTAACTCACTCTTCGTGAAACCGGGGCTAAAAATATATAATATGTGCCAATTACTCATATTAAATGGAAATAGTCGTTTTAAAATCTTGGTTTAGCAACCGAGAAGACCCACATTAGATAACCCATATCAAGTTTCAGTTTTAGAATCCTAAAACTAGTTTGTCTGTAATTAATGAAAACAATTCATGGAGATATTGCAAATACCAATGATGAATAACAAGCTGTATCAATAGTTATTGATGGTCCACGTAAATCAAACGTACAATTCACTCGTTATGAAACGATGCTGTCATTTGGTTCAGTTACTGTTTAGTTGTCAAAGTCCAGCACACATATTTCTATTAGGATAATTTCAGAATCTGGTCTTTCACAATCAGGATTTCTTCCAAACGCCTTATGGCCTGCTGTCCGTAGTCATTGTTAATTCGAGTGTATATATTCTGGACGTCCAAAGAAACAAGAAGAGCACTTTATCTTTTATCTTTTGAACAAAGTCATTTGTGTCTTTTGAATAAGCAGGATGTTTTGAAGAAGCAAGGGGAAAAAAGAAATGGTCAATGTACACTGGTACTCTGTAAGATTGACTAGTACAGTCGGAGACGATAAGGCGACCTTTAGGAATTTTAAATGGTTCAAATCATTCTGTTTCTGTATTTTTGTGGATGTTTGGTAGAGTATATATATATATATGACGTTGTCTTGGTTCTATATCAGGTTTCAAGTAAATATATTGTGTCTGTTTCAGAAAGTCTTTGTTCACAAATTTTTGTAATATTTTTGTTATTTTAATAGCAGTTTCCTGATAGATAGGGTTTTGAAGTATAGAGTTATGATCTGTATTCCCTAATTAGGATTCTACTTCCTTAATATAATTCTACCTTCTTGATTACAATTGAAAATTGGAAATTTTATCATTCATCGCCTTAAATCCGTCTAATATTTCGGGATCTATCACCAAATCTGTTGGTGTCATTTAGTTTCAAGTTTCGTTCAAATCGTTGCTTCAAATAATGGGGTACGTGAAACCAACTTTCTGGAGGGGACAAATTTAAGGCCTTTATCCAAAAGGCTTTCCTCGGCGTCAGTCAATTTCGAGTACTTAGATTCACCACCGTGTGTCCTAATTGCATGAGAGGACCCCCGCTCCTAGTTTAAAGGCTCGGTTTGAATGTGATTAATCCAGTGTTGTATGATTTCAACAGCTGTCTTGAGTTCCCAGTAAATCATTCACTGTCTTAATATTAAATGGTGCTGGTGGGATAATGATGATATTAGAAGGAGATTGTTTGGAGTTCACTGAAAGTCTAGATATTTTTGAAGTCTTTTAAAAATTTTTGCTGGAAAGCAAAGCTGGTGGGAATATAGGTAAATCTTTGCATCTGCTGTTGAAAAGGGTCCTAGTCTCTTCATCAATTTCAATGCCTCATGAGAAATAAATTCGCTAAGAGATGTAACTATTTCTGAATATTTTTGTTTACGATGATATTGCTATTGATTTAAAACGATGTTGTGGCTCAGTATGAAAAACTAACAGTAAATTGTGACTACAAATCTTTATGGAGTTGGTATATTTCTATAAACGAAATAATTAAATCGTTCAAATGAAATATTGTTTCGCTAAAAAGACATTTTATTCATTTTTAAAATTGAAGGGCCGAAGGGGTTCAAATTCACTTTTATACAATTTGAAATGGCAACGAACTTACGATGTCTAGTAGAGTAATTGGTTAATATTTAGTAAAATATTTCAGTCTTACCTAACTGTGTTCACTCTGACTCTGTGAGGTCCTAGCTCTGAAAATGAAAAGAATGAGATGAAAAGAATGAGATGAAAAGAATGAGATAAAACGGGGTTTAACGTCCTACGTTTTTTCAACTGATTTGTCACATAGTGAAATTTCCAAGACACATAGTTTGTATACAATTTATGCTATACGTCTATAAATACTTTGCAAGGTCGAATAGCATTTGTGTTTTTGTTAGAAAAAATTAGAGATGGCTTGAAGAATCAGCAAATCAAAACTGTGCCTGTAAAATCGTCTCGTTAAGATAAGGTTTTTTAAATGTAAATAAATCAGGCGCGGTACTTTTTCATACATGTGTTCTGTCTGGTGGTAAAGAAAATATTATTTAACATGGTCTTATTAACCCGTATAAACTAAGCCCGTTACACTTAGTTTTGTGGGCTAGGAAATGAGATTTGTGCCATTTATATTATTTATTTTATCTGACCAATCAGATCGCGGTTAAGGTAGAACAGAAATGAAAAAGGGAGAAGGTCATGTAAACAAAACACAATGCGGTTTTGATTTTCTTCAATTCTTTACCGAGAATCTTAATCGATTCTTTATCGTCCATATTAATCAAAACATTTCGTTTTGTTAACCATCGCGAACAAAGCGTCTATAACGAGTGAAATGGTTGGCTGAGATTTCCTAGAAAGATTTCAGGATCAATGTTGATTATGTAATTTCTCTTACTTGTATGACGAATGGGGGTGTGGAAGGGCACAATGATTTCTTACCTATGGCGAGAACTCGAGTAAAATGGTCTATAGCGGCTTTACTCATACAATAAGCCGAGGCTTGTGGAATCTGCAAAATACAAAAAACCTTAGGAAATGCCCCTGCTATTTCGTCATCGAGTCGGAGTACGTTAATTGATTTTTAAAAAGATTGTGTCAGAATGTCTATCTGAAAAGCCTACTTGCTTGATCAAGGGGCTTGGGCTATAGAGACTCTTGGTACCCTTGGAAGAGCAAGTGTTTTTGCTGTTTCAACTCTTAATAACTCTTAAACTGTAGATCGCAAACCTGGGAGAGACAAATTGGCCGCCTATACTCCGACTCGCGCCGCCACAAAATTAAAGTGGGACGATTCTTGATATTTTGATGCTGCACATACTCCTTCTTTAATATATGACAAAAAAAATATACCAACCCCTCTTTGTGATAAGGCACTGGATATGTTGATTATGGTCCCTATAATTGGAACAAAGAAATATGTAATAGAGGCACAAAAAATGAAATGAATGGAGTTTTACGTCCTACTCTTCGTTGTTCTATCTTGGTCTGATAAAGACGGGCAACGCCATGCAGTATGCCATAAGTGAACGTTTACCAGGACAACGGCATTAGCTTTCCTTTTCGATTTCAATTCAAACTGTAGAGGGATCTTTAACGTACACAGAATGTAGCACATAGGGTATCGGTTTATTTTCCCATCCGATTACTAGGTAAACACGTTTTTAATGTCAGCCCAGTCGACCTGCATCAATGACATGGGGAAACCGGGTTGAAATATCTGCAGGTATTTTGCTGGGATTGAACCCGGAACCTTCAGGTTAGCGCACAGGCGTAATAAGATATATGGGCCAGAAGGGGATTCAGATCTACGTGGATGAGTGGTTCTTTTCTTGTGAATACATATGCGTAAACGAGAAATGAAATGACTAGAGTTAAACGTCGTACTTTTCTGCATCTTATGTACTAATGAAGTTGGACAACGTCATATTGTGTTCAATGCGGAACACCCTTACACCCCATCTTCCCTCGCTTAACATGTCGTTTACTGATGAAACAAAAAAATTCCAAACCTTTAGTTTTAATGAGATGAGGAATAGCAAGTCTAGACAAAATGAAAGGAGCTCGAAGATTGACCGACATGATTTCATCAAAAATGGGTGTTTCGGTCTGCTGGGTTGTCTTGTAGTTGGATATTCCGGCATTGTTTACCTTAAAATAGATATTGATCTACGGATACTTCATCAAGGATGTACATATTGGCCAATCAAATTCATAAGAGATAAAAAGATCGTTTGTTTCGAGCCAACTGGAATTCGTATCTGGGATTACATCATTCCCGGTTTTGCAAAAAACGTAGCGTTCAGATCGTGTTTCGGCCCGTTCCCGTAACTCGTGTATTCGCTTCTCCCAGTTTCAGACATTAATTTTCACCCAACCCACTGCGCCAGAAGAGACCCAGAGACAGGGCGAGTTTATGACGCCCAGAGTCCGGATCTGATCTATTTGGACTGGAAAGCCATTCGCACTATAAAAGAGATTTTTGGCTTGCAAGATCAAGGGCAACATGGTGAGGACTCATAGCACCTTTTATAATCTGTACACAAAGACTCGGTTTGGTGTTAACAACACTTTATCACATCATTTCATGTGAAATTCATTATCGTCTCAACTCTATCAAACCATATCTGCAGTCATTCGGCTCCGATGCATTCACTTTAGCATCAAAATGTTCCTTTGTTCAATAGCGAAATAAACCAAGAATCTGAAACAACATATTTACGCAACAATGGTAACAGCTAATAAACCTTTCACATGAGGAAGTAGAGGGGCAAATCATTTTCCAAGTCCCCCCCCCCCCCCCCCCCCTCCCTGGACCTTCTCCTCCCCCCACTGGCGCCGCCACTGGGTATATCAATCAGAAGTGGACAAGTGGCGTCAGGTGTCCAGAAGACAACAATTATATTAAGAACATACCAGCACATCTAGTTGATTGAAATGTTTGGTTGTTTCATATATCAGTCTTTTCAAATCATTTTCATTGTGGATGTCGGCAGGTACCGTGAATATCTGAAATCAGAATCATTTCTCCTGTTCAAAAAGTACAATCACAATTTGGTATCACGAACTGTGTCTAATACCTTGACATCATAATGCATATTTCTTGTATCACGAAAGTTTTTCAATGCACCAATTTCATTTGATTCCTCAAGCAAATACAATCAATCAGAGCCCTTTACAGAAAGATTCTGACAATATAGTTATCTGTGAGGGCCCCGATTTGTTGTATGTGGAAGCGCGCAATCCAATCAAATTGCTTCATTTACAAACTCTTGTGATACAGGAAAGTGTTCATTGATGTCAAGGTATTAGATACAGTTCATAATAGCTTGACATTGTAAGAATTCCTCATATGCAGTGGACATTCCTTTAATTGGACAAGTCATTTGATTGGTTAATGATCTAATAATTACACTCGTAATGCAGGACAGTGTAAACAGAAAGAAGTCGCCAATATAAAAAAGAATTAAAAAAAAATCTATATCTATGTCATGCACAAAAGTTCTTACACAGAAAACAATAAAGTTACCTGATTGGCTGGTAGACCAGTTGCTTGGCATTTTCCTGCAATTTTCTTCAGATTATCAGAATCTCTGCCAGTGAGAACAAGTCGAGGTTTATATGTCGACAAATGGACTGCTATACCTGCACCGATTCCAGCACTGCTTCCTTAAATAGGTTTTTTTAAAAATTTATTTTAAATTCCTAGAGGATGTTTAAACCAGAGCCGTATATAGAGAGAGTCTGGCCAACTACGTCACAAGGCGCCATCTTGTTACCCTCTCTTAGCTACAAGGCGGCCGACGTTATCCCTCGTAAACGCTCTAGAATTTACAGTTTTTAACCGATTTTGATAAAATTTGGTATGTCTATACAAAAACACAAAAAGAAGACAAATTTTGAATTTTAGCACTTTCCAAATATTAACCACCGAAATATTAAACCTGTAATCTTCCATATTAAAATAGCTAGGGCCTAGCTGTATATTCTACAGCTATATGGAACAATAGGCTAATCACTAGTTATAGTTTATGCAACATATTTATAAGTAATATAATGTATAATATAGTTCATATTGTTTTTGATCAATAGGCCCGTGTGCCTGACGACTGTCAAAACGGTGCATAAACTATAACCGATGATTTTTGTTACATAAAGCTTTAGAATATAGTGAAGTTAGTATAAAGGACTGAACTCCATCTTTGTCGAAGAAATTTAGTCATCATGAAAATGGCTCAAAGCAAGATTTACACCATAAATCGTTATCAACAGAAACAGGCCCGTAACCAGACCAATGTGCCAAGGGGGGCGAATGCATTTGCACGGAGGCTGAAATAGCTGATAGAGACTGATTTCAGCTTCGATTGAGAACTTGTTTGAATTTTGCAGTGGAGGAGGGGGAAAATAATTCAAGAAAGCGCCGCCCCACCCCACTCCCCACCCCTGTCTCTTTTACTTGTGGACCTGAAACAGAAAAAGGCTCATTATTCAGTTTCAATCAGCACAATTTATTTTATGTCATGAAGGCATGAAAGTTATATCACACCACTCAATAATCATCATTTCAGCTTTGAAACCATTTTGCTTCAGCTGTCGGCTGTTGTCCTGGCGATCTGTTTCTCTTTGACTATCGTCGAAGTGATTCTGGAAGAGAAACCAAAATTTACACAAGTGACTGGCCCAAAAGACTTAGTGTTCACATTATAGTCTAAACCCACAGTCTACATTGCCCTTCCATATTTTTCTGCGAATGTCAATAATGAAATAACATAAACAATGGTGGCGTTTCATTTGATCTCTAAAGGGGGTGGGGTAATACTGATAGGCATTTAGGAAATCAATGATATTGATAGGGAGAAGGGTGGTGGTGGGGGGGTTTTGGGTTGAAAATCAGGACCAGCACAATTATTAGGATTAGGAGCCATGGCCCCTTGCCTCACCGTACAAGCACCAATATGGTGCACACCTTTAAATTATACTGTTTGTTTTGGTGATTGGAAGTAAATAATACTAAATACTAAAAAAGTAAATAGTCTTAGAATTTCACATTTATAGAAAAACATAAATCGATCGATTATGTGTAGGCCTATCAGTATCAGAAATGTTGTTGACACTGACAGTGTCTCATGGTGCATGCTCCTCGTCTAGTCCTAGGTTTAGATAGCCAGTGCGTGGAAAGAAACCCTCTCACAAAGTTTTCATATCTATTATATCCAGTTTTTAGACCTGAACATAACACAATTTGCAAAACCCCTGAAATCATCGAATGTACTTACATCGCATAGAAAAGAGTTGTCGTGGGAAGTCCAGTCGGATCGTTTGACCTTTACTTCCCATTCTCTGCGTCTCCTTTTATCCTTAAGGAACCTGTGCATCACTATACCTTCTCCAGATTTGACAGAGCATTTCTATGCCACACATCGAAGCATTCTGTTGCCAGACAAGACCAGGAATTAGGCTTAAACAACGTAAAGAATACCCAGGCTCCTACGCCTAAACGTCGCGGGAAGGGTAACAATATGGCGGCCTTCAATCACGTGACCGCTCTGCGCCAATCATGGTTCAGCGCGGCGAGATCACAAGTTGGCCAGACTCTCTCTATATACGGCTCTGGTTTAAACTAATAGGGTTAAGTGTTGTCTGATAATTATGCAGAATACTGTCCCTTTAACTTTTTAAGATGAAGTCAATGAATCTCTCATCTTAACCGTTAATACAATAATCATGAATCACTGCTGTTTGTATAATAATGTTTAGTTTAGAATACAATTCATATTTAATGAAGCCTTCTTAATAAATGTTCACTCAATAACATACCAATTTCAACCGTTCAAACGGAACGTCTTGGATATCCGATCTAAAAGAGACATTACAAGGTACTTCGTACCACGCTCAGTCCTGTTTGCAGGTCTTTTCATGGGGGAAGTGTATCATCCCTACAAAATTGTACATTTTTTACTGGCATACTTTCACACGATGCAATCATGCTAACTTCATACGAACACCTTTTTGGTTTGGTTTTACAATGCCTGACTGTGGGTTGATTACGTTTGCTAGGCTACTTCTCGTTTAACCTGTGCCGTATTTAATCTCGTAGTACAATATACGTTCAATTCATTCAGTAACATGAACTATGACTCGACAAAACAGTGTAGGCCAGCCAAGCTAAAATTTTGTGATGGCAACCTTCTATGCAGTCCATCATGACATGAGTCAAACAAAACAAAAAAAGCTTAAGACAATTCTTACCAGTGATCAAAATGACTTTATTTGCAAGTGAAGCCATGTTTCCCTTCTTCGTCGTTCCGCCTCTCAAAACTTGAGTTTATTTTGATACTAGCTATTTCTATTTTTAAACTACGGAGCCCAGTATGTACCAATGACATTCTCAGTTAACACTTTTATTACTTGCAAATGAATTTTATTGTGCGTTTCAGCACTATAATTAACTAAAGTAGATCGATGACATGATGTAGTGAGCAATGCCAAAAATTATAGAAATTTTAACAATTGCCAACACCCGCAAAACGTCAAGATATTACGACTATCTGGCCGAGGTTTGTTCGGTCGCTGCTCGAAAATATGATGTAGAGATTATAAAATTTACGGACTCGCCCCGCCTCTCCCTTACGGAAATCCCCCCCCCCCCCCCGCCCCCTTAGTACTTTATCTCACCCCATATTCACGGCCAATATGATATTAATATCTATCGTTTTTCCGCTCTATTTGGTTGGGAAATTATCTATTAATAAGTGCCGTGGGGGTCAGGTATCACTAACTAGGGTGTCGAATTTCTGTCGATAACTGAGTAACAATAATATAAATATTGAGAAATACCCCTCGAGGGGGTGATCTATGACTCTATCTCATGTTTCAACTTGTAAGCACATGCTTTGAAAATTTGATGATTTATTATTCATTTGGGAAATAGTAACAAAGTTTACCTGAAATCAAGGTGACTATCATTTCCAAGGAACTGCTCAAATAGCAAGGTAAGGTTTGGCAAAGCTATTGCGTTTCAGGTAATGACTTCATCATCAGTGGGGTAATGAATCTTTATGTCCTACTTTAGTACATTGAGTTTTACATCCTGAGGTTTACGTCTTACTATTGTGTATCTTTATAAAGAATAACGAAATAAACATACTAGTCTATACCTTATTGAAATACTATTCTACACCTCATAACGAAATAATTTAAGTTTTTACACTCTACTATTCTGTACCTTATTGAGATAACGAAATAATATCGGGGTTTGAAACCTACTATTCTGTACCTTATTGAGATGAAGAAATAACATGGGGGTTTGAAACCTACTATTCTGTACCTTATTGAGATGACGAAATAATATGGGTATTTGAAACCTACTATTCTGTACCTTATTGAGATAACGAAATAATATGGTGGATTGAAACCTACTATTCTGTACCTTATCACTTACTATCACTTCAACAACATCACTCACTACCAGTTCAACAACATCACCCTCTACCAGTCCCACAACATCACCCACTACCAGTCCAGCAACATCACTCACTACCAGTTCAACAACATCACCCACTACCACTGCAACAACATCGCCTACTACAAGTGCAACAACATCACCCACTAGCAGTCCAACAACATCGCCTACTACAAGTGCAACAATAGCGCCTACTACACCAGTCTCCCCTATTATTAGTCCAACAACTTCACTCACCAACAGTGGAACAATATCACCCACTACCAGTCCAACAACATCACATCACTAATCACTACTTTCATCAAAATCTTGTGTTTGGCCACCAGGCTATAGTATTTTGTATGTGTATCGGGAACATTGGTAGCATTAAATTTAACCATTCAAATTTTCAATCAGGCGTCTGCGGTTCTTGCAAAAACACAAAAACTAGGTGTTTGGTAACGTTTGGACAAATTGATAGAAAATGTTTCTCTGCTGAAATCAATCACACAAACCACCAACAACTGTTACTCAAAAGTTTACCAATATTCTGCTAGTGCAGTCAGAACTTGAGGTTAAAGATCACCAGTCATAATATGTTCGACGACTTAGATCATACGGGCTCCGTGAAAGTTATGCTAGCGCTCTGCAACATATCACGGTAGGCCAATGCATGACAGACATTTTTACCGGAACTATGTCAATATTGTCACGTAATCACGTGAATCTGGTATTTCAATTATCAGAGACTGGTTGTTCGCGACTACACGTGTTTGTAAATAAAGTCAATGATAAAAAACATCCGTAAGATATGTTTTCAAACTGATAATAAAATGTGTAATTAGATAAGCAATAGTCACAATATAGCATTAAATGCTTATGGAAGTGTCAGTATTATCTCCCAAAGTCTCTAAATTTAAGAACTATTAGGTCACAACATTACTATCACTAGACAAATCACTGCTAAATACAGGATGTAAAGAGTCTCGCCGAAGAAGACACAGTGGAATTCACCATTCATTACCGATTCAGATTCAGCTGAAAACGGAAACTGCGAGAACTGCGAGAATTTCCGAGTGGACGTAGATAAGCATTTTGATATGTGACCCGATGTTATCGAAGACGTAGAATCTGCATCGGGTTACATACCAAACACGCTTTGTATGTCATATACAAATTTTGAAACACGTCCCCTTTTTATATGGCTCGTTATATTCTACCTCTAGTTCTGACGTTAAGCACGAGTAGAACTTTGGCACCCTTGGGGAAATTTTGTGATGGACCAAATTCAAAATGGCCGCCATCCCCGAAATTCCGAAAGCTATTTCTGTCATAACTTTTAGGGCACAGATAGATATAAATTTGGTGGGTTTCAACATATATGTTTTCAGGATTCAGGGAATTCATTTATGACTGTGTGGACAGGTTATTATCGTAAAAATTAAATTAAATAAAAATAAAATATACATTACTCGGTAAGAATCGACAGAAGTTCCTTACATTGTAACTGTAACTTTTACTACCAGTCCTATAATATTCCCTACTAACGTTCCACCGACATCCCCTACTATCAGTCTAACCAAGTCTTATACTTCCAGTCGACAAACATCCCCAACAACCAGTCCTGCAACATCCCTTATCACTAGTCCGACAACACCACCCACTACCAGTCCCACATCACTCACCATCACTTCAACAACATCACTCACTACCAGTTCAACAACATCACCCTCTACCAGTCCCACAACATCACCCACTACCAGTCCAGCAACATCACTCACTACCAGTTCAACAACATCACCCACTACCACTGCAACAACATCGCCTACTACAAGTGCAACAACATCACCCACTAGCAGTCCAACAACATCGCCTACTACAAGTGCAACAATAGCGCCTACTACCAGTACACCAGTCTCCCCTATTATAAGTCCAACAACTTCACTGACCAACAGTGGAACAATATCACCCACTACCAGTCCAACAACATCACATCACTAATCACTACTTTCATCAAAATCTTGTGTTTGGCCACCAGGCTATAGTATTTTGTATGTGTATCGGGAACATTGGTAGCATTAATTTTAACCATTCAAATTTTCAATCAGGCGTCTGTGGTTCTTGCAAAAACACAAAAACTAGGTGTTTGGTAACGTCACTAATCGCAAAGGGCCTTGTGTGATATTTAAAGCATATTTTTCAATTAGTGACGTCATGTGGAATTGCAGGAACCACAGACGTCTGATTGAAAAAATTGGATCATGAAATTAATACTACCATAGTTCACGATTGAAATGGTGCAAATTGATGCTACTAGTGTGCCCGTTATACATAAAAACAATTTTGAAAACCTCTTTACAATCCCTTTAATGTGAAGTTATGTTACACGTAAACATATTTTAGTGGCGGGTGTTGCGCGCGAAGCAGACAATGCTTACTCTTTTCGAAACACCTGATGGTACTTTTCTTTGAAGGAGTCCACTACTATACAACTTTTACTCTCGATTTTGCCATACTTTGGACGATATTGTCTTGCTTGTACGGCTATGTATTATATATGCATTGTTTTATTTATGTCATTATGCTTTACGTTATTTGATATTATTTTATTAAATTTATTTATTATACTTATGTTATACGTAATATATTAGTATTACATTGGTATTTGTTTTATATTATGTTAAACGTAATTTGTTTTATGTTATGTTAAACGTTTTGTTATGATATACAATAATCACTAAAGATTAAGTTAAATGACAAAACACTAAAGGAATTTACCTCAATTCGATATTTCATGACCGGCCATCTTGAATGATTCTGTATCGATATGTTATACTGCAAGTGCGTGAGTACGGGGCCGTTCGATTAAACAGTTCTGCACGTTCGTGATGTAAAGAAGTATTAGCACATTAAAACAATTTGGATCAGAGTTCAAAATGCGTTACACTTGTGCCGAAAAAGTAGGTGTATACAGAATTCAAAATGTGGAGAAAGGAATAATAGGACAATTTTGAATGTGACATGTACCGTACAGTTCGATTGGAACCAGAATTGGAATAGGCGGTACCTGTTTAGAACTAACTAACTAGATGTTTGTTTATTTTGTATTGCGTTACGTTAAGTACTTTATGTTGTGCCATGCTAGGTGTGTGTCTACGCCTAGGTTTTGCGCCTGTTTTTCTTTGCTTGGTGCATGTTGCATGCTTTATCGTTGCAGTAGTTGCAGCAACATTTCTACATCTGTAGACCTTCTGTAGTGGCAACGTTGTTATTAAATATAAATTGGAACATTTTTGCAAAGTCAGTATTTCGGATCGATTTTCTTCGGAATTTCATATTTGGAATCTACATGTAATATCTGATATGATATAAGCAGTTAAAAAAAAATCACATTTGTCGCACATTTTTTTCGGCCAAATTTTGCAATTTTTTACAAAAAAAAAACTTTTTTGTTTATTGTCGGATTAACCTGAATTTTTTTTTATGCAAAGACAGGTCTGGAATGTAAACAAAAAGGCAGAGTAATTTTTTTTACTTCACTTCCGGTTTAAACGGGAAATCGATTTTAACTTCCGGTTGAAAAACTTCCGGTGTCAACAAAATTTTGCTCATGGGTAGCCATCGTTGTTCTACAGCCGATTTTAAAATAAAATCCATTCCGGAAGTGACACTTTGGCCGCCATTTTGATTTTTCCTGAAATGCGTCAAAATGTATTCAGAGATAACAGCTTATCCGATTTAGATGATTTTGGTGTTAAATGAAAGAACATAAAAAAAAAACAAGAGGCCTCCAGAAGCCCGATATTTTATTTTCGCTTTTTTGCAATTTCCGGTTGAAATTTTTGAAAGTTTGAAGGTTTCATATTTCGTGACCTTGACCTGTGATGACCTTGACCTTTAATGGGTCAAAGGTCATTGACTTTGGCTATCAGTTGATTCTTTCACATTTGACGTCCGACTTGTACTTACGGTTTAATAGCTGTCCGAAAACAGTCTAATTCGCAACTTTAGACGGCAGTAGCACATGATAGCACGTGATAATTAACCTAGAGGTTTAATTTTTTCGGATTCTCCATGTGCATTTCATGCTCTTTCCGGTGATACATTACAATCGTTTTTAAGGCAAAACTGAAATTCGTGATTTTTTTCAGATTTGAGTGTTTTTTTTACAATATATGTGTCTCTTATAATAATAATATAATAATAATAATAAGTTTATTGTTTCAAGGCAGAAGCCCAAAGAACATACATTTACAATGGAAATCATCGCAACATGGAATATAATTATAAAACATTAAGTACAAAATGATGCATTAACTGTCATGAATATATTTGAATACGTTTGAAATATGTGTCTCTTTGAGCTTGGTGTATGTATATCTTATGACCTATTTGATGTAGAACCTAGAAATTTAGAACGCAACTAGACATTTTTAATATGAATTCACCAATGACAAAAAAGTTGAGGTGGGCATGGCACATCCAAGTTGAATTACTAATTGTTTACATAATAGGACAGTGGCACAACTCGCATAGGATACATTTGTTCAAAAAGGGACTTTGCACACAGTTACCTCATCCTTTTGGCCAGTTTGTTTTAACAGTTCAGTTGTTACAGCTTTACAGTTCCAAAAAAGGAACGGGTTTTAAAATTTCCATATTTTCAATTTTCGGTTTTGACCTTTGTTGACCTATATCTTTTGACCTGTATGATGTAGAAGTTTGAAATTTGGAACACAACATTGGGCATGGCACATCCGGGTTAAATTACTCATTATTGACATTTTTGGCCAGGTGCTTAACTCGTAAAGAATACTTTTGTTCAAAATTAAACTTCACATACAATTACCTCATCCTTAGAGCCATTTTGTCTTAGAAGTTCGGTTGTTTCAGATTCATAATTCATAAAAAAGGAACAGGCTTTGGAAATTCAATATTTTCAATTTTTGGGTCAAAGGTCATTGACCTTGGCTTTCAGTTTATGCTTCCGGTATTATAGCTGTCCAAAAGGAGCCAAATTCGCAAAATTGGACTGCTCTAGATCGTGACCTATTTAACTCAGAGGGTTATTTTTTGTGGATTCTCAATGTGCTCATCATGCTCTTTCCAGTGCAAAGTTGAAATTTCTGAATTTTTGAAATTTCGGTGTTTTTTTTACAATATTTTCGCTTCTTTGAGCTGGGTGTATGTATATCTTATGACTTATTTGATGTAGAAGCTTGGAATTCGGAACATAACGAGACATTTTAAATATGAATTATCCTATGACAAAAAAGTTGAGGTGTGCGTGGCACATTAGGGTTAAAGTACTTATTATTTATTTTTTATCAGGGGTATAACTTGCATACAATACATTTGTTCAAAACAGGACCATGCACACAATTACCTCACCCTTTTGGCCAGTTTGTGTCAAAAGGACAGTTGTTTCAGCTTCGTATTTCAAAAAAAGGTACAGGGTTTAAATTTTACAAATTTTCAACTTTTGATCTTTATCTTTGATGACCTTGACCTTTGTAGGATCGAAAGTAATTGACCTTGGCTAAAGATTAATACCTTCATATCTGATGTTCAACGTCAACTTCCGGTTTTATAATGTTTGCATTTTCAAGTTTGATGGCATATATCTAGTGACCTTGACCTTAAATGACCTTCCCCTTACCATGGTTAAAGGTCATTGACCTTGGAAATCTAATCATACTTTCATATTTTATGTCTGACTTCTACTTCCGCTTTCACAACCTTCCAAAAAAAGAGAAATTTTCAAAAATTTTGACTGCTTTAGCACGTGACCTAATTGGCTAAGAACGTTGATTTTTTCAGATTCTGTTGCATATTAGCACATGAGCAAAGTCCCACTCAGTACCACGAGTGGTTCTAGTCTTTGTTTATATCTATATCCAGTATCTAAGCAAACATTTAATTGAAAAGACTTTTTACTTTGTTTATATAATAGTCGACGTTTAATTATTAGATTTTCCAGCTGATATCATTTCAATGTTCCAGACCATGAATTCATAATTGAAAATGTATGTACCAGGTGTTTTGAAATCAAACTTCTCCCACCTCCTTTTATACCATAAACTAAATATATATATATATTTCCGACGGTGAAACGAATTGTTTCGATTATACATGGTGTTTCGAAATCAGACCTCCCTATAGCTACTCCACAGCATTAACTAAAATGGACAAAATCTGTGACAAAGTGATTCAGAACAGGTATTTATGTAAGGTATCTATGAGAATTTAATGTTTAGAATGGCCTCTATCTGTCTGTACCACAGTCTGCATTCTTGAGGTATGATTTCAGAAAATCGCATAAGAGCTGAGATTCTTTAAAAACTACCTGTTCTGAATTAAATCAGTTTTTGTCAATTTCAGTTAATGCCGTGGAAGAGGGAGTTCTGATTTCGAAACAATTCATTTTACAGTCTGAAATGACCTAGACCTACAGTACCTTTACTCGAACAGGAGTGTCAAGATAACATCTGTTTATATTTTAGGTACAGGATGTAGTTCAACGCTGAGATATTCCGGGATTTATCATGTAGACGGTGTATCGGTGGAAAATGAAAGTAGACCTAAAAATCTTCATAATGCAAGAAACTGCCAAAAATCGTCCTCGGGACCAAGGATTCGGATTGAAGCAAATTCGTATACCAAAACCAAAGCCGCGAAGTATAAAGAGACCGCTGCGTAGTTTTAAAACAAATGAAGTATTTTTCCTCTTGTTTGGTTTTTGTGTCGGATATTCCGTAATGTTCTGGACAGCGATGTCGCAACTGCTGCCGCAACGTTTAGTCTGTCTGCAAGACCGATCCGACGTCACTATCTATAATTTTAAGCTACCCGTGAAGAAACAGTTCATGCTAATGGCCGTGATGACCTCTAGAAAGTTCCTCGAAACAAGAGCATTGGATATTCATGAAACATGGGGTTCGAGGGTACCAGGAAGCATCCTTTATTTCGTTGGAGATGCTGAAACGTACGCTGGTGATCTACCTGTAGTGACGTTAAACAATATCAACGATACTTCTTATCCACCACAACGCAAATCCTTCACCATGATAGAATTCATCTCCAAAACATTAACAGATCATTATGAGTGGTTCGTGCGTTCGGACGATGACATATATATCCGCACGGACAAGCTGGAACTCTTGCTCAGGCGACTGGACAGTTCAAAGGCCTGGTATATCGGACAGCCAGGCTATGGTTTAAAGCATGAAAGAGGCAAACTTGGATTGGTTAAGCCATTTTGTATGGGCGGCGTGGGAATCACTTTTTCAAGGAGTGTGTTAGTGGAGGTCGGAAAACACCTTGTTTCAGATTGTCTGAACAATACGGTTACGACACATGAGGACACAGAGCTTGGTCGCTGCATCTACAAATTTACTGGCCTGCCTTGTACCACTTCTTCAAAGGTAGGGGAACTCAAAATATTGTTTAACTCAGCTATACGTCGAACAAATGGTCGTTGTGAGTGTGAAAGTCTTAAATCTGAAATCTTTAATCGTATTCCAATCGTCTCAGCTGTTCATGGATATAGATAATCCGGGAAAGACCCATGCCAACACATTTGACAAAGGACCAAATGGTAGACAGGATCCTCGTGAACTTGAAATTGATATCGTTGACATAAAATGGCGGCTTCTTTCTTTCTCATTACCTGTATTCTTAGCGAAGATTCAAAAGCAACTTTTGGTACAAGTTGAATTCTCCAAATTTTAATATTTAGATCTTTGACAATATCTCACGTATATGGTTGGCAAATATGGGGGTGTTTCTAGTTTTAATGTCCCTTATTGCATACTGCGTTGCCTGCCATTAGCAAAATCTGGGACAGTAAAAGGCGTAAAACTCCATTTCATTTCATTTCATTTGAATGTGTTTTTTTTTTCAGCTGTGGTCGACGTTTGTCCAGAACCCAGGAAGATATATAACCCATGCTATAAAATTTAGTTGGCTGGAAGTGGGCGCCATTACTCTTCATCCCATAAAGGTTCATCCTCATATGCTGAGGATAGACTCTCTTTACTCCGATCTCAAAGTTCAACAACTTGTACAAAAAATGAACAGTTTACAACAAGAAATTTTCGATTCGGATGAGACTTTGAAGACCAAGATGGGGACATTGATGACTACTGCAGGCGATGTTGAGATTCTGGACGACGATGTGGTTTTGGGGTCAGATATCGCATTTAAATTTGAAAATGCACCCGAATCCCGTGCAAAGATAGAGGACCTACCTAGACTCATTGAAAAGGAGATAGAGTACGAATGGGATTCTTTAGACTGGAGGAACCGGCGTCTGAATACTCAAGGTAGCGAATACCACAAAACAAAGATGTACTTCACTTCATCTATTTTTATTCCTAAAATAGCCACTGAGCTCGAAATCAAATACGGTTCAAAGTTGGAATTCAAAAAATTGTTACCGTTTATCTACTTGCGTCTTAAATCAGGAACGGATATAGAGTTCATACTTCAACACAAAGACAACAACAACAAGAAGCATCTCATAAAAACTATCCAAAAGTTTTCTGGTATACAATTCCGAGAGATGATGCCGCTTCCACACCCTGAAACCTGGATCATCCTGCCACTGTTGGGGAGATCAATAGAATATCGACGATTTTTGGACACGTTGGTTCGAGCTGTTGAAAAGAATGGAAAGTTGATCAAGCTGAAGGTAGTGCTTTACGAAGATGGCGGAGGCCAATTCCGTCTGACGCAAAAGATCTCAAATCATTTCCGGAACTCTTCCAAAAATTTGTCGATCCTGACAATTCTAACTAAAGGACCATTTTCGCGAGGACGAGCCATATCCAAAGGAGTTGAGCAACTGTCGTTGAATTCTCTGTTGATTTTCATGGACGTAGACATGTACATTGACGAGTACTTTCTCCACCGCGCAGTACTCAACACTATCCGAGGCAAACAGGTCTGGTTTCCTATCTGCTTCAGTCAATTCAATCCGATAATCGCGTGTTACAGAAAGCATCATTGCTCAATGGAGAACAATCACGGAGACGATTTCGGTCTGTGGCGAGAATTTGGATTCGGGATTGCATCCATGTACAGACAAGACTTGATCAAAGTTGGCGGATTCAATTTAAAAATCCAGGGATGGGGTAGAGAGGATCAGGAATTGTATGAAAAGATTATTCAGAGATCCGACCTGCACGTGTTAAGGACAGTTGATCCTTCCTTAATACATATATATCACGAAAAGTCATGTAACCGAGAAGAGCTGGGAGACAAATTTACGGATTGTCTTGGATCCAAGTTGTCTTTGTATGGTAACATGGATACTCTAGCGACTATTGTGATGGATTTAAGAGTGATAAAGGTATGATAATTAAGATCGTGAAATGTCCTGTGGAGTATTCAGCATCTATCTCTTGATGCAATAAGCTGGTGTTTTCGTCAATGTATCGAGTGGCTCAGTAAAAACGATGACACTAATTATTTTAGAATTTTTCAAAAAAGTATCAAAGCTTTGATCAGAATATTGTGTCTTCTCCAGCTGACAGAATTAACAATGAGATAGCTGGTAGAACTGAAGGACAGAGTTAGTAAGAAATGGAACAAATACATCTTAACTCGACAGTTAATATCTTGTCATGGAAAAAAGTAATTCGGGCGATTTTTGCTAAAAATGGTGGCAATATTGAGCATTAATTCAATTAATAAAGTAAAATTATCGTAAATATTTTCGGCATTATATAATTTTACAAGATATTTTGAAAAAAAAGCCGAGATTTCAAACCTATTTCGACCTATAAACCTGTAATTTGGTGAAAATAGGTCTAATATCACTAAAAATATGATTATAGCATACTTTATGAAATATATTGAATTTGAAAAGTGTTATCGTTTTTCTAGGCCACACCCAAACTACTATCTGTGGAATATTAATATACCGACGTCATCACAAATGACCAATCGGCTATCGTGTTACATTTGATAAGGGACGGCGATACAAAAAGACACCCAATTGGATCATTGATTCAGTTGACCCTATTAGTCAAGATTTCGACCACATTTGGTGCAGGTTATATAGACTTTGTGGATCAAAAATTAATGGTATAATTTGAAAAGAAGGTCTAGTGACATGTCGATAATTGCCATAGATTAATGATGTCGATAGCTAATGTGATATAAAAGGTTATGCTCCACATAAAAAAATGCAATTGACATTGCTCGCATAAAATCCGCTAATAAAATATATATAATATACCTTGGAACATTTTGTTAAATCACAGGTACAGTGTAACACGGAAAAAACACAAAATTAAACCGAGATCTACTATGGGGACTTAGCTAATTGAATACGTTTGTACCATCTATTTCAACTATCTGTATTATTTTTCAAAATTTAAATCAGTACTCTTACAATTTAACAAAAGCGTATTGCTGAAGCGTAGAGCTGAAATTTAGCTCTATCAGGCGGTAAATTATCGATGCAAAGCAAAGATATTTATCACATAAAGAGAACAGGTAAATTATAATAGAATAATAGATTGTGAATAATCTGTTTATAGGCATCCCAACTTTAGGCTTTATATTCTTCTTCTTTTACTAATGGCACACCTGCTGACAAGGTCAATGACCGCGACTAGTTTAATGATTATTTATTTCGTGTCAACACCAAGCTGATTACAAGTTATCATACTCTGTCAAATCTATGTAACTATTATAAGATTTATATAATGACTACATATACCAAGGAATTATATATATCGAGTGTCACATAAAATGGAAAGTTGATCAAGCTGAAGGTAGTGCTTTACGAATATGGCCGAGGCCAATTCCGTCTGACGCAAAAGATTTCAAATCATTTCCGGAACTCTTCCAAAAAATTGTTGATCCTGACAATTCTAACTAAAGGACCATTTTCGCGATGACGAGCCATATCCAGTTGAGCAACTGTCGTTGAATTCTCTGTTGATTTTCATGGACGTAGACATGTACATTGAGGAGTACTTTCTCCACCGCGCAGTACTCAACACTATCCGAGGCAAACAGGTCTGGTTTCCTATCTGCTTCAGCCAATTCAATCCGATAATCGCGTGTTACAGAAAGGATCATTGCTCAACGGAGAACAATCACGGAGACAATTTCGGTTTGTGGCGAGAATTTGGATTCGGGATTGCATTCATGTACAGGCAAGACTTGATCAAAGTTGGCGGATTCAATTTAAAAATCCAGGGATGGGGTAGAGAGGATCAGGAATTGTATGAAAAGTTTATTCAGAGATCCGACCTGCACGTGTTAAGGACAGTTGGTCCTTCCTTAATACATATATATCACGAAAAGTCATGTAACCGAGAAGAGCTGGGAGACAAATTTACGGATTGTCTTGGATCCAAGTTGTCTTTGTATGGTAACATGGATACTCTAGCGAATATTTTGATAGATTTAATAGTGATAAAGGTATGATAATTCATATTGTGATTTCTGAAAGGTAATCGGAGTATTCGATTTCCATCCTGTGATGCAACAAGTTGGTATTTCCCCACCACTGATGCATCTGCCGACGTCAAAACTATTCAAATGTCAATTGACGATCGTGCCTGTATAGTTTAAATTGTGAAGAATACTGAAGTATTCGATGTTCATCCCCTGATGCAACAAGCTGGTATACTCTAACGAAATACCCAAACCAAATCTAATGATCTATCTAAGCAATAAGCGATAAGGGTCTGATTGGCTGTATTTGCTTGCATACTATCCGACCAAATTACATGGTCAAGGTATAAGAGGAGTATGTAATAACTTATCATTATGAAGATGGCTTCATAAGGACTCTATGTGATAGATAATGCTAATGGATGAAATATCACATTAAATCAAAAATTAATATATTTTTCATAAATATCACAGTATAAGTTAATAATGCTGTAAAATCACAACTTTTGGTTACAGACTCTTTGCAAATAAAATAATGGTAATTCTGATGGATGGCTAAATGATCTATCTCAGGCATCAAGATAAAATAATTCTCTAAAGTAACACAGAAATAAAATAATAAACACCACCTTTTATAAATTTCCATATTTGGATGACCGAAAAATTCTTTTAAACTTTGCCAAAATGAGTCTTTGTTCATCAGTGGACATAATTCCTCAATAATCTGATAATTCCATAAAACTACAAGTGATCATGCATAAACTACAAGTAAGTATTGAAAAACCCTTAATATTTTTAAGAGTTTTTCAAGAACTACTTGTCAAGTCAAGTTAGATATCAGTTTCAAAACAAATAACCATAGTCTTATCATAACATTGTGTCGATAAAAACAGTAAATAAAGTACAAAAAATAGTAGCAGGTTCCCATGTTTACATTGTTATCAAGACTGGTATTCCAAAAATATCTGATAAAATTTGAATTATGGGACTATTGATACAATTGTGAAACCAGTAGCTTTCAAATAAATATAGTATTTTTTTAGTTTAAATTGTGACCTTATGTTTAAATGTTGAAAATTAGACTATTTTTAGCAAATGAATTTTATGATGATGTTACAATGTAAACAAAAACCTTGTAGATTTTTGTAAAATGGGAAAAGTTCTTTTTCACAGTGCCTGTAATTCCTAAGCTATCCTGAAAGTTTCACTTATAACTGTGCAGATGGTAAAACTACAACATGAGATACTGAGGTTGGTCGACCATCTTCTAACACTTCACTTTCACTTTGATTTCTAGATTAAAAATATAAAAAAAACATCTGGTAGACTGTCCAGTACTCATTGACAAATAATAAGAAATTTTAGGTTAATTAAAGACTTAAATTAGGAATTTTATAACTGAATTCGGGTAGTTTTAGACATTTAAATGGATTATTTTTGCTTATTTGACACTAAAGAAACAAACAAAATATTATAAAGCCATTATAAAGCCAAACACCAAAACTAGGACAAGCTTAATTTACAATTAGTACTATCTGTTTTTAATTAACCCTATTAAAACAAGTTCAGTTTGATCAGGTAGATACATAGATATAAATAGAATACCTTAGAAATATTTTCAGGTATTATTTACTACGTTTTTGATAATGCTATCAGTTGCTATAAGAAAACCTCTTTACTATTCCTTCAAAACATATTGGTCTACCAATTGACTTACCTGATAGGGGGTTGAGGTAACAGCTTAACATCCACAGGAAAATCTTGATCATTGTCATCAGACATTACCTGATTTTCTACAAAAATGGAAACAAAAATAATACTCATCAGAATGGCAAATATGGAAACAATAAAGAATTAAATGTTGGTCTCGCTAGCATTATTGGTGTGTACACATAATTAATCACATGACAAACTGAATAACTGAAGAAGTCGTTCAATGTTCGTTTATAGAGTGATCAATGTACACAACAATAATGCTAGTGAGACCAACATTTAATATTTATATTTATATTCAGATACTTTTATTAATACAATTTTTACTGTTTTATATGATCCGTTACGTGAATTTGCCACAAATCTTAGATTGCATCATTGTTGTGCTTTGACGACATCATTGTGTCACGTGACAAACAAACTACAGTTGATCAAAAAATAATTGCAATTTTGCATAACTGGTTCATTTAAGGGAGTGATAGTAGAAATGTAAATATACAGAAACGTATACCTGAAAGTAAGAAGAAGAGAAAACAGACTAGAGATCTATATACGAGCATACCGAATTTCATCAAGATGAGATAAAACTATAGTTTCTATTGTGCCTACAAGCCAAATTTGTTTTGTTTTACTAAGTCAAGGGCAATAACTCTGAACCCGTTCATCTGACTATTACCAACTTGATTGAGATCTCATCAATATATACATGCATATCAAGTTTCATCATGATCAAACAAAAACTCTAGCCTCTATCGTGCATACAAGAAATGTGGACCGATGTACAGGGCCGACTGCTATATACGTTCACATTTCCATTTGGGCATATAAAAAAGAATAGGGTTAAACAGGAATGTACTTAGAAATAGAAAAATTTAAAACAGCATTGTTAAAAAAACAGGAATATAAGGGCATAAAGTCCATAGAAACAAAGGAAAAATATAAAATAATAAACAAACAGAAAAGTAAATAATAAACAAACAGAAAAGTAAATAATAGAAGTAAACAGAAAACTAAACAATAAAGTAAACAATAAGGCAATGGAAAGTAACCAGAAAAGTAAAAAGAAAAGTGAACAAGCAAAGTAAAAGGAACACACCATCAACAGAAAGAATAGTTGTTCCACGTCCACTAGGTGCTGAAACTGTATAAGATAAACAATCTTTATCAACATTCTTATCACCATGACTACCACCATAACCTTTCACATGTTTACCTATATCAGGCTAAAGATAAAATAAAATGCAGTATTATACCATGATGCAAATTTTTGCTATGGCAACAGCATTAGCTTCTGGCATATCACATGTTTCCCTATATAAATCCACACAACTTATATAAGCTTACCACTTTGTAACTTTTGATTTTAGTTGATGATTTTTTTGAAAAAATGAGGAAGTAAGAGGTTAATGCCCTGAATTCATTGTTATAGGGATAGATTCACCATCTGTTTGACACTTTAGTCTGAGTATTTTGAGCTGAGCTAATCAGTAATTTAGTGTTCACAGTTCCTAGTCTAAATATGAGCATTCAAATACATGTATGTCTAAAATTATCCATGTTTGAAAATAAAATGTCTAGTTTGATGTATAATATTGAAGGAATTATACATTTCTAGTACTTCTAAAGACTATTTACATATATTCAAGACCCAAATCAACCCCTTTAAAGGGCAAACCATGGCCTTTAAAACATACTGGTTTATGAATAACATATTCCACTTACCAAAGGTTTTTTAGGGTTAGCTGAAGGTATTTTAGCAGGCACTATTCCAGCTGGACTGTCAACCTGAAAAATTAATAAAAAATAGCAATGGCAATTGTAATACGTCCACAAGTGTAATGGCAGCTAAGTTGTCCAGGTTGACAAGAGCTGTTAGTAAATGAAACATTGCGAGAGTAACATTTTTATACAAGAGCTTTCTTCACAGCCTTTTACTTTCTTTTCATTTTCAATAGGGCTCATCATAAACAATTTCATCAAGTTTCCTCTAAATCAATGAAGAATTTTTCTTTCTAGAGTGATTAGGAACTAAAAAATCTAATAGGGAGATCAGCAACAAAATCAAGTAATCAATATGAGTGAAAGATAACGAAGTGATCTTTGTAAGATGATTTCAACACTTTATGGTCAGGGCACTTGAACAGTTTTTGTCACCGAAGCCAGTTTGTAGTAAAATCTCACAAGATTATCGAGCAGCCAACGGGATTTTGAACAGCAAACCTGTTTGATATTTGTCAGCGATTTTTGTTCTTGTTGGCAATTGTTTTCTTCCTGTGACTACACTCATGACGAAACAAGACTCAACAGAGCGTCGTCATCCAATCAAATTCATTTTTACTTTAATAACCCGATCATCACATGATTATCAACATGGCAAAAAACGACTCGTCGTGCCCACAGCTGGTACGTGAAACTCTTGACAAGACTCTAGTATTTAATAAAAATCAGCGACTAAAACCATTCATGTGCCCTCACCATTAGCTGATGGAGCTAGAAATAATTCAAGTAACTCAAATAACAGGACTTACAGCATAACTGACAGCAGCTTGGTGAAGATTTGCAGCTTGACGTTGTAAAGTTTGTCGTAGATAACTCTCATCTTTTAAAGCATGCAAACTAAAATTGCAAATGACATGAAAGAAACAAAGAAAACTATATTTTACAACAATAACAACTTTGATTCATGAGAATCCTGTCTACCAGCTGGTTCTTGACAAAACCTCTTGGCATAGATCCATACCCATTTACAGCTGGGTCGACACGAATTTAATCGAGAAACCCAAACAAATGAAGGCATGTAAAAAAAAAACACAGGCTCTAAGCAACTGTGTTACAGAATCTCACAAAGAAATTATGTTAACGATAGAAAATAAAAATCAACCTCCTTTTCTGAACTAGATAAGCTGAATAATGACAAACAATGCCATGCACTGTACACAACACTGTTATTTTTTCAATTTATAGTAGATAAACTAAGGAGCAGATAAGTGCTAAAAAAACATGGTCAAACCTCTGTTGTAAAATAGCAAATTTCTTCTCCCAAGTTTTATGGATTCGTTCAATTTCTTTTTTCAATCTGAAATATATAGTTGAAAGAAAACCAAAATCAAATGTGATTTACAACATATAACTAGTTGATATCAAATGAGTACAAAAATAAGATATGTGAAGCTATAAGGTGAGTTGAAATAAAAAATTAAAAATTATAACCAAAAGTAAATACCAAATGTGTTAAATAGAAATATTCACAAAGCCGTTAGGTAAGCTATAATATTTAATAATAAGCCAGGCAGCACTAAAAAGTTACATATACTGTAAATATAGTGCATTTGTATCAAGGGTTAAAATTGTCAAACCTACTCATACGTGATTGATTCAACAAGTTCCATCCACCTTTACTACTTTTCAACTAGGGTGTAATGACCCCCTCAGAGAGTAAATTTGAAATTTTGTGGGGTAATGAGGCGTTTTGTAGTCTAGCATACAATTTTTGACAATTTTAATCTAAATTATTTTAGTCAGGCTATATTCGCCAACAAGAAAAAGATTGCAGAGATAACCTAAGAGAAAATCATGAAATAGTAAGGATTCATAGGGAAAGGTGATAATGCAATCAATCAAGCATCCTCAAAGGGCTAATAGAAAGAAAAAGGTTGAAAAATCATGTCTTATATCATAAGAAAATTCACTTAAAGGTGCAGTATGCATTAGCTTCAAAAGAACAAGAATTGTTTTAAAAAATCCCACTTCCCTTTCATATACAGATCCCAGCTAGCAAAACTCTCCTGGCCCAGGTCTGACACATTGGTTAGATTAGTGTTGTCAAGTGTGATTTATCAATCCATTATCAATACATTGGTAGCAATGTAAAAGCATAATAAATTTGAATGTTTGGTTGATTCCATGAATCCTGAATATGCAGAACTCATCAATCAAGTGAGCCGACTCATCACCATTTTTTTTTCCTAAAAGTTTTGTCAAAGACATGTCAAATTCACCTTGAGATCTCAGTTTTAAGAACAGCATCATTTGAGGGTGGTGGCGTTTTTGGTTTTTCCACTTTATTTTCTACCACTTTTCCTGCCTTTTTCTTTTCCTGCAATTACAGAGAAATTCCACAGTTTGGTCCTGTATATTTTCCAACATATATCAATAATATATCATGACACAAATTTAAAGAGCTGACTAAATTTACTACGAAATTTCAAGTATCTGTATCTCTTATCAGCCAACATCTAATTTGTCTATAATCGCATAAAAAAGTTTTGGTGTAAGTGATAGTCTTAATTACTAGTATTATTGCCTGCAAATGTTACCGACATCATATAGCCTTTTTAAATATGAGACCTGCATCAATGACAAGAGAGTTACCAAGAAAAAAAAAAAATTCAATGCCTCATGTCTTAGTAGACAAAAAGAAATTTGGTTTCAAAAATTAAAAATATGAATATAAATATATTTTAAATATATCACTTATTTGATGGATGTCTACAGTAAAGGTGGTTCCTGTTAGAAGTCTATTGAAAGTGTTGCCATGAAAGATATTACCGTTTTTTGCCTCATATAAAAAAGATCCTAGTTACGACCCTGATATATGTTATTATAAACTGTGCCTGAGAAACCTTCTCATTGTCAGCCATCACTGACAGTAGAAACCAGGCTGAAAAATTTAAAGGCACAATTTTTGACCTATGCCAGATAGTTCTAAGGACAAGTTTCCAGGTTACAAAGCAGCCTAACAAGAAGACACATAGGAAGAATCTTAAATTTAGGATGACTTAATACCTGTCCCATGTGCCTAGGATCAATCCTAGATAAGATCATTTCAAATATAAGCAGTGCCCGCCAGAATCACTATACCACTATTGAACTCGTTGCATAGAACAATTATAAAAGAGGTCCTACCACTTCTATCTGTTCTTGAAGCTTTATGTTCAATTCTTCTAATTCCTTGATTTTAACAGTTTCCTTTTCAGAAATCTCTTGAGCTTTCTGAGCTTTGGTTTCCATCTAAAAATGAAATCAAATTAAGCCTTTCATCAATTGTACACTATAATGAAGGAAATCAATGTGTTGTGTGCTCTGAGCTGAAATATGTCTTTTTTTTTTTTGCAAAACTGGGCTGTGTGCAATGAGGAAAATTTTGTTAAGTCAGTGTCTCACTCATAATCTAATTTCACAGAATCTTTAGGGAACATACTTGTGTTCCAATAAAATGAAATAGAGTTTTACATTATACTTTTCTGCACTTGATAGGGCTACTGAAGACAGACTATACAGTGCTATGTGCAATATTAGGACATTAGCAAATAAGGCCTTGGTTTATTGCCCCATCCAAACAACTATTTTACAATAGGGGCAAATAATCCAGGGCACATAATTAAGTTCAAGGTATACCTCCTCCTTAGCCTGATGTAACTTTTCTTCCATCATTTTCTGCATTTCTCTCTGTTGTTTGTCAGCCTACAATTAATATTGTTAAAACTCTCTTCAACAATGATATCATACAGGATCATCTAATCAAACCTGTGATTTTATTTTAGCTAAGTTAATCAGTTATAGTGTTCACAGCCCTCTATCCAAATTTGAGCTTTTCAAATCCATGTGTGTCCAGAAGTATTTGAAAGTTAAAATATATTTTTTCTTGAGAAGCCGCTATATATAGAATAGAAAAGAAGTGAATTTTCTAGTTTGAGGATTATTTGAAAGGATTAGGCCATTTTCATTCAATTCTAGTACTTCTGAGACTACTTATATATATTCAAGACTCAAATCAACCCCTCAAAATGGCGAATCATGCTGTTTAAGTTTGGCTTAATTAAGCCAATCCTTCATTATTCTTCAAAGAGATTTCTTAATGAGATAAGTTATTATTGCACATGTATTTAGCAAACACATTCAAAAGAGTGCTCAACACAAGACAATGAGGACCTAAGGGAAAGCTGTAGCACTGGATATTGACGATCATGCCATGGTATGATACAAGAATAATGTAAAGCCATATGGGGTAATGGGATAACAAAATTTTATCATCAAAGTTTTCAATATTTATTAATTTTTAACTTTAAAACTGTAATATTTGGTAATGTAGTTGATAGGAGTGGTTAATGTCCACAAAAGTTGAGAAAAAAGAATGAAAGGTATGGTCAATTATCGATACATGACCTTCGCTTCGTGGCATGTCGTATCACAATACATCGAACCATTGATATATCATGTCAGCACTAGACAGCTGTGTGAAAGATACTAAGTATGTTGTGTTTCAATTTTTTCTTAGTGGAAGCAAATTTTACATCCTACTTTTATGCTCTTGATTCAGTTCATTATAAAATCTGAATGTATAGCATAGCTGGGATTGAACCCTACTCTCTAATCATCTACTGGAATCGGTTGGAGTTTTGTTAATGATGTATCCAAGCAAATGACATTTAGGTGGCCCTTGATTGGTAAGTTCTGAACATGTTCTATTTGTTTCAATTCTGAACTCAAGTGAACAGTACAGAAATGGTTATGTCATTCAAAATTTCCCGTTTTATTTCTTTCTCCGCCATTCTCTCAGCATCTACTATTTTTTCGGCACACATCGAGCGGCCCAGAGGTGTCCATCACACTATCTTATAGAACTAGAGTCTAACTAGTAATTGTGTTGTTTGCAGTTATAAAACAGACTTGCAGTGCAAAGCTCAAAGTGTAAAGTTATGTATTAGTAACATTATAACATAAAATAAAGGGATGCATTCCTGTAAATATTTGCTTTTCATGCTCTCTTTCAGCTTTTTGTATCTGAATGAAAATCTGATGTCTAGTTGGTCTGTAATCCAACAATTTTATCAGATCACATAAGGCAAGTAAAGACCACCAAACAAAATATCACCAAACTAGATGGACTAGAGATGCTCTTGAATTTTGTGCCCTTGAAACATGTTGGACTTTAGGATTAATGTTTTCTATAGCAGATTATTTTTTTGAATGTTTACCCATGTGTTGTGCTATAGAGTATCCACATTATTTGGATCAACTAAAAATGGATCAGTAAAAAACTTTGTGAAATGATTTGTGTGTCTTCTATTTTATTGAACACATTTCCATGTGGGGGTATAATAAGAATTGTTAGTAAAATGATTACATGTTAGTTAGGTTTCAACATCACTCAAAGTCATTCAAATCTAAATATACACATTAATATTATTTGGAAGCAAATTTTGTTTTTCTTTCTTATGGGTAGAAACACCAAAAATATTACTAAAAAAATAGGTGGGCATATTTTTCAAATGTTGGATGAATGAATGAATGAATGAATGACATCAAGAAATATTAATTGTATTCACAATGTGTGGATAATTTTCAATTAAGTTAAAAATATTTCTTGAATTGGCATTTTTAGAAATTGAATGACTTTATCAAAAATTAGTTTATGCACAATCTTTAAAATTAAAATCCTCTACCTCATCATCTATCTATAGAAATAAACAACATCAAAATTAAAAATACCCCATCAAATATAAAAATACCCCCCTAAAAAATACAAGATATCCAATAATAAAATACCCCATCAAGAATAAAAAATATCATGTCAATAATAAAGATACCCCATCAAATATAAAAATACCCCCCCTAAAAAATACAAGATATCCAATAATAAAAATACTCCATCTAGAATAAAAAAAATATCCTGTCAATAATAAAAATACCCTATCAAAAAAAAAAAAAATCCTATCAATAATAAATATAATCTATAAAAATAAAAAAAAATATATAATAAAAAAATACTTGATCAATAATACAAAAATATATAATAAGAAAATATCCTATCAATAATAAAATAACCCTATGAATAAAAAAGATATCCTATCAATAACAAAAAAATACTCAACAAAAATAAAAAAGATATCCTATCAATAATAAAATTACCCTATGAATAAAAAAGATATCCTATCAAAAATAAAATAACCCTATGAATAAAAAAGATATCCTATCAATAACAAAAAAATACTCAACAAAAATAAAAAAGATATCCTATCAATAATAAAATAACCCTATGAATAAAAAAGATATCCTATCAATAACAAAAAAATACTCAACAAAAATAAAAAAGATATCCTATCAATAATAAAATTACCCTATGAATAAAAAAGATATCCTATCAAAAATAAAAAAAATACCCCATCAAAAATAAAAAAATATCCTATCAATAATAAAATTACCCTATGAATAAAAAGATATCCTATCAATAACAAAAAATACTCAACAAAAATAAAAAATATCCTATCAATAATAAAATTACCCTATGAATAAAAAAGATATCCTATCAAAAATAAAAAAAATACCCCATCAAAAATAAAAAAATATCCTATCAATAATAAAATTACCCTATGAATAAAAAGATATCCTATCAATAATAAAAAAATACCCCGTCAAAAATAAAAAAATATCCTATCAATAATAAAATTACCCTATGAATAAAAAGATATCCTATCAATAACAAAAAAATACTCAACAAAAATAAAAAATATCCTATCAATAATAAAATTACCCTATGAATAAAAAGATATCCTATCAATAATAAAAAAAAATACCCCATCAAAATTAAAAAATATCCTATCAATAATAAAATTACCCTATGAATAAAAAAGATATCCTATCAAAAATAAAAAAAATACATAATAAAAAAATATATAATAAAAAAATACTTTATCAATAATAAAATTACATAATGAATAAAAAGATATCCTATCAATAATGAAAAAAATAATCCATCAAAAAAAAAAAAATATCCTATCAATAATAAAAATACCCCATCAAAAATAAATAAATATATAATAAAAATATCCTACCAATAATGAAAAAAAATACCCTATCAATAATAAAAATACCTCATGAAAGATAAAAAATATCCTATCAAAAATAAAAAAATACCCTGTCAATAATAAAATACCTCATAAAAGATAAAAAAAAATATCCTATCAATAATAAATATACTACATCAAAATTACAAAATAACTCTTTAAAAATTATAACATCTCATCAATATTAATAAAATACATGTAACCCCATTCAAAATAAAAAAAAAACACCATCAAAAATAAAAATGTCCCTATCAAAGGTATATTTCATGTTCAGTTGAAAAACCCAGTTGCATTAGGTTCTCCGGTAGGTATATTTAAGGAATCATGTAATTTTAATGAAAAATTTGAAGAAAAAATATTTTCCAATTGCGATTGACCTTTTAGCATTTGACCTTTCACTTTTATATAAAAAAAGAGAGGAAGCAAGAATCACTTACCAGTCTTTTATTGGAGACTTTACTCTGTTCCATTGATTGTTTTAATTCTAGCTTGTCATTTTGTAACTGAAAAAATTGGTATCTTTCATGATTAAAGTTTATGAGAAAATATGCTAGACCATGGTCTCATATTTTTTCAATAAATCTCATCCTAAACAATTGTGGCAGTGGAATAGCTCAGTTTGTAGTGTGTGGATTGTTATCAGCTAGGGCAATGGAATAGCTCAGTCAGTAATGAGTTCCATTGTCGTGTGTTAGAGAGTGGAGTAGTTCAATGGGTAGCAAGTTGTATTGTCATCTACTATGGCAATGCTCAGTGGGTAGCAAGTTGTATTGTCATCTACTATGGCAATGCTCAATGGGTAGCAAGTTGTATTGTCATCTACTATGGCAATGCTCAGTGGGTAGCAAGTTGTATAGTCATCTACTATGGCAATGCTCAGTGGGTAGCAAGTTGTATTGTCATCTACTATGGCAATGCTCAGTGGGTAGCAAGTTGTATAGTCATCTACTATGGCAATGCTCAGTGGGTAGCAAGTTGTATTGTCATCTGCTAGGGCAATGCTCAGTAGGTACATTGGTAGCAAGTTGAATGGTATCTGCTAGTAGTGTTGAAACGGTTAGTGAATTTTATGAACCGGGTAATCGTCGGCAATAACAGTTTGTTAACCAGTTAATCCCTTTCAAGGTAAGAAATATTCTGATTCCATGGCCAGTAAGTAATCCCTGTTTTTACTTTCAATTGATATGGCCAATGCTTGATGCTTGTATTGGTCACCATCGATTATGCTAGAAAACTTGCTAAGTGAAATAGAATTACTTTACCTGCTTGACAAAATTTTTTTCTTTCTGCAACTGTTCTTTTAATGCAATCATGTCATTACCTACAAAATGAAATGAAATGGAGTTTTAACTTCTACTATTCTGCACCTTTTCTGCACTAATGAAAACAGGCAATGCCATGCAGTGAGTAATGTGGACAGTAGCATTAGGCTATTCTTTTTCAATTCCAATGGATATGGGCCTCAGTTTATTGTCTAATCCTGCCTAAAGTTCTTTTCATGTCAGCTTCTCAATAAAATACTTCCATAAAAGGGAATAATATCTTAACCTATGCCAGAATTGAACCCTGAACTTTCAGGTTAGTGAGCAAGTATCTAACTCCCTGATCTATACAGGCTCCAATTCATTACCTTATGAGACAATCAAATTTGTAAAACACTATTGACTTGACTTAGTAAATTTCGAGATAAATGTCGGTCCACATTAGAGCTATAATGATTTGATACACTAAACGATACTCATCCAACTATACTATATACTATAATAATAATCACAACTTTTTAAATTTAATAATTTTGTCAGTATTTAACACATGAGAATGAGATCTATAGAATTGTGAAAAAATATTCTCAATCTTTGAATTCGGAAATGTGTTTTTTTGCAAATTTTGATGTGGAAATTGTATTCAAAAATTCAAATCATGTCCCAATTTCTTATATAAACACAAGGATTCTGTGTGTTTTTTAATAAAATAATTGTGCGGATAGATCACAATACAATGCATCTATAAGAGGGAAGGAATCACAGTTCATCAACTCATCAGTGAATCCCTAGTCAATGTCAATTTGTATAAATGTGTAATGAGATATCTATCAGTGTAACATATAGAGTTTTTAATTGGATTAGTGACATTACCATTAGAACATTCACTCACTTATTTTGTAAGTTTCCTTTTTCTTATTTTCCAGCTGTTCTTGTAGTCTTTGAGACTTGTCTTCCAGATCCACCACTCTCTCTCGTAGTTCCTCAAGCTCTGGATTAATCTCTGGTGACTCTGACACTACTGACTCTTCATCCAACTGAAATTCAGAGTTATTCTATAAATCAAATAGACATTACCCCACAATCTAAATAAGACCAAATTTCTTTAATGTAGCCACTACAGTAAGGGTCTAACAACGGCTCTTTTGAACATCCATCCCAGTAACTTTTTGACCTAACCTGATGACTCCTGATTTACCCATTTGAACAAAAGCTGTTTTCACAGAGACTAGTTCTGTGACTTGTGTGGCTCTTAAAGGGTTACATGAATAGGAAATATAACTTAATCTACAATTTGAAATATCAATCATAAATACAATCTCAACCTGTATAGGACCTGTAAGGTCATTTCAACTAGGTCACAAGGTTACAGAAGGTCATGTGAAGAGGTCAATATAAAACCAGGCTGGGGTGAAAGTAACTTGAATATGTAAAATATGTGCAAATTGAAAAAGTTATAATGCATTTGAGTGATTGTGGTTCATCACAGTTGGATCAAAATTGAAATTTATGGGTCAGTTCTAATAAAAATGAGGTCATTGCAAAAAGAATTATGTCAAGGTTAAATATGTGGTGTCAAGGGTAAAATTTAGTCTGTGTGTAAGTAGTGGGATAAAATGTCAAAAATTAGATCAAAGATTAGAAGTCAAGTCCTGATAAAAGGTTAAAGGTGAGAATATGAAAGGTAAAGGTTACAACAACTGGGTCAAGGTTATAAAAGTGATGGTTAAACCAACTGGGTCAAGGTTATAACAAGGTGCAGGTTTGAACAACTAGGTCAAGGTTATAAAAAGGTGAAGGCTATAAGAACTGGGTTCAAGATCATTCTATATACTAATTACCACCATAACTACTGAAGATGAATTCCTTCCTTTACTCTAAAATACAACATTCAGATGATATTCAAAAAATATTTGACAATAGGTCATGTGCTTTGGGCGTATAATCCAATAGTAGGCCAGATGATTTGGTAATCAGAGTCCTGGGAGTAACTGGGAGATCAGTTTTTACTCTTCTAAAATAATTATTTTCAAAAAGGGATCACTCAGTGAAGCCTTTGAGACAGGGGGACAACTGTTGAGGCTGAATTCAAAATGTGGAAAATCTGGCAAGACTTCAATGGAGGCTCCTCCAGTACCCTATTGGCGCTTCCCTTGGATTTGGTTTGGAAGCCCACCCCTTTTCCCCCAAATCCTGATAATTACCATCTGATCATCAATAAAGGTATTTTGTTGGTATTGTTGAAGCTGTAAACGTAACATATGTATGACAGCTTCATCTTTCTGAATCTGATTCTGAAGATCACGATATTTCTCATCAACTTTACCGCTCTCACGATCTTGTTTCTTCTTCACTTTGGATATTTTATTCTCTAAATTTTTCTGAAAAACAAATCTTTTTTGCAAATTCAAACCAATTTTAATTATAATGATCTGATCTGAATGTTTCACCTGTAACACTTGCCATCCATAATCTGATGACATTTTTCTATAAATTGTGTTCTTTTAAAGGGATTTCTTTTGATATGTTTTGGGGACACTGATTTTCACCACTCCAATTTTCAGTCAGAGATCTGTGGTTCCTGCAATTTCACTACAACTAACAGTTTGATGACAAAATCTGCTTATATCATATAGTGACCTTTATGATAATGACGCCAAAAAACGCCTAGTATTAGTGGAATTGCAGTAACCACAGACATCTAAAAAGAGTAAGATAGCAATTATAGAAAATACTTAAAAATATAAAGGATAACGACCATATTTTAAGCAATTGACTTTGTTGACATGTGTGACTCATAGATTGCAATCATGATTGGTTTAAGTCAGTTTTTCTCCTCACAATCACTTGGAAAAAATTGGAGTGCCTCACGCAGACTCAAAATACAAAGATTGTTACTTACATTATACAGAACAGCAACTCTAGAAATAGCATCAGATAACTGTTGTCTATAGGCTTTCCTTATAACATCTATTCTCTATAAGTCAATAGAAAAGTAATATTACACTGTCATTTATAATTTTCAGTTCATAACTGATATTCTATGTGTATTAGGGACACTGTTAGCATCAATTTGCACCAATCCAATTTTTAGTCAGATGTCTGGGTTTGCTGCAATTCCACTAAAACTTATTGTATGATGATATCACTAATTGCAAGAGTCTTATATGATTGAGCATATTTTGCAATTACACTTATTTTAGTGGAAAGGAAAGAGACACAGTCTGATTGAAAATTGGAATGGTGCTAATTGATGCTACCAGTGTCCCCAATACACGTTAAAAATTTAAATAACCTCTTAACAATCTCTTTAATTGGTTCTCACCACCATCTAACACAAATCATATACCAGCTGTTTATTGGCTGCTTCGAAAATCAAACCTCAAGCCCTTATAAATAATACCCACTGAAGTAGAGTAGTGTAAGTAGTTCTACAACTTACATCTTCATGCATCTTCTCTAAAGCAGCAACTTTATCATTGATACGGCAATACCTGAAATAATACCAATAATTATATCTTATTCCTACATCCTGAACCTTGAGAGATTCTGTATCACAAATTTCTAGTTTGAAGTATAATTGACAGTTAGTTATTTAGTAGTTGTGAAGACTATTTACATATATATTCAAGGTGTGAATGAACCCCCTAGCCTTTCATAAAAAATTCTGCTTCAAAATCACTTGGACTGAATAAATCTTGTCACAAAAATGTGAATGATCCATAAAGAAAAAGTTAGAGAGTTTATTTACAAATCCTTTATCCTTTAAAAAGACTTACAAATCTAATGATTTTTCTTGTAATTTGGCTTCGTAATCAGCTTGCATCACATGTTTGGTAACGTTAATATCTTTTCTTAAAGTTTCTACATCCTGCAATATAATACACACTGCGTCATCTAAATATACTTGTTACTAGTTCTTATGTAAATCATCATTTTTATAAAATATCATCTGACTTTCAGTTTGTTGATGATACAGGCTAAATACTGGCCAATGAAAGACCAGTGAAAGTTTCCAGGTAGTTATCTACTTTCAGATACTACCAATGACACTTTACAAGATTTGTATGACAAGCAACATGCCACTTCTCTAATTTTAAAAATGAATTCTTCCAATCGTATGGCAACCCTAGTTTTTTAAATTTACATAATGCAAGAGTGGAAGAGTTCAGTAGTGTTGAGTGGTGTCAGACCCGTGACTTGCTAGGGCCATAACTACATCAAGGTAAATAAGAAATATGTTTGATGCCAAATCTATCAATAAAGAAATTTGTTTAAAAAATTAAAAATATAAATATGATGTCTAGTAAATAAGTATATGACCCATTTGATGTTTATGGTAAATATGTTTACAATTTGAAGTCTACAGAAAATGTTGCGATGATAGACATATCAGATCTTCAAAACAACAGGATTTTTGGATCATAGACAAAAGACCCTAGTTAAGGCCCTGCCCATTTCCTATCTGGCTCTCATCGTTGTTAAAGGAATATAACCTCTTAGAATGGACAAACAATTTAAATTCTCTTAGTCAACAAGTGTATATATTCATTAGTTGGACTTACCAGGTGCCATGACTAAAGAATAGATTTCTATAAAATAACATGATATATCCATTAAACTAAGCATGTTTCAAGATTACTTATTTCAATGGAATATTACTTAGTTTTATTGGATTATAGAGGATAATTTAACACCAGGTAAGTTCACTGATGAACAAAGACTCAATTGGTCAATTTCAAAACTTTCAATTCTTTGGTCATCCTTAGAAGTAGTATACCTTTAAGATTTGCATGACAAGCAATCAAAATACCTTTCATTGTTTAAATGAATTTTTCAAGTCATATCAAACACTATATCATGGTAAATTGACATAATGCATGAGTGGGGAGAATTCAATAAATTCTTCTAGTCATACGTAATGCCCACTATATCAAGTTAAAATCACATCACATTGACATAATGCATAAGTGGGAGAGTTCAATAAAGTGATGAGGAGTGCCTTGCTCTCACCTGTAATAAGATCTGTATCACTTCTGTCATTTCTTTAAGATCCAAAACTTCTGTAAGTTCAGTTTGGGATCCTCTATCCAAACTGAAGAATCCAATCTTCTGTTGGTCTGCCAGGGACGGCCTGAAGGATAATTCAGATGATACAGATAGTGTTCAAATAAGTCATCTGATCACTGTTTTGTTAAGATGTTTTTGAAACTTTTTATGTGTATCAGGGACGCTGATAGCATCGATTTGCACCATTAAAATTTTCAGTCAGACATCTGTGGTCCTTGCAATTCCACTAAAACTAATCATTTTATGACCAAGTTATGGCAAAGGCTTTAAGATACTATAGCAGCTGTGGCAATAGTGACACAATAAATATGGCTATGTGTTTCTATTATAACAGGAACGATAGACATCTGACAGAAAATTGGAATGATGGAAATAAAAGCCATGACCCTGATACAGATGAAAGCATTGCTCCTATGGATAAAAACATGACCACAAGTTTACATTCTTTTTTTGTAATATTTTTAGTCGGTTATAGCTTAAACAACCTAATAAAAAAAAAATTAACCAATAGGGCCTATATGATGTTGTTTCTCGTTTAACAAATAAAATAAGTCACTTACAAAAAATATAAATAAGTGTGTAATCAATTTTTCTTTGCATTGGTAGTAACAAATAGCTAATCAGGGCTTATTATGATCTTTAACAAGGACAAGGTTTGGCAATAATTATTGAGATACAGAAGACAAACCTCTTTGGTGTCCCAACTCCAACTGACTTGTACATCACTAGACCTTGGAACATGGTATTGGGATTGAACACATTAGTGCTCTGCACTGTGGCCGATGCCTCGTGTGCCATGATACTATTTTGTGACTTTTCAACTTTCGTTATTCCAAATAACTCGGATAATTAGCTTAAAATACTCTCAAAATGGTTGCCATTTTGATTTGTGACATCACAGATATTGTGATGTCATATCCATTGTGATGTCATAATGATCATTTATTGTGTAATAGCAGGATGTCCAGCACTCATTGACGAAAAATAAGAGCTTATTTTAAGGCTAAAATTTAGACATTTTAGGGCTAATATTAAGAATGTAATAATTAAATTAGGACAGTTTAAGACATTTAAATGGATCACTTTTGTATTATTGACAGTAAAGAAACTAACAGAAAAAAGCTTTAGTGCCATGCAACCAACTCTTTTTGTGAGTTGAAGAAAATTTTAAAAATTAGGTTTGATATGTATGTATCATAGCATTCTTGTTAACAATGTACAACAATTGTCTCTCCAGAAGAAATTAGGAATTAACACAAAAAATGAAGGTCTTTTTTTAAGGGTCCGGAAAAAGACCCTGTTAAATGGGGATTTTCAACACCTCCAAAGATACGTGTTCTCTTACATAATATTGAAGTACCTTTAAGATGATTGTAAATTAGTGTTTTGTTTAACTTTCGTTAAATAAGTAGTCACATTTAATTAGTGACTCTGTGACCTTTGAACTTTTGGCTGCCCACGCAGTTTTAAATGGCTGATGCTAGATCAGTTCTGCTAAAATTAAATTTGATGGAACCGGAGACATGACATAAATGGTGTAGGGAGAAATGATGGTATGACTGAACTACAAAAATATTCATCTTTCCAAATGTACCTGGGTTTTCAGATGCTAGGTATCTAAATAGGTTTAAAACATCCTGCATCTACGGAGATGCGGAATGCCCCCATTTAAAACAGGGCTTATTATTTTTGTAAGTGTAGGTCACAATTCTCTAAACTTTAGGTTAGGCCCTTAATAGTTTACAAAAGAGATTGTATACATATATTTTTATTGCTAACCTGAAAAGGTCAAGTTCATTTTGGTTGGTGCCATAAACCTTCAAAATATGATCTTGTAATTCCTGTTCTGCCAAGTTATATTCGTGTAAACTCACACTGACAGTCGAAAGTACGTCTGAGGCAGCCATTGATGTTGTGTTTAGCAACTAACCGGAAGCAGGTGCTCGAAGGGACATAACTCGTCCATCATGAAAATGTCGGACATGCGCTCTTGCTACTTCCTTTTGTCGCCATCTTTCAAGAAGGATACACGTGCCTTGATCCTTCACAATGGTTAGATACTCATCTGAGCCCGATAATCCTTCAAAATGTGCGAAAGCACGAGGCGCATACCTCCGTACAAGTTTCAAGAACATGAGAGAAACAGCCAATACCATTAAAGGTGCGTACAATATTTATAAAAACACCCCGTTTGGGTTGACTGGCTATTTTGTGACTGTTATTTCACAACATAAGTGATTATGCTGCTTTTTCAAATAAAAATTCTTGTATGATCTCTTCTACACGTATGTATTCTATGTCCATGTCAAAGGAAATGCTGCTTTCAATCCGGCTATGGTTTGTCTGTATCATAACATTACATTAAAAATGAACATGGTTGCTATGCTATAGAGAGATAGGAGGGAGTACAATCCCTTTGAATTTGTTAGTTACCTACACTACAGGCTGTGCATTTTACAGATCCCCTGACAGAAAAGATGTAAAGTGTAGTTTGTCTTGTCAAAATTTTCCCCGGTTGTCTTTAGTAGGTCTACAACACTTAATGACGTAGTTTGTGTTTGTTAGGTCTTGAGAAAGCGGATTGCGTTATAACCACTCGAAAAAGGCAAAATGGCCCCTAAAACAATAGTCAAATAGCAAGCAAAAATTTTTATGGTCTATTAAATCTTAGCACCTACAAAGTGAACAATGAAAGATGACAATTCATACCTTTTTCACTCAAAATTAAGATATTTTTACATCCACAAAATCAATGCTTAGAGTTGTTATCCATACACACAAGCACTCGTTCGTTTGTGAATAAAATTTACGGAATAATATAAACCAATTTGATGGTGGTTAAGTAAATGATGTAATACCTGTATCTAGCATATTTTCTGTGTATTTCAGGCATGCCATTAGCCAGAGCCACAAGATATTTGAAAAATGTCATGGAGAAGAAAGAAATAGTTCCCTTCAACAGATTCAATGGCGCTGTCAGTAATCATGCCCAGGCCAAGAATTTCAAATCCATGCAGGGTCGATGGCCAAAGAAAAGTGCAGATTTTCTGCTTCAGCTTTTAAAAAATGCTGAAAGCAATGCTGAATTTAAGGGTTTGGATACTGATCATTTGGCCATTACCCACATGCAGATTAACATGGCCCCTAAAATTCGAAGACGACTTTATAGAGCTCATGGTAGAATCAATCCCTTCATGAGCACCCCCTGTCATATTGAGTTGATTTTGACTGAAAAAGAAGAAATGGTACCAAAACCAGCTGGTGGTGAAGATGAGCCTGTCAAACGAAAAGTTTCCAAGAAGAAGCTGGCTCGTCAAAAGGCAAAAATGAGGGACTAAATTTGAAGATTATGAAAATAAAAAAAAATAAAAATTCAGTACTTTCTCATTCTTTCCTCCCCCCCAAATCACGCCTACAAAGTGTCCAAAGCGTGTGGCCATGTTTTTAATGTAGTGCAAGGCTTAAAGGGATTATTAAAGGAAATCCTTATCCATTTGTTGTAATCTTATGACAAGCAGACTGACCCGTTATTCAGATTATTTGTCATTAATCATGTTTCCATTTGATGGAAAAGGAATGTATACACTTTTTGTATGAACATATTTTTCTTTAATAAACACCATTTATACACATTTTACAACAATAATTATACAGACTTGAATAAACACTTTTACAATTTTTTAGCCAGATATTAAACCTTAATAGAACATCCATCAAATGTTCATTAAAGGGATTGTACAGAGGTTATCTACATATGTTTTATATCTGGGTTGGGGGTTGGGGGGGGGGGGCACTGTTGCATCATTCCACTTTTCAGTTGTTCCTGCTATTACACTAAAACTAAGTGTTTGATGACAACTCTAAATCACGTATGGCCTTGTGTGAAGAAGCGTGTGTTTCAACTAGTGTCATCAAACACATTTTTTGTGGAAAAAATTCAGAAAACAATCTCTTCAACTGAATTTCAACGTCTTGTTAAAGTTTTCATGATCAATTTGTAACCATTTACAAAAATAATATTCAACAAAACTTTCTCTGATGTGAAATAATACGACTACAAAAGCTTGCATTCAAGCAAATTTTTTAGGACATCCTCAATACAGTATCAGTATCTTCATCCATTGTATGCATATAAAATATTAAAATCATCCTGTATGTTTATCCAAATAAATTGCTTGGGCATTATTTATTAAGAAATCAGAAATTTGTGATACATTGTTTATTTTTATAATTAAAATAATGATAAGGTGTGATGCCTTCAGTAAAATTAGCTTGCCAGACAAGGTATCATCTTGTCAGAGATCTTATTGAAATAAATGATCAGACTCAATTGCAAATTAGATTAAACCGAAGCCTGTATTGTGTTTACATATAAATTTTGACATGTTTTTCTTAACTCGACGGCAATTACTAAAAAATCACTCATCGATGGATGAGATGAGATGTGCAAGATCTCATCAATTTTAATGATCACACCCTATTTAATTAAAATCAGAGCTGTAGTCTCTATTGTGATCACAAGAAAATTTGATGCACTGACAGGTTTGATGGTAACATATCTCTACATTCTCATGTGGGTCAGCTATCTCCCTGCGTTCTTTTGTCTTCTACAAATAACAAGTTTATGAGAAAATATTTCCCCAGCCTATATGTAAAACTTGTTGAAATGATCAAATTTTTTTTTTTTTATATTTCAATGAAAAAAGGAAGATAAGGACAACTTCTAAAAAATCTTGAAAATGGGAATAATAATAATGCAAAAGTGAAATTTCTAAAATATCTGTTGAAACCATCCTTTAATTTCAAAAGTATCCATGACAACAGAGGAATAACAAGATATTAGAATATGCTAAGAATGAAAAAACATTTTTTCTGAGGGAATACTTATGTCCTCTTCATAATGGTAAAGGTATTACATCTTTCTTGTATCACAGAAGTATGTAAATGCTGCGATTTGGTTGGGTTGTCTCTCTGTCCAGGGCACTGATTGGCTGTATTCGCTGGTGCACAATTAAATCAAATTTCTGTATTCTGTGATACAAAAACAGTGGCAATTGAAGTCTAGGTTTAAGACAAAGTTTGTAATACTTTGACCATTGGATTTTAATTTGTTGACAATGGCAATTACTTTTTACCAAGAATTACTATTACCTTTTTTTTGTATAAATGCACGAAAAAGAAAATGTGAAATGTTTGAATGTTTTATGATAAAAAAAGGAGAGCCCATAGCATTAAACAATTTGAGGAGAGCTCATTGGAGAAAAAATTGAGGTGAGCCTATGGGATAGGAAAAAAATAGAGGAAAGCCATTTTGACGAAAAAATGAGCAGAGTCTTTTGGACAAAAATGAGAAAAGCCCACAGGACAAAAAAAAATGAGTAAAGTCCACTTGACAAAAAAATGAGAAAGCCCACTTGACAAAAAAAATGAGTAAAGTCCACTTGACAAAAAAAATGAGTAAAGTCCACTTGACAAAAAAATGAGTAAAGTCCACTTGACAAAAAAATGAGTAAAGTCCACTTGACAAAAAAATGAGAAAGCCCACTTGACAAAAAAAATGAGTAAAGTCCACTTGACAAAAAAAATGAGTAAAGTCCACTTGACAAAAAGTCCACTTGACAAAAAAAATGAGTAAAGTCCACTTGACAAAAAAAAAATGAGTGCAGTTTGACAAAAAAAATGAGGAAAGCCCATTAGACAAAAAAAATGAGGAAAGCCCATTAGACAAAAAAATGAGGAAAGCCCATTAAGACAAAAAAATGAGGAAACCCCATTAGGACAAAAAAATGAATCTTGATATCTAAGGTTTGGTTTAAACATTAGGTCAGGATTTAACATTAAAGGGACAGGTTTGCAACTTTGGGAAGTTGATTTTAGTCTTGAATACATGTAAATAGTCTTCAGAACTACTAGAAATGTACAAAGATCACAATACTTCAAACTAAGAATTTTACTCACTATTTCTATATATGTCTTTTCTCTATATCACAGAGTATCTTAAATTGACGATTTTTAACATTCTTAAACAGATAATTCTGTACACACATGGATTTGAGGGCTCAAATTTCGATGGTAAGCTGTGAACACTATTACTGATTAGCTCAGCTGAAAAATTCCAGTTTCTGAGACTAAAGTATGATTGGTCTACCTGGTCTACCTGTCCCTTTACAAACCCAAAAAAATAGCTGAAGCTGAAGATACTGATACTGTTTCAGTCCTTTTAACATTTGCTTTACCGATAGGGAAAATTTCAATTACATCTGTGTCACTTTTCATAATAAAATTTACATTTTCAGTAAATTAATCCATACCTTGGAAGCTTCAAGGATTTTGCTAAACCTTTCACTTGCACTCGTATTAAACAATATATAACTGCACGAGAGTGTTCAGAACACGCTCAAAAAGACAAGAATTGAATATCTCAAGGTATACAATAAAAGTATTTTACTGTTAAAATAGTGCTCATTAATTGTAGAGAAATACCAAAACAGAAATTTTTCTTTAGGTTCTGTTTTAATATTTCTATTCCAAGGTATATATATATGTCACTTTTCATAATCAAAATTTGATATCTGGTTTCCCTCCGATTAAATAAACTAACATCTAGGAAGCTATCTAGGGTGTTATCAAAATTCTCTTGTGTACTCACTATCAATATCACAACATTGTCATTAGTTATAACCACTGATCAAGTGTTATCATGCCCTCAAAGTGGTAACAGTAAAACATTCCAAGATATATTTTGTTGTTTTTTATCATAGAAGAACCAAAAACAAAATTTGATTCTTAAAAGTGATACGGATGGCTGAAATTGAAATGCCTCTCCTTAAAAGGTTATCTATGCAAACTTATAATTTCCCTTTGTGTTAATCTAAAATATCTTAAACATCTTTCAAGACATTTGAGCTCTCAAGTAAATCCTACATCTTAAGATTATAGATTATTATAATGGGAGTAACATTCTGTTGGATCAAAGGTTACAGATGGCTCAAAATTTCAATTTCATTCAGTCGGAAATTGCTGTTCCTCAAGAATAGGTTTCAGGCCAATAATAAAAGGGGTAATATTGAGATGGGTTCCGAACGAAAAACAATTGCCCCCTCCTCCAATCACCATTAACCTGGACTCAGACAACAACACACTTGAATGTTGATGAAATAAAATCATTTTCTCCTTTTCCATTTCCTGCAAAAAAGTCAAGATAGTGTATTTAATTGTTATTTGATTGTTATTTTGTTATTCTTATATGAGCTTCAGAACTTGAAAGATTGAAGATCAACTAACAAACAGAAACAGCTGATAGACCAAGGATCAGCTGACAGACAACAGATCAGTAGATAGTACCAACTGATAGATCAAGGACCAGCTGATAGACCAAAGACCAGCTAATAGACAAAGGCTAGTTGATTTTTGCAAAAAACTTCACCGTGATAAGTTTTTCGTTACTATGACAACAAGTCTTGCATCACCATGTCAAGGAATTATCATCAACAAATAGATGTAAGTTAAAGAACTTACTGGTAATTTAAATTCTTGACTCTGTCCTGTTTGAAGATTGATAACACCAATGCCTGGTGGATTGTGGGATAGATTCACGCCACCAGTTACGATCAATTTATCACCAATCACATGACTAGTATGAGAATATCTACAATATACAAATAGATATGAGAAATTAAATTCATCTCATTCAAAATTTGATCCTAAGACATCTGTTTGATTTGCTAAAGCAATCTCCAAAAAAAGAAATGCTCCTATTTGTTGAGAGTATAACAACTTATTTTGTATCAAGGTCTTCATCCACATTAAATGTATAAAGTATTGGGGATTTAAAGGCCGAAATTTGGACATTGAGCTGTGAACACTGTTACTGGTTAGCTTAGCTAAAATATTCCCTCTTCTGAATCTAACACACTGCCAGTCAAAGCTGTAAACTCTGCACTATTTTCAAAGAGTCCACATAGCTAATTATGTGCTTTTGATATATGGCTAATCAACTATGTAATCTCTCTTTTAGATGGTCCAGACATCCAATAAATTTGTAATTCTGATTTTTTTTCTCACCTTGGATAGAGTGTTCCAGTTATGTCAAGTTGGTTCCATGACCATGTTTCTATATTTAGAATGTAAACAGAACACAAGGGCTGTATTAAAGCATCTAGGCCACCATACAAGACTATCTGATCTTTCCATACTGTTAGAGTGTGGGATTGAACAGAACCTGGTGTAACTCCTTTAAAACTCAGCTGAAAGATACAAATTTCAAACTTATTTTGAACAATTACTGCAATTTCCGATATACTCACAGGCTAGAATATCTCTTTTATCCTTAATTTAAAGGTAATCTAGAATATTTAGACTGTCAGAACATCTAAAAATACATTTTCTTTTATTGCAAACAAACCAGGTGTTAGATTTTGGTGACACAGATAGCTGTAATTGTACTTCAATGTGCAGTTTCTGTAGCACAGTAAGTCAGAGCGTTGGTTCTCGTTTGCTTGGTTACGTCAAACAAATGGTGGCTATGGGTTGTAATCTTGGTCAGCACAATCACTTTGAATAAATCACCTTCACTCATAATTCCAGTCAACCAAGCTGTAATTTGGATAACATAATTCGAGGGAAAATCAATACCAAGAGGTTTGGCAAAGAACCACCTAGCACAAAGGAGGCTTTGTGAACCTAAGTTGTTATCCTTGTAAAATATAGTTATTTCTTTTTTTTTTCATCAAATGGAAAACATTTGGTTTTAACTATTCTTATATCCAAGCTAACATTTTAACACAAAAGGAAAAAATCATAATACCTGTTTCCAATGTCCTGTTTTAGTATTTAATAAATAAGAATCTCTCAGGCATAAATTTAACATAGTTCTTCCACCATAGAGATACACATATTCTGTACCTGCAATATACAGAAATATATTACAATATATACATTCTGTATCTATAATATACAAACATATATAAAACATCATAGATAAAACCAAAAAACCATATTCTATACCTGTAATTTACAGAAATACAATAATACAGTATACAATATTACATCTTCTGTATCTACATTATATACATACATAATTATTATGTACAGGTCAGGAAAACAAATGTGGAGATTGGGTGAAAAGTCGGGAGATTTTTTCAAAGTGTGAAAATTCGCCAATTTTAAGCCCCAAATTGCTTTTTTTTAAAATTATTTATCATAGGCCTATAGACCTACATGACACAGGAAAAATTAACAAATCTATAGGTTAGAGCTACCAAGGAAAACTAATTCTAGAAATAGTGCCGGAGATTTCATATTTAGGAGCCCAAAAAACTTTAATATTGTCATTCATTAGTATTGATTGAAAAGAAATAATGTCAAGGTGAAATGATTGACAGTTATTATAATATATTATGGAGACTTCAAGATTTCATTATTAAGGCTGGTGTAAAATTTATTGCAAAAAGTAGAATCTACCGGATGTTGTGTGTCTTGTGGGTTTAAAATACACATTATCGGGTGAAAATAAATCAAATTAACATCTTAATTGGGAGATTAATTAATCAGGCAATGATAATATTATTACATGATGAGATTAACATGTGTTACCGGCAATCAAAATACAAGTAATGATAGATATTTTGTTGATTTATCATAGAGAATTTGGACAGTGGACAACATGCAAAAGGGGTAGAAACCCGACAACATCGGTAGATAACATATGTATGATATATATACAAATATACAGTGGTGTAAACTATTTTCGTGGATATAAGGATTCAACACTGAATTTCGTCGAAGTTAAAAAAACGAAAACAAATTTTTATGTCTTAGATGTTTCCTCAGATATTCTACAAAATAATTAAAATTGGTTTATTTCGATTTTCTTTATGAATTCTTCACTTTGACCCATATTTCATGAGCAACCAACTCGGCAATGGCGGCAGAATGCGTCACTCATTTTCGTGTACAATGTTTGATCTATAAATAAGTCAAGAAAAACACGTTGTATGGATACCGGGTGGTATAATTAACTTCTCTTAGTATAGTATATTATAACTAGTGTCAATTCCTTCAAAGAACCACGATTTTAAAATAAAATAGTGACTGACAAAATAAGACACGTATCGTGATTTATTGCTAAAAGTCACTGAAACAACATAAGAATACGGTCCACTTTGTGTTTCATAGAAATTTTCTGCTGACACGGAATCCGCTAGTTGATCACGTGACTTCATTCGTTGGAATATAATCTAGCAGACGACAGTTGGAATTCGGATTACCGCAAGAGATTATAAGGAAATTCGGCCGATAAAAAATGGCATCGTTTGGTAATAAGTGAAATCCGCCATTTTGTATTTGTCAAAGTATACATTATTACATTTTACCTTGCTTGAAACTACTGAATTCATTCTATTAGCTGATATTGTAGATAAAACCCATGTTTATCAAAACAAACTAATGCGGAGGTCGCGCAAGGTCGCTCATGTAAATTATTAATCCTTTCCAGAAATCCACGAATAATAGGTTTCCACGAAATTAGGTTACTTGACTGTATATACATAGAGTATAGAAAAATATACAGAGATACATTTTCTATTCCTACTAAAATACCTAGAAGATACAATACAATACCAAACATTACCCAAAAATACATACTTTGTTGCCATTAATGAATATAATTTGTATTAAAATACTTGGCACATACCTTTGATGATAACACTACATATTGCATGACGCCATCTTGGTTCTGGGATGCTTCCTGATTCATTCTCGATATGAATTGGATTGTCTGCTTGCTAATTCAGAATTTTGAATATCACACTTTTTCAACATCATCAATTACAGAGTCCATATCATCAGAAGCTAAAGACACAACTAAGACACCTTTTGAGACTTTATAAGGAGAATTTCGACCACCCACTATTACAATGCTGCCATTGGTCAAGGTTACTGCATCCAAATGCATTCTGGGATCTGAAATTAAATGTTATTATCAGGACTTTATCATTTTGAAATTTTCACAGTCAGACATTTCTAATTTAAATTCATGAAAAACAGGAAATAACTGCTTTTTAAAAAACTATTTGAAGGAATACCAGCCATCACCAACATGGAATTAGGCATAGGTTAGATTCAAGTGAAACATCGTGAAACTGATCTGTTCTAACCATAGTCTTTTATACTATACAGTGTATATCAATGGTGTTTAATGGTGTTTACAAAGGCGTGACAATTACATGACACACATCCCTCAACAGACCAGCTTTCACAAAATCACACACAAAAAATAACACAACTTACAATCTGTGTTGTACATCTTCAATTGCTTGGGGCAGATTTTATTGTTTTCCACATCATAAACATAAATTTCAGTCAGACGCTGATGACGGCCATCTTGTTCACCAAAACCACCAAATATCAAAATATGCTTGTTGCCTAGGTAACCAGAAATATGGCTGTATCTTTTGATGGTGTGATCACCTAACTCAACACGTGTCATGCTGATTTTATTTGGTATAGCATCACCTAAACACATGGGTCTTTTTTCCAGATCTGCAAAAAATATTTCTATTTATTTTCTGTGATGCTTGCTTTGAATTATTATTTAGAATTTTGATGAACTATTAACAACCTATCTAGGATAACTTCTTCAGGCATCTGCCATATTAAATCAAGAACGAGGTTTATAACGGAAAAGGTGGCATTGGTGCCTCCGTTTCAAATTCCACTAGATCAAAACTAATCATATTTTACATCATTAAAATCAGAATTGATTAATCTTTTAATACTTTATATCTTGACACATTTCCGAAAAAGCCCTTTTTCTAGCTGTTTATCAAGGGCTTAATGACGTCATATATGACGTAGCCATCTTTTCAATAGATGACGTAAAGATTTGACAGGAGAGTCTTGTATTTGATGGTTCCAGAACAAGGCGTAAATTAGGTCTATAGGTATATATTTCAACATTATACAGCTCAATGGTTCATAACAAATCGCTTCTGTTTGAAAAATAGCTTTAAAATTTTTTATTCTTGCTAGTATATTTTTAGATTAATGGGACAGATTTTGGGTTGTGGTACAATTGGTCAAATGGTTGGCGAACCTGTCCCTTTAAGTACAGTGCCTAATGTTCCTTTCCAGCACCATCCAGTAAGCCGTAGACTTACCTAAGGAGCCAGGATCAGGAACCATGATGCTGTGTATATCACTTGTTGAATAGGCAATCAGTATCATATAGTGACTACACTTGACGTGCCATTCTTCATGTTCGTCAAAAGGTTCTAACTTTTCCACTTTCTGTCGCTCTTCTTCAGTGAGCAGTTTGTAATAAAACTGGTTCATATTGTATGATTCACACCATTTCCAACCCTTAATGTAACAAATGAAGTAGAGTTTTACATTCTTATTTTCTGCATTTGATTTGACAAATGAAAACAGTGACACTTTTCAGAGTACAATGAGGGAAAAATTCCCATGTTGATAATCAGGAGATGATCATACTCTGTGGAGTCTTGTCTTGTTGTGAGAACAGTCACATGAAGAAAACAATTGCTGAGGAGAAAAAAATCAGCTACAAATATCAGGCAGTGAAATTTTACTGAAGATTCATGTCAGGTACAAAAACTGATGGGGTGCTGTCAGCATTAGTTGATATCCTTGTAATATATCCTTGTTTCTATCTTTCTCTTATATTTACAGTCTGAAAGTACTGCTCAAGAGTTGTCTTAGAATTGTTTATAATAGGAACTGTTACCTGTTTAAGAAATCTTTGTTTCTGTGAGTCTATAGTTGGGTAAGAATTGATACATTTTAACGGTGAACCAACCATATGGAAATGATTTTGCCTAAAAATAAATTCCAAACTTGTATCATTCAAATTTGGGAACTTAATATTAACATAAAAGGGATATAGTTATTGAATATTGATTTTACCAGCTCAATTATAGCTATCCATGTTCCTTTTCAGAATGAGAATTTAACATTTGATTTGTCTACAATAATAATGGCAGGCTTGCACTTTTGGCTTCTACATTTTAAATCTCAATCACCATACTAGCCCTCCCATTAAGTATGCCCCTTATTTGTACCACCAGTTCCGTTAGGCTGTCACGGGACTCTCTAAAAATAATACAAATCCAATACTTACATAAAAAGACCGAAGGCATCATTAGGATGTATTTGTTCATATAAAACAAAGATTGAATTAGAGAAAGTTTCACTACCCCAGCCTACTACTGATGTAGAACTGAAATCATAAAAAAACCTCTATTATAGACCAAATTAAGATTAGACTACCATTTAATTTCCTTTGTTTTCTGACATTTTGGACCTTCATTGTAATCGAACAAGTTTTGTTCTAATGACTTCATTAAAACCAAACAGCCAGTCATGCAGGATCCGTTTCTTGATAACGTGGAAGAAATATGGGATAACAAAACTCATAGTGAACCAATAATGACAGATTCTTTGTATTATATAGAAATAGGTGTCACATTATGATTGGTTAAAAATAATGTCATAAGAACAGGACTGTGATAGAAAACCTGTTAGATTCAATACCCATTTACAGCTGAGTTGACTGGAATGATGACTTAAACAAGTTCACAAAACACTCACAGAGATCAGAACCAATGACTAAAATTTGTCGATTTCAAATTTTCACACCATATGAACATTTATTTTCAACATCTTAAATTGATAAAATATTTCAAAATTGGCACATGAAAATGACCTAATCTTCCAAATCACAACTGAGCACTTGAATGGACTTGAATCAGACTGGTAGAGCAAAATTACTCCCTATGAATACAGCAAAGTAACATGGTCCTGTCTAACATTCAGCCCATGGGGACAAACATAAGAAAGATAAAAATGTTACCAACCATCTTCGTGTCATGTATGTTAAAACACATTCTGACAAAATAAGAGTAGGTAATTCAAAATCTACTCCACACATCAGAAGAGCTGCATCGAGAATATTCAACTGAGTTAAATCTACTCCTAATAATTTATAGTCCACTGTGTTCAACTCTGAAATTTAAAACAAGAAACAGTCAGAAATTTCCTCATTGCACACAGTTTAGTACTGCCCATCTTTATGAACAGAAAAGTACAAAAAAAGACAAAAAAATTACAGGTGCTAAAGAGTGCTTTTGGGAAACGTTATCTACATCCTTGGCTACAAATTGGGGTACCTGTGAGCATTTTTGGGCGTACATGTACAGCACCAAAATTGCAAGAGTCTATGAAGAGTCCATTAGCTAAGCTTATCAATGAAGACTAATGATATAACCCAAACCAACCCCCCTGAAAATGACTAATTTTTCCCTTTAATCAAGGAAAGCAGGAGTTCTATGAAATCAACTACACTTATAACTTACCTAGGAGTGGAGATTTTTCATTACTGACCACATTTTCACTGAGAAGTTCATTTAATTCTTTATGATATGAAATCAAATTGTGTTTTCTTTTCACTAACTCTGGAAAGTCAATCTGAAAAGAAGAATCGTGGTAATGTATGTAATTTTTGTTTTTTCAGCAGATATAGGAAAGGGATTATAAAGAGGTTTTCTAAATGTTTCTACTTATATCATAAAATGTTAAGTTTTGGTGGAATTGCAAAACGAGAAGTCTGACAGTAACTTGTGAAGATGTAAATCAACTCTATCAGTATCCTAAAAAAACACAAGCTTCTTCACAACTCCTTTAAACAGATTGAAAAGAGTTTTCAAAATTTTTTTGTGTATACAGGACACTCATAGCTTCGATTTCCACCATTCCAATTTTCAATCAGACATCTGGGGTTCTCGCACTTCCACTAAAAGTAAGTGTTTTATCAAGTCACTATAGTAAAGGCTACAAAGGTCTCATAAATTTGTTATTTGTATGAGACAATAAACCTATGGCCCAGTGTGCAATAGGTTGTGCATGTTAGAAGAGTAAGTTAATGCCACTGTCCTGGCAAAATCACCCTAATTGCACACTGGTAGTGCCTGTCTTGATCAGCCCAATAAGTGCTCCACCTACCTCAACAAAAACTGTGTCTCGTAAAAGTTGTTTTGATTTTAGCCTAAAATAACTAGTGTCAAAACCAGCGCCAATAGAAATAATCTGTTTCCTTCCTGGAAATCTCTGTAGAAAATTCTGGATCACATGATCCACTGTTCTCACACGAATAAAATAACCTCTGAAACATAATGATACTAAATAGGAAATGGAGTTTTACATCATTATTTCTTTTAAGATCTATCCTTGTCTTATAGAGACACATCAAGCTATGCAGTGGGCAAATTTTAAATGTACCGTAATGTTATCATGATAAAGTACATTATTGTAATTGTCATGTCAAAAACCTAGGGTATTTGATTTACCAACGAAGTATTTCAAAGTACCATGATTGAGTAAATGAGTGAAATTATGGCAAAACTCCAGTTTTGAATGTGAAGCCTCTCAAAAAAAAATTAGGAAAGAAGTCTGACCTGTTGATTAAAGGGGCACGTCTGAGTTGTTTGTTGACAAAATATTCATAGAACGGATCTTCAAAATATCCCTGGGTCACCATTGAGGCTTTACTGATGATACTGCTATCATTTGTGCCTTGAACCTATAATATGGTAATATTAATCCAGTCATGTAACCTAATTTCTCTGGAATTGATAAATAATTTACATGTGCTGCGACCTTGCATGACCTCCGCATTAGCATGTTTTGATAGACATGGGTTTCAAAGTAATGTCAAATTTATTATCTATTCATCTAAATGGCGGATTTCAGTTATTACCAAATGTCACAATTTTTTATCAGTCAAATTTCCTTATAATCCCCAGTTGTACTCAGAATTCCAAGTCTGCTAGAATATATTCCAGTGAACAAAGTCACATGACAAACTAGTGGAAAAATTGTATGGAACAAAAAGTAGGCCATATTCATTTCAATGAATTTTAGCAATATTTTTTAGTAATATATTTTGTCAGTCACTGATTTTTTTTTTTTCAAATCGTTGTTCTTTGAAAGAATTGTCACTTATTATAAAGAATTGATATTAAAGATAAATACTTAGAAATGATAATTATTCCAATGGGTATCAATACATGTGTTTATCGACTTACCTATAGATCAAACATTGTACACGAAAATAGGTGACACATTTAGCAGCCGTTGTTGAGTTGGTTGTTCATGAAATATGGGTCAAAGTGGGGGATTTATAGAGAAAATAGAAACAAACCAGTTTTAATTATACGCATGAATATAGGTTACACCACTCCACTGTAATAATAATCATTTGCTTGGTAGGGCTTATTCGCTTTATGAGGATTACCTAGCTAGAGGTCGAGTATCAACTTTGAAATTGCTGCAACAAGGTTACTTGTATACAAACTTCATATGTCATGTAGGAAATTTTATGATCGTTTTGCAGAACTCCTTTGATAAATCAATGGTAGTATGTAGACCCTTCATTGATAAAATGCCCGAAATATTAATGCATGGTTGTAACTGAGATATGAACTTTCTACAAGTCAAAGCTACAAGAACAAAAAGGGTTGAACTTCAATTTCTGAATTTGTTGGGAGTGAAACTCCGAAAAGTTTGTCTTACCGCGGTATCACGTCTGCTTTTCGCATTTTTGCGCTTATTTACTTCTGTGTCTTTCTGCATAACTCTTGTTTCTGAAACAGCAAACACAATATAACTACTCTTTTTAAATTAACGTCGAAAGAAATGATGCAAATTTAGTTCAATATGTTTCCTTGGGTGGAAGTCGCCATTTTTGAGTTAAGAGTTACGTCCCTTTAATTTTTCTACTTAACAGTCAAACCTCTACATAGTGGCCGCTAATGTAAAATCCAAAGAAAGAAGTTTTATTGCAAAAAAAAAAAGAAACATTAATGAATTTCGGAAAATACAATAGTAATATTTTAATCGACACAAGCATTATACTGAAGTTTAAGAGAAGGTCCCCAGTAAGCTACTAATTAACACAATATAAAAGTGCATCTTTCACTGCTAAAGACGGGTTGATTTTTGATACGAATCTTTGAGAGACTAATAAATATTAAGGCCTAAATTGAATAGACCTTGTCATATGGAATTGCACTATTTTAGCGGACATTAGGGTGACCGATGGAGTTAAATTCGAAGAGTCAATGATTGCTAACAACAAAATGTTGAACGCTTCTATTTTATGTCGATTTTAAAGGGATTGTAAAGAGGTTTTTTCTATGTGTATCGCACGCACTGACAGCATCAATTTACACCAATCCAAATTTCAATCAGACACCTGTAGTTCCTGCAATTCCACTAAATTTAAATGTGCAAAATATGCTTAAGACCTAGGCCTATATCACGCGATTGGTGACATCATCTCTTAGTCTGGTGTAAATCATTTTCACTTAAAGACTTTATTGGCGCAAATCATTAGTTAAAAATTAATGAGAGGTGTCTCTCTGAAGCGCGGCAGTGGATTTCAGGTGGCTTGAAATGAACTTGGAGCATTTAAAATCTTAAATTTCACTTCAAAATCAGACTTTTCACAGGTCTGATTGAGGAAGGGCGCATTACCCAATGGCCCATCCCGAAAATAATTTATTTCTTAGGCTAACGATTACTTTCTGCGCAGTACACCTTCCTGTAATAAAAAAGGGTTCAGGCTTTCCAATAGAGTTGTAATTTGTAATCTAACGATCACCAAAAGATTTTGGTTATTTGCTCGAACAGAAAACTCACGTGATAACATGGAATGAATAGGATGAACCATGATTTTGTTCTTATTTAGAAAAACTAACTGACATGGACATTGCGGAAACCTAACGGTTTAACTCAAAGCGGGTAGAAATATCATTAACTGACTGGCTGAAAGCTACAAAATTTCCAAAGCCATGTTTGGCGTTATGAAAACTGATTGAACCATGCTGGAATTTCTGATATCATTAAGAAACAATATTGCTCTAAATCCATGAGCATGGTACGCGGTTTGTCACTGACCACAAATAATACTTATTCTGATTTAATAATAAATCATTTCAATTGATTGTCAGTGTTTGTAATAAATAAGAGTTTTTTTGTGCCTTATTTCGGGATCTCTAGAGAGTCCACATTGGTAATAATGTAAATTATGAGATGTCCCGCTACCTAGTGTATCTGTCAACGTCTAGATGGACAAAGTCCCATGCTTTAAATAATTTTGCTCACTAAATTTGTTGGAGTGAAATAATGAAATATGGTCAATTAAAATAATATTTGTGGTGCCAAAATCAATCACACTCTATCAAGATCATCAAAACATCTGAGACACCGGTCTGAATCTAAAACAGCACCCTATTTACAATTCAGTAAAAACTTCGTATATACGTTACTTCACACAAGTTCGTGGCCATGGCACGAAACAAGGACCGAGATATCATTGATAGTGTATACAGTTCAACAAGTAAATAAACAAAATGAAACCAGTTGGACGGCCACATGTTACTATAAACCTCCACTTTAACCAATGATGAATATTGCCTTAGTTTTGTCGTGCAGTAATTGTGTAGGTAGAGAAGGCTATAGACTGTAAATTATACACGGCTTGTCGTCAGTTGGCAACATACTTCACGTTCAACAGTACGTTACAGCAGGATAGAGAACGATCAACTTATAGAAAATGTCGAACAGTTTTCAACACGGATTATTCGGATGTTTTGACAACATTGGCTTATGTGTCATCTCCTGGTTGATTCCTTGCTACCAGTTTGGCAAAAATGCCGAAAAAGTTGGAGAAAGTTGCATCTTGTGCGGAGTTCTTTCTCTAGTTCCAATATTGGATCTTATTCTCGGTGCTCATATTAGAACCAAAATCAGGGACTCGAAAGGCATACAGGGCAGCTTTGTGACGGATCTGCTGTATTGGTTCTGCTGTCCGTGTTGTTCGCTGGTCCAAGAATCACAGGAACTCGAGGGTGTGGTCGTGCAGTCCATCGCTCGTCAGTGAACAGAGAACATATTGCAGGAAGCTAGATTTACTCTATACAAAACCTTTCTACGGCATGCTTTATTATCTTTTCTAACCACTAAAAATAGGCAATTAGCGCTAGGCCACATTCAAGTTCGTCAGCTGCAGAAGTTTGTGGACGCCATTTTTAAATAGTTAAGGATGATGGTCATTTAGATTGGAATGTGTGACGTGTCATCGTATGACATTTTGGATCGATTGGAAATTAGAACAATTTGAAGCTTTGCAATCTGGATTTTGGCATAGCTGTTTATGTGCACAATGAGGCAATTCCTTTGAAAACTTCTAGCTTTAGACACTTTTTAACTTTTGGATCTGGAACACTATAGCCTACTTGCAGTAGGCCTACTCGCCAATTATTTCCAAGATGTGAAACGCACAATCTCCGGTTTGCTGTGTGGTATGGGAAATTTCTCACTGGTTTGAAAATGGTTACTAATGTGCATAGTAAACTTCTTATTAATAACAGGAGACGGGAATTTTTCTGCAAACTATCGGCTGCTCACTCAACCCATCGACGCCATCTTGTTTTTGATATATGATGAGAAAACCTATACAAACAAGAAAAAATGTTTACTTTTTTTGGCTCATGACCTTTTGAACTCCAATTAGAGATATATATACTTTCAATGCAGGGTTAATTTGCCCATTTTGTTTACGTATAGGGGTAGCTATGCCCTGGTTTCGCGGCCTCACTCTGAATCTGTTTTGTATCTTGTTGAACACGTGCCTTTGCTTTGGTGCCTTACGCTACTCATTTAGCCTTCGGTGCTTTTTGACAAAATGCAACATTGTTTACCCTTGTTGCGCAATATATATCATTTGTTACAGCAATCGTTAACCATGGTTTTTAAATGGCGGCATTTAATCCTGACCTTGACTTTTACATCTGTTAAAAATAGAACGTAGATAAGAATGTGAGGTTTAAGATCCAGTTTCTATGGGTGTAGATTTACAACTAATAATTATGCTTAAGATTTATGAGTAAACTAAGTGAAATCACTGAACTGGAATATTCTATATCAATGGTCGTCATATTATCATTTCATATTAGGCCTATATGTATGTAGGTATGTATGCATGTGTGGTTCTAAAGGGTTTTTCTAGCCTTCTTTTTTCACCAAAAAGGGGGGGGGGGGCAAAGCCGGGCCAGCCTCTTTTCTGGTGGAGGGTAGACCCCCCACCCCGGTAGAAACGTAACTGCCCCTGAAATCCTTTACATTTAGAAAACTTGATCAGACTATGTCGTCACTACTAGCCTACACTTGCAATCCAAACATATATATGATATTTGTGTAAGTGGCGCCATAATCTGTTCTGTAATAAACAGAAACCACAAACGTTCGACTGTAAATTAAAATGTACAAATGTTTTTCCAGAAAAACATACTAAGGCTAGAAAACCTCTTTTCAATATAAACATTTTGGGAGAGACTGTAATCCGTACTCTGCGCATGAGTACATACAGCACATCCGAAATGTGGTTGAAAATTTATACCTAATCAGGCTGCCTTTTGCCTTTTGTTGAAAAGAGTGCAGCTGTTTTCAGGGTCTCTGTTAGGTATTAGGGGGGTAGATTTAGAGTTTGTTTACTGTATAAAACAAAAAATATGTGTAGTTTGTACTCATGCGCAGAATGTTGCGACGCTCTCTCTCTCTCTCTTTCTCTCTCTCTAATCACGTCTTTTCAATGTTAAACCAAAATGGCGCATACCATAACAATCTTTTATAATCTTGCCATTTAGTACGATGATTTATACTATTGTATTTAAATATTGTTATTCTATACTAAATAAAAAAGTAATACATATGTTACGGTCTTTTTGTGCAAATTTAAACAATTTCCCTATGCAACACTGTCTGTCTTTAATGTCTATTTGCCGGCAACACCGGAATACTCATAATCTTTTAATTAGGAATACACCATTTGACTCATTATCTATTAAGTGTGTGTATTCTGTGAGTCAAATTTACTCTATGGAACACTGCATGGTGTCTGTCTATATCCCAGCTTCAGCTTTGGAATACCAAATTTGACTATTAACATTAATTAGCCATATTTACCTCATGTAACATTGCACGGTGTTCGTCTATGACCTAATTAAAAGCGGTGACACTGGACTACCTTATCTGACTTAAATTCTTATAATTGTGTATCCACGTGAGCCAAATTAACCCATTCATCACTGAATCGTTTCAAGAACGCAATTCAAAATGAACGCTTCTTTGATAACTAACCATCATGAACAGATATCATGATTTAACTACACTAAAATTGAATATTTGAAAAAAATATAAGTCTGCTTGGTTCGCCATATATACTACTAGCAGTCGCCATACTTGGTGAAGAAATATGGCCACCAACCACCGACCCGATATAAATGCCATAGAATACAATGTTTTGGGGTTCCATGTCTTCCTTTTTGTACTTTATAAAATGAGAATGGTGGGATTGTAATATGTCCTACCCTATTCTTACTTTATTGGGGTAATAGAATAAAATTAATGGTGTTCTCTTTAACGATAGCTCGCGTGTGGTGACGATTAGGAGTTTCCGATCAAGAGGAACTAGGCACATCTACTTGGTCACCACAGTTTCATACATTTATATAGTAAACAGTACTCCAATAATGACTGGAATACAAAGTAATTAAAACTAAATATAGACCATTCATATACTGTACATGAAGTTTATTAACAGTTCAACAGCTGGTCTATAGAAATATTCACTGATATTTTAGTTATCAATAAATACTGAATAACAAATCATTACAAAGTCCATTCGGCAATCCTCGATTTCCGTAAAGTTGAATACGTGGCAGAACTTGCACGGTAGACCAAGGCATCACACAAACAACCAACATTTTGTGTTTATTGTGTAGGTTTCTCATTAAAGGCAGATACGATAAGCTTGACACAAACACACGAGCATTTGTTCATACGTGACTGAATTTATCAAACTTTAAAACATTAAAATTTTCAAATTTCGCCAGGAATAACCGAATGTACCTACAAAGGAAGCTGGTGCTTAGAGGGGTTCAAAGGGGTCTTTTAGCTTTATATGTGTTTTGGAGCCATTCCCCGCTTATATTTATACCACATTCCAAGTTTTCGTCAGATAGCTGTGGTTCTTGTAGTAATAATACCGTATTTCACGTCACTATAAAAGCAAAACCTGCTAATAATATTTATTAATGGGGTGACTACGTCATAAAACGTTCGGTTTCGGTGGAATGGCAGGAACCACAGACGTCCTACTGACATGAAAGTGTTCAAGAATGATGCAAGAGGGGGTACCTAGGCAATTCAATTAAAGACTCTCTTCACATATTGACATTTCTTTAACAGCTGCTGTAACATTGCAAACAAAACACTTTGACATATCTTTATCAGCTGCCCATTTCCTTTGACATTCTTTCAACAGCAATGACTTTATTTTAACAGCTACCTTTACATTCCTTGATATTCCATGACATTTCTTTTTACAGAACTGAGCGACATAACATTTTCATGTGATCCACTTCTGTATCTTATAAATCCGTTCTTAACATTATAAGGCACTTTTCTTGTATCACAAGTTTGTAAGTGTGTCCAATAATGTCAAGGTATTAGACGCAGGTCGTAATAGCTTGACATTGTGGAGATGTAACCTATAAAGATAAGATATACATGTACCTCAAACAATCAGGATACTGTATGACATATTAAATAGGAGATAGGTTTCTTCTTTCTTTTTCCGATTGGAAAACAAACAAAGCACTGAAGAATCGGGACAATATTGCACGAACAAATGGTCCTATACATGGAACCACTATGCGTTCTTTCCAGGTCAGTTCCTCTGGCCTTTGAGTTGCCCATATATCTTGACCCATGCCTACTTCACAACCGAGCAAGCATTTATAGCTTACGGTTGATAATGTTAACAGAAGACACTCTCTCAAGTTGTGTCATAATCGAAATCCTCACTTTCAAATTATATAGAACGCCATTGCTAGAGTCCGAATTTCAGGTTAACGAATAAACGCATTATTCACTATGCCATCACCACTTAATCCAGTGAAATTTATCACAGCTCTGTAGCATGTTTTACATGATTACCACGATATGAGTTAGTATTTCATATGAATTATTCAGCGAGGCCGAGAGGCAATCAAGTTAATAGCTAATGACTGGATGCTAAACACTTTCAAATACCATCAAACACCAAAAACTATGATGGCTCGCTGTGGACATGTTCACTTTTTGGAAATTAATTTTTTACTATGTGCTTATAATATAGATGTGGAGGTGAGTGGACGACTAAAATGGAACCCAAAGCCGACTGATAATTTCATTCATAACCTAAACAGTGATGCAGCCCGTGAAAGGTTTAACAGACTTGAGCAAATGATAGAAACACAGGATATCGACAACTCAGTGTTGGATCTCTCTGCAGTGCTACATAACGCCGCCTCCAGAATGGAAATGAAGACATATGACCGTCGACAACAACAACTTGGTCAACCGCAATGGTGGAACAACGAATGCCAGTATCTCAAGAACACGAAATATAACATGCTCGATGTTTATAGAAACAGTAATTCTGAAGATGATTTGATGAAACACAAACAATTGAAGGCACGATTTAAAGCATGTTGTGAGTCAAAAGAAGATGCACAAGAACCAAGCTAGTGAAACTGTTAATATCGAAGCAAATGAATGGTTCAAGTACTTGGAAGCTCTCTTTACTGAGACAACACCCATTTTAGACGATGAGTTTGAGCTGGATGTTCTACAAACACTAAATGGATACACCAACGATAACTCCAATCCAACACTTGATGCAGAAATCACCAGAGCAAAAATCGTGTCAACTGTAAGAAACTTACCAATCTCAATAGCTCCCGGTCCGGATGGTATAGTTAATGAAGTACTGAAGCAGTCCATAAAAGTGATCTTGCCATATCTTTTTCTTATACTCAGATCAATCATGTCCTCTGGTTTGTTTCCTAAAAGTTGGAGCAAGGCTGTAATCCATCCAATCCTAAAGAAAGGAGATCCGAAAGTCCATCCAACTACAGGGGAATGTCACTCATCTCTTCTATTTGAAAAATCTTCACCAAGATATTTAATACCAGATTAGCCAACTGGTGTGAAAGTCAGGATATACTTCTTGAGAGTCAGGCTGGATACAGGGAAGGATATAGCACTGTCGACCACATTTTTACCTTGCAAGCACTTACCCAGAAGTACCTGTCAAAGAAATGTGGTCGCTTTTATTGCTTATTTGTTGATTTTTCCCGGGCCTATGTTAGTTTGCAGCATCAGCTGCTAAAATATGTCTTAATCAAAAATAATATAAGTAGTAAATTTTATCAAGTAATAAAATCAATCAGATAAATTGTGACTAACTGAGTACTTCGATTGCACGATTGGTACTAGACAAGGTTGCATGTTAAGTTCTTTATTATTCGTATTATTTTTAAATGAGTTACAAGAAATGTTTAAGTCTCATAACTACCAAGGCATATTTGTTAATCAAAATATTGATAATATAATTTCACTCGAATATGCTGATGATATTTCTGCACTGTCTGATACTATGGGAAAGTTACAATCTCAACTCAATTGCATTAAAGAATTCTGTAACAAATTTGGTATGTCTGTCAATTTGAATAAAACTAAAATTGTAGTCTTTCGAAGGGACGGAATCATTAAAGGTAATGAAAAATGGTACCTAAACGGCTCTGAAGTTGAGATTGTCTCCAGTTATAAATATCTTGGTATAATTTTCACTCCAGAACTTTGTTGGTCAGAGGGTATCAGGACTCTCGTATCACAAACTATAAAAGTATGTAATATGTTGAAACTATTTGTCAAAAAGTGTAACATCAGCGTCAACAATTCATTATTCCTATTTGATAGAGTGGTTGTTCCTATACTTTGTTACGGATCAGAAGTTTGGGGTCATACATCATATGTACAAATTGAAACCTTGCATCTTAACTTTTGTAAATATGTATTAAATGTTAATTCATGTACCAGTAATTCAGCTGTATATGGTGAACTGGGCAGACATCCCATCTATGTCAATTATATGATAAAATGCATCAAGTTTTGGTTAAAACTGCTGGAAATGTCAAACCTTAGGTACCCAAAAGCCTGGTATGATATGTTAATTACATTGGATGCGGCTGGTAGATTAACATGGGCAACATAAATATGTTAAACTCTTATTGTTCAGTTATGGTTACGGATATGTATGGAACTGTCAATTTGTTGGAGATAAGAATGTGTTTTTTTCAAATTTCAAACAAAGGCTCATCGATTGTAACGCTCAGGACTGGTCTCAGAATTTAGTGTCCAACTCCAAGTTAGATAGGCTAATTATCGTTTATATAAAACACAGTTACAACCTGAAAAGTATTTAAATTGTATTTTAAATAAAAAACACAGAATAGCATTGACTAGATTTAGGTGTAGTAGCCATAGCCTTGCAATAGAATCAAGACGATGGCAATATTTAGATAGATCTGATCGAATCTGTAGTTTTTGTTTCCTTAATTTTAATCAGAAAACGATTGAAGATGAAATACATTTCATGATGATATGTCCATTATACCTTCAAATCAGGTTAGATTATTTCCCATGGATGTCTAATATTTATAGTGATGTTTCTTAATTTGTAAAAGTCATGAATATCGAAAGTTATTGTGAATTAGGTGAATATGTTTATAAATGTGTGGGGATTAGATTTAAATATTTGAAAAGTATTTTGTAATTTGGTATTTCTTTTCTTTCAAATATTTGAAAGGTATTTTGTAATTAGATATTACTTTATATATTTGATAGGTATTTTGTAATTTGATATAATTGTAAAGAAGTATGCATCTATACAAAGTTATCTTATTTATATTTATATCTTCAATTATTGTAATTGCACATTATGTACTATGGGTTGGAGGCCTTATATACTGAAATAAAGATTACAATTAAAATTAAATATAGATCTAGAAGTTTCGTTTCTTGTTTTCTCGTGGATGATTCAAATTGCCATCTAGAACCTTATGAATTGTTATTGTACAGAAAGGTCATATTGTTTTATACTTTGACTGTAATAATCACTATTCTTGTATCACGGAATGCAGAGATTTGATTGGCTAATACAATCAGGGCCCTCTACAAGTATGCTGAACATATACCAACAACTACCTAGTTTGCGATATCAGCATCCGCTAGAACCGAACGTTAACTTGTCATCCACCTACCTACCATGGCTTATTGTTTATTGAGTTTCTGTGGTGGGTTATAATTGGCTGTAATCGCTAACGTACAAAACAAAACAATCCATAAAAATCGTTGCAGTTGCCGTTGTGGATACATTCACAAACGTCTGAGATACAAGAATAGTGACTGTCGTGACCATAGGTTTAATAAATCAAAGTAGAGATGATAAAGAACTTCGTTTATTCCAAATCCAAATAGTATCGTCCATGTCCAAATTCACTCTAAGAAATCTCTCAATCACGCGATCTTACATGATCATCATGAAACAATCGAAACTGACTGGCCATATACATATACAATGACTCTAACATGTAATATTTGGTTATGACAGTGGCATTTCAGTCAGGTATGAGACGAAGTTCGTAATAGCCTGATATTGTGGAGATGCAGAAAGGCAGGAGGTCAAACTTATTTTCACCATTAAAGTGCAAGAAAATTCATTTCGTTTTATTAGGTCATTAAGGGAACATTCCATTTCATCTTATCTATAATCGCGATAAACTGAAGTTGTTAGAGAACGCATACAAAGGTCAAAAGGTCAGATAAATCTAATCGATAACATGTTTGAAATATGTCATTTGATTCAATAGGTTGGATTTCAAAGGTGAGATTCAGTTGCGTCAGTTATAATGATTATAAATATTGTGGCATTCGAAAATCCTCTGCAGTTTCCTTAAAGCTAGATTTGAGGCAGAGCGTTAGCATAATTTTTCGGTAGAGACATTGCAAAATTTTTTTTACTGCCTACTGCATAGCAATGGAGAGAAGTAGGTTGTAAAACTTAGTTCTATATAATATAATTTAAACAAAATTGCTCTTATTATTTTATTTACTCCAACATAGAATCTTCTGTAGCTTTACGTGGCAAACATCGGTGTCAAAATCTTGAATTTTAAGCAATGATCTTTGGGCAATGTAAACATCCTGGACATTTCTTACCATGGAAATCAAAATAACCCATAACGGCCTGATCACTTGAACAATCAACCAGTTGAGCACACATGGTCATTGGACACATATCAAGATGAATCAAGGAACCCTATAAGAAACAAAACATGGGGTTGAACTCGTGACACACGGTGGATCTTACTTACAAGGTTTTGATTGTACCCTTGATCAAACAAGCTGGTTATTTTGGATGGATGATTACCATTATTGGTTTCGTACTTGCGCAAAAGTTACCATTGTCTTCCGCTTTCGCAGTTTTTTTTCTGGCACATATCTCTGTTTGATGTCTACAAGTTCTCTGCCAAGGTAGGTAATTTGGTTATATGAAATATAGCCACAGGAAACATGTTCACAGTAATATGGTAAGCGAAATTGACCACTGTAACATTAAAAATAAAAATTCAAAGGTCAAGCGGAAAATTAGTCGCAGACAATTTTGCTTGTGATCAATTTACCTTGTGATCAAATTCCCGTTATTAATTTAACTTAGGTCCAAATTACCTATATTTGCAGATATATGATATAATATATATATATTAACCGGAAGAATTTGAGCCAGACAATGGTAACTTTGGCAATGGCCTTGAGAAAAATATGTGGCAAATATCAACCGCCTTTCAAAAAAACCCGACCCAATCATCTTAGACTACGTTCATAAAAAATACAGACAGTTTATCAAAAAATTTAATGGCTTTTTATAGTTGAATGACTGGGTTTTTGATGGGTGTCAAATTCTGACCGGTACACATCATGCAGGATGGACATTTTTTTCCATTGATATTGAAGTAACCTTGAACTTGGTTTTCTTTAGGGCAGTTATACAGAGCCATACACATTGGAATAGGGCAAATATCTAGTTTGATCATGTGACCCTAGAAAATACAAATTGAAGTAAGTACATATTATACTATACATGGAATATACATTACTATAGCTTCGAGATACAAGGTACGAAATAGGGTGTAATGTGGTATCTCGGGATAGGTCAATCTTCACAACGTCAAGCTATTACCGCCATCGACTTAGATATTCGCTGGCGTACAATCCAATCAAATCTCTGCATTCTGTGATATATGAATAGTGGCTATTGCAGTCAAGGTATAAGTCGAAGGTTTTAAGAGCGAGACACTGTGAAGGTAGTAGCGGGGATAACGACAACCTTGTAAATTGCTATGAAATATGAAATGCTCCATGTTGAAATATACAATATTTTTTTAGTTTTATAAGCTTAGTAAGAGACAAACATCTTTACCCCTTACAATTGATTGTGCAATGATTGCCTGACAGAAATCGGAAAAGATGAGGCTATGGCATTTCCGGAGAAAATTTCCTTACCGGACACTGCTTGCCCTTTAATTGTGGGTCGTAAAACCCACATCATCTTTTCGAAAGCCCGTTATATATTGCCAACAAATACAAACGATAACACCAAAATGTTTTAATTGCCATATAAAGGTCGAATCATTATACTTAGTTATGGTCAGCACACATCATACAGGATGGACATTTTTTACCATGATAACTGAAATAGCCTTGCATCAGGTTTTCTGCGGGACAGCCGATTGGGTAAAACCTCTAGTAATCGGACAAATTATACCTAATGTAGGGTAACATAATATTGTGCAAACCTAAAAGGTCACTTTTGTGATAGTCATTGGATTTTCATTCTGAATATTCATATGGATGATCGACATTGAATCCGTCTGTATGCATATATAAGGCGACTAAGAAGAAAGAAAGGAACAAAGAAAAAGAAAATGAAAGGAAAATTAAAGAGAATAAATGAAAAAAAAAAAATAGCAATAACCACAGTAGCTTAAGTGTTCCGAAAGCGCAGACATAGGTATACGGTATATATACTTACAACGTTTAATGGGTTTAAGGCTCTCTTGATATCAATAGGCCTAGGTCTGGCACAAGTTGGACAGCCTGGACAGTTCATGCCATTAAAATGAAAAGTCTGGGTGTGTGTACTCATATCATCTAGACAGGCAATGAATGCACATTCCACAATAGGACAAATTCTTAACTGGAATATTTAAAAAGATACTTTTATACCTTGACATTTTACATGAATTCTGTAGCAAAATCCTTGTGACTCTCTGATCACATGATAGCTGTGTTAGATTTTATTTCTACCACAATGTAATTGCATGTCACAAATATAGGCCTACTTTTAATTGGGCACTTTTTATTATAACAATCATTAATGAACATTCTTCACTTCCTATATTGTCTTATCCTTCAATTTGACTTCAATATAGTGGAGAAACATCAACAGTAAAACCATACTTAATTTTGTGACCCTTTGGGTTTCTGACGTATTAAATAATTTCATAAAGCTTTTGCTGTTAAAGGTTAAAGGCTGTTTGATAATTTCACAATTGTTTTCTTTGCCCATTCCCATCATTGCGCACTGCTTAACATTGCCCATTTTCATAGAAAATAAGAAGAAAATTAAAACGTAAAACTCTGTTTTCATAAAAAGGTGGAGAACTTACTGATTTTAATAATTGACTACCAACACCATCTCCATAGGCTGAAATAGGGGAAAAAGGCTAGTCGTGTAGAATAACTTCCTTGAGTCACGGAAGTTTGTAAATGCAGCGACTTGATTGGCTTGTACGCTAACGAATAGGCTCTCAAAAGACTCATTATAATATTTACAGTTATTCTGTCGAGGGCTCTGATTTGCGTACAATCCCATCCTATCGGCGCATTCCGTGATGCAATAAATGCAGCTATTGTAGTCAAAGTATAAGACTAAATTCGTAATAGTTTGACATTGTGAACGTGCTCCTACCATTATTACTACCATAAAAAGAGTTCATTTTCAAAAATCAAAATAATTACCAGAACAAACCACGATAGCAGCAATAAGAAACAGAGAGCTCATGTTGCCAGGTATCACGATCAGACAAATTCTGTTAAGAGTTTTGAAAATCGCTCTACTTCTACGATAAGATAAAAGATAAACGCCTGGAGAAAGTCACGACATTCTCTGGCAAAACAAGCCACGCCTGAAAAACTCCTGGCTACAGACCGAAAGGGTGTTAGTTTATTATTTACGGTGATTATTGTAATAATCTTCCTTTATTTGATTATTTCAGAACGCGTCCTGCAGACTATCTAAGACCTTGAACTACAAACCAAAAGAATGCTACCTACAGGTTTGTTAATTGTAGTTATTTCCCTTTATTTGTTTAGTTCCACAGAATCTAAGCAACGGTTTCAGCTATTTACATCAGTTTTATATTGTGTATGTTATACTTTGCTACAATTTACATAGTCATTAGATAAAGCAACTCAATTTTGTCGTATATTTCTCCGGTGTTAACTTGTGCATAACGTTTCAACAATTTACATTGCCATAATGCAGCCCAATTTTATGGTCTATTTCTTCTGTGTAATTTTGTACACAACGTTTTAAAACTTTACATTTTCATTGGAGAACGTTACCCAATTTTAACGTATACATATAACATAAATAATGGACGTTTATTTTTTTTTATAAAGTTTAAAGATACCTAGATGTATATAAAACGAGAATGATAAAAGATTAAAGACGGGATTGTGTTGACTTTTCTGATAGAAGTTACTTTAAAGTAGAAAAGGCGTTTATATTGAATTGTTCAAGGGGTTTAAAGCTACCATGTGCAATAGAAACGCAAAAACAGTTATCTTCTCGGGAGTTTCTTATATTTTGTAAACTCACATACGCATAGAACGTTAATGGCTAACGTTTCTTTAAGCTGAAAATATAACATCAGTGGATCATCCTCTGCTAAAATTTAAATCAGAGTTAGTTGATGTCTATTGTGTCATTAAGCTGACAGTAGTATAAAAGCGGTTCACCTCTGGAAGTTAGATGATTGTTTCTACTAGTACAAAATTAAACCAACCTCAAGAATTAAACTTAGATCTTGTAAAATATTGTACATCACCCTCTGCTAGTTGATATGTTTCTGTGCAGTAATCAACCAGAGTTAGGTAAAAGGGGTTGTTAAAGCAATGTAATTGAAATAATGAAAGCATAGATAGAGCAGGGTAAAGCCGAACAAATACATTAGGTATGCACAATTGTACTTTTTTTCCTGCATTAGAAGCTTTAATTCACTGACGAACATACCCAATGTTTTCATATTTGAACACTTTAAACAGTGGAGTATTGATTGTTTTACTCTACACCAATATACAATATCAGTTTAACTACTTTCCTCCTATATATTTATAATAAAGTCAGTAGTCTCTGATGTCCAGTTCTTGCCTTCTTGAGCCCAATAAGGTAGTCAATCTTGTAGTCTAATGACGTGAAGAGAAGTGGAATGTAAAGTGAGGAAAATCCCATTCCATTAAACCATTATTTCAGGCGCAGAAAAGTAGAGTTTCCTTTGTTCAATAAGGTGCAAAAAGATAGAATGTAAAACACCATTTCATTTAATCAATTTATATTTAAATTAAAATCTCCCGACATCGAAAAGATGTTCGCTGTCCTGCCAAAATTTACACATTGTACACTCTTCATTACGTTAACCCATTTCCTTTCAACACGACCGAAGACAAAAATGCTTCAAGAAATTTAATTTACTACGATCCGTCCATCAAATTTGTTTCATTTAGCAAACACAATATTTTTCTATCAGAAAACATTTCAACATTCGAGTTGCTTTGAGTCAAATACATGTTTACATTTGAAGGAAAACACATTTTAAAATTCCCATTGCCAAGTATTGGCGTCGCCCCATTTCTTGAACAAGAAAGAAAAAAAGCTCCTTTAAGTTGTGTTACAGAGCCCGCGGCTGTGTGAGTTTCATATCAGTTTGTTTATAAGATTCTCGCCGAGGTATTCATGTTGCGTATCATCAAAAAGGCGGCGACGAGGCGTGGATCTTACACGTTATTTAGTTAGGAATCTTTTGAAGTTACCCGCCTTAAGTCATTGAGCTAAATACATTAGTTAGTGGTCGAGTCTAAACTCTCTAAGGAAAGGGTATGTGGGTATAGAATTGCTACATCAAAGACGTCAATGGGTTCCATTCTCAGTTCAATATGGAGACGATCAAATTTGATTGCCTCGTTCACTCCCTACCACAAATTTCTTTTCATAACAAAAAAGTATGTTGTAAGGTGTAGAGTTGCCATCTTGCCAATCGTACATCTCCCTCGAGTCTTAATTTATATTTCTTTGTCAAAATCTTTTTCGTTTGAAGTTTTAGACGACGTGAGAGGGATTTAAGTTCGGCGTTTAAATGTGAGGGAATTAGCCGGATCAAAGTGGTGTAATCGTGCAGGATTGCCGAACCTTTTTACAATCTTACCGACTTATCGTCCTCTCCAAATTGGCGGAAGATCACTTGGCCTTGAATATTTTAGGCTTTTAGATTTTTTTAAAGTTTACCCTCCTTTGAAGCTTGTAAAACGCAAATTAATATTGAATCAGACGGGAGCTAATTTCGTATGAAGGTTTTTCTCTTTGCACACTGCATGACGTTGTCTCTTTTCATCAGCCCAATCGGGTTAATGAAGATACGTAGAGCCTTACATATAAATATACCGCATTGCCTGCTGAATTGCGCTTTCCATTTTCATTCACCCATTGCACTGTTCAATAAATGATATCTCCTTTAAAGTGAAAGCTATGTATCGAAATTGCGTGGCTTTACTTCGTATTGTTCATTGCAATCAAGCCATATAATATAGTTGTATTTAAAAAAAAAGGAGCGTGGTGGTTACGGGGCACTGAATTAACACGACGAGCCCGTGGGGGTAAGGTTAACACATAAAAGGGTCGACCGCTCCTTAACAGACGTTACGCCTCAATAAAATAATAACACTCATCTTAACTCAATCAAATCAGTTGTAATTGAACCAATTTTCTGATAATTTTAATCAAAATATATGCTGTGTTTGTAGAAGAAGAACTTAGTCGGTTGTGACGTGACGCCATCAGCTGTGACGGAACATTAAATGAACGTACGTCACACATGGCGTTGCGTGAGCTAACAATATATGCTTGGCGGTATTTTTTTTATCTGTGTTGTTTCAGGCGTGAAAAACAAACAAGTAAACAATATTGTTGTATATTTTCTATTAACATTGAAGATTTTTTGTTCTTCCGCAGTCGTGTGAAGTTATTTTTTGTTGATTTTTTGGATAACATTTTTATTGAATGTGTGCCATTGTACGTCTTTTTTGGTTTATAATCCAATCTTGTATAGGCCTACTGCGTTATGACTCTTTCTTGGAACAAGAAATTTTTCGGACCGAATATTTAACTAATTGTAATACTTTTATTAGGACTATGAAATGTTTCTTTGAAATGATTATAGGGGCCAAGGCGTCTCATTTTCATGTGTTGGAAAGAACGAAACAATCGTATTATACAAAGGTAACAACTAAGGTTCTTGAAAATCTTGTCTACAAGCTGATTATCCGTCCATTTCTCCAAAAATTCGTATAACTAGATCGACTGTAATAATCAGGAAAGGCGACTTTAAGGTACCTTAGTAAAAAAAAACCTCACGAATCCAAAACTCTTAATAGGCCCAAAGTGGCTTACAGAGAACCCAAAGATGTTGTTTTACCAAATTCAAAGATACTGATTGTGTATTGACTAAATTCTCTGCTAGTCAAAACATAGCGATTGATGTTTATTTTCTGTTCTCAATTATAGGGTGGTCTAAAAACCGCCTTCTATCATTTTTATCCACCATTAACACACAAAAACTTGTAGAACATCCTTTTATAAACCCTAAATATTGTGAGAAAAATGTGCAAAAAAATTTATCAAAGGTACATTTGTTAGAATTGAAAATATTATCGTCCAAATGTTGAGGAAATTACATAACGGTATGCCAGTCCGCCATATTGGTTTCGTATATTTTTATGCCGTAAGCTACAGACGAAGATATTGTGTAAATATGCGGTTGATTTCTTCTGAAGTTTGAAAATGAAAAACAGGAGAAAACAAACTGGATTATTGTTTCACCTGGTAACTGTGTGTATTTTTCAATTCTTTGATATGCCGAGTTGAAAGTAAGTATGTGCGGCCTCGGAGGGGTTAACATGTGTTCTTGGTGTTATATAAAACCCAACATGGGCCTCATGAAGACAATAATCAAAAATGATAAAAACGAAATTTCCTTCACCACGTGTATTTTCGCAAGTTTTCCTCTTTAATTTGGAAATTTGATTGGAATATTCTGCAGAAAATCATGAATTTGATCAGAGAAATGACAGATCGTTTTCTGCAATTATATTAAATTGCCATTCTACGCGTGGGTCTCATTTTCCAATTTTTTTCTTTACCGACAAATATTAGAATGAACAAAATCCAGATAATGATGGACACAGGAAGGATTTAGTAACATTCCAGTTTCGCACGGCACACACTCCCCTTTAAATATTTTGATGCGTTTGAATTAGGGAACCATATTGAACACTATATTATCGTAATGTCCCTTTTATTGTCATAATTTTTATCATATCAAAACCTATCCCTTGTTCACTGCTCGGAACAGCAGGGGTCTGCCCTTTAATTTACTGATAAGTACCCAACAATATTGGAGCTTGTATAAGAAAATACGATTTATCAGCCGCTTCCTTGTGATGTGACAAATTACACACTGAGCTCCGTTAATTAGTCTGTCAGTGATAAAATCATCAACGTACAACGCCACTTAAAGTGGACAAAAACGAATGAAGCACCTTTTATTGTTCTATGATGATGGGAGCTATAATGCAATTGTATCGTATATACATTTCTAGTTCTATTTATCTCCATTCTTATCTTGCCGTCGGTCTCAAAATTATTTCCCCCTATTGTTCACCTCACGGCTACATGTTCCTCTCTCAATAGAAATTACCTAACTTTTAACAACCGAATACACAATGACGAAAATAACTAACTCCTTATGTCCTCGCCAAGTCTTTGATTTACGGGCTATTCACATCACGTGATAACGTTATCCAATCGCGAATAAGATTTTCACCTCCCGGTGTCTTTGATCTTGAAAATCCAATTATTTGTGTATGTGTATTCATGTTCGGTTGTGTGAAAAGCGATTAGGGTCCCTCCCATTTTTACCTCTTAAACAAGTCAATATAATCCTCGCCATTGTTTGTGTCAATATTCTCGAGTGGTGAACCGTATGGATTCAAGGGATTTAATTTCCTTTTAAAAACCAACCGACTTCACTTCATAATTGGCTGGCGGCTGAGATGAAAGAAAAAGGAATGGCAAAGCGATTGGGGGCGGTGTACTTAATAAGATAACGGGCGTGCTACCGTGACGTCATTTCACGCTTATTCAAAAACGTCTTCACGAGCTAGTCGACTTATTCATTGACAATTCGAAAAACTTTCACGCCGTTTCTAGTCATTTCTGGAAGCAGGTTGTCAACAGACGGACGTTACAACAACATACTTCTCCAACCACTGCAGTTAACTGCGACTTTGACTTAATGCAAAACGCGAGATATTCGGGTGATACTTTTGTGATTTCACTCTTATTCAAGAATGTCTTCACGAGCTATTCGTCTTATTCATTGACAATTTGAAAAACTTTCACGCTTTTCCTAGTCATTTCTGGAAGCAAGTTGTCTACAGACGGGCATCAACATACCTCTCCGACCTCTGCGACATTAACTTCCTGCAAAACGCGAAATATTTGGGATAGTTTCAACCATCATGTGATTTCGGAATCTTCGAAGGTGTTCAGTCAACTCATCTACATATCAACTCATCAATAGTTAACTCAGATTTTCGCTAAAGAGTGAAAGAGAGGAATTTTTGGAGTAAATTCTGAGTAGAAGAAAGCAAACGGCTGCAAGCTAACATTTGTAGGAAAGTCAAAGAACTGATTTTGCTGGAATACGAGAAAAATTCCAAAGGACTGTTCCTGCAAGGATTTGGAAAGAATGTTTTAAGAAAGTTGAATCATTTCAGGAATATTATTTAAAGAATGGCTGCTACAGTGGCCTACCCCAATGGTTTGCCTTTTTATCAGGTGAGTTGATTATTTATTTTTTTGAGATGGGGAGGGGGTGGTGTTGTCAAATTTCAGGAATCCTTTAAAGTAATTGTAATTGTTTTGTCATTGCTGATTGCACGTTTGGAAATATGATAAATATTACAACCACAGAAGAAAGCTCCTCTGGTAACTTAAATGCGAATGTTATATTATTTGAAAATAATTTGAAAGTCTAATAGAAATCTAGCGAGTAATTGTTATGGATTATATATTTATAAAAATCAAACATTATGTTATCCATTTCTAAATAATAACTCTAATCGAATGTGAAAATGTACATCTAATTCTGAATTGATTATACAAAGTAATTGAAATGTAATATATCATTTAAAAAAAGAAAAGGAGGGTAATATTATACATGTAGTAATTGTAATCATGAACATTTTGAAAAATTTGGCAATTGTAGTGTAAAATTATTATGTCAAGACAATATTTATCTTGTCACGTTATAAAATGTAACATAGTATGATATATACTACTCTTATCAATAATTTACATTTACATCAGTATTTTACATGGTAAACTAATCCTATTTTTTTTTTAAAATTATTATTTACTTTGTTGTGTTCTCCCCCTAATGCTTTATATAGACAACGTTTCAACAATTCAAATGTAAACAAATTTATGGAAGATTACAGTGCGAAGCATAGATAATTTGCTTTGGACAAGATTGTTTGAAAATTGTTTGAATTTCCAACGCAATAACGAACTCACTTAATAGGAGTGAGAAATCTACATAATTCTACAGTAAATAATTGGGTGGTCGTAAAGACCACACCTGTGCTTCGAGTCTGAAATTCTTGAAAAATTCCACTTTTAAATAGAACGAAATCAGCACCCAGTTACAGGGATATCGCTGTCCTGTGATACGGAATTCTCTTAGATGTTTTCAAAAATCTGGCAGGCTTGGTGCCAATTGACGATCATATTTCTGGGAGTGTAATTCCATATTTCAAAAAAACATTATTTATTTTCTTCAGGGTTTATTGTACTATAGAGCCGAATTTAATAGTCAAATTTCTAAAATGATTCGAGATTTCAAAACGCATTTTATACTTAGGCCATACTTTTGGATGGCATGGACAAAGCAGGAATGAAAACTCATCGCTTTCGTTATGTTCATGGTGTAAATATTTAGTCGGAAATAATATAAATCAGAAAAATCAAAAGATTTGCTGAAATAGAACTGCATCAGCTTGCAAAACCTAAATTAAGACTCCTATCAAAATTTTTTGTAATTATCGAAAAGGACCGGGTTTCATCTTTTTCTAGACTGATCAGGTGTTAAATTTTCGATCTAAAAAGCAATACGGATTACTGAAATAGAACTGCATTAGTTTATACAAAGCTTAAATTAAGACAATCTATGACCCTTGTCATGAACAAGGTTTAATCTAACTGTAGACTAATTATATATAGGCTTTAATTTATCAAACTGAAAAGTGATACGGATTGCTTAAATCGATCTGCAAAAACTGGCAAAGCCTAATATTTGGCCGACTGTATCTCTTGAATAAAAAACTTGCTTCCAAACCACTGATATACCTTAAAGGGACAGATTCGCCATTTGCGTGAATTGATTTCGATCTTAATAAGACAGAGTCTCAAGAAAAGACGAGTCGCCATTTAAACATTTAAACGCGGATATTCTGGACACGCACAGATTTCAAGGCTGAAATTTCAACGGTGAGCTGTGAACACTATTTCTGATTAGATAACCAAGAATTTTCTCTGAGACTAAAATATTATTGATCAAACGAATGGTGAATCTATCCCTTTAACTAAAGGAAAGGGATCTGCCCATCATCTGTAACGCATATTACATTTAATTGTAACAAACCAGCGACCTTACAGTCAAATTACTCGCGAACCCAGACGACCCGGGGGAAATAATGAAACGTACAATAAACTTTTCACACATGCCTCACGTCTTTCAACTTTCTTTTACTTCCAAACCTTCAAACAACTTTCAATTTTTTTAAACTCAAAACACAAGTCTTAGATCTTCTCTCTCTTACGTTTGTTTCTAAAGCTTCTTTATTTTTCATTTTCTGTTTTTCTAATCTCTCCTTTAATTCGTACTCCTTTGTGAAGTTTTATTTTCTTAAAAGTTTATTTCTTACCAGTCTTGACAATTATTTCTTTGTTTTCATGCAAGTAATCAAGCATTTTGTACTTTCTCTTGGATTTCGTTCTATCCTTAACGGCGCCAATTTTTAATGCAATTTTAAGTTTCGATCTCTTTGACACCTTTTCTTTTTATTTTTGAAACACTTTTTCATATTCAACAAAATTTCTCGATTTTACAGTTTTTGGTAAAACCTTAAATATTTATTTATATGTATGTTAATACAATTTTTCCTCAAGTGTTTTTAATTTGTTTTCCATGCAGCGTTAGCATAGACCCTATTCTTTTGATATTTTTCAAAATTCACAAATAATGCTTTGTAGGCTTATTTTTGATGCAAAAATAAAGTTTATAGTATGTAGGACCATTAAGCTCAAATAGCAGTTGTCTGCTAGACGATTGAGTGCCATAGGTAAGAACCCTTTTCACTTCAAATGCTTTTGAGAGTCGACCTTCTTTGCACAAATCCTCATGAGAAATTTTTTTCTATTTTACAGGACTCTTTAGAAATGGTACCACGGTCACCACTTACCAATTTAGCTGGAAACTGTGGACGAATGAATCACCATGGACTCGAAATCGCCAAACCACTCCCGTTTTTACCAGTTCATAATGGATGGCATGGGCCTCAACAACTTCAGTTGTCACCTTTTCATGGTGTTGTGGCCTCGAAGCCTCAAATACAACATCCGATACCTATCTCTAGTGCCAGTCTGCGGATCCCAACTCCACATTCGCCACATCCTAGTCAAGCATTTAACTATGAACAATACCAAAATCGCCTTTTGCAACAAAATATCATGGCGACTGGTCATGGATTCCCGCCAAATTCTATTGCTATGACGACAGGTCCTACGTCACCAATGATGTCTTTACCAAATATGGCGAAGATGTCGCCACCGTCTTCTCCAGACTCAGATATACCTTGGTGGAGTGTCCATTCCCCTCCGCAGCCTCACCCGGATAGATTTTCGATTCCTCCAGGAATTGGATTTGGTGCGAATTCTCCAAACGGCTTGCAATTAGCTAGTGTTATCCATGGACTCAAATCCGGGATAGCACCGACTCGGAGATGTAGACGTTGTCGATGTCCTAATTGTCAAAATTCCACAAACTCTGGAAATTCTTCCAAACGAAAACAACATATATGTCACATACCCGGATGTGGTAAAGTTTATGGCAAGACATCACATCTGAAGGCCCATTTACGGTGGCACTCCGGGGAGCGGCCTTTTGTATGCAACTGGCTGTTTTGTGGAAAGAGCTTCACCAGATCTGATGAACTTCAGAGACATTTGCGAACGCACACTGGAGAAAAACGATTTGCTTGTCAAGAGTGTGGGAAAAGATTTATGCGCAGTGACCATCTAAGTAAGCACGTGAAAACGCATGATGGAAAACGCACAGTGAGTGTCAAATCTATCGGAAGTGACGATGATTCAGGACACTTGACTGACGACGAGGATATCGACGTCGACGTGGAATCTGATATTTCTGACGATATCGACTTAGAGAAACTCGATGAGATCGAGAGTGGGTCTTAAGTGCTCAACCCTTTCATTACAAACTAGTCCTATAGTGCTGTAGAATTTAGGAAAATATTTTTCTCTCATGGTAAACATGCGAATTTCGAAAACTAAATCCATCGCCAGTAAAGGACTTGTTAAGTTAAAGTCAAAAACGGCTAAGTGAATTCGGTGAATATGGAGAATCATTAGTTTTTTACCACCTTCTGTACCTTATCTTGAAAGTGTGACACGAAACAATGAAATCAACTTTAAAGCCAGCTTAAAAAAATGATTTGTCACGAGTAATGTGAGTCAGTTATACGACATCAACCCTTGATGCAGTCGTTGGATGATTTTATAATAACTCTCTTTTGTGTTACCTACGTCATACTCTAATGTGAACATTGAACAAATGTATTAAAACTTAACACAAAATTGTGTACGGCTGAAAATAATTTAACCTTTTGATCAAAGGGTAAATTAGACTTTATCAAAAGGAATAGGTGTTTAAGCTGACTCGCTAGCTCAAGATACCGAAACATGTACACAAGTCCTTAAAAAGCATGTTATACAACGATAATAACTGCTATCTAAATATTCTTATACAATAAAATCATAGCCAAATATAATATATTATTAAATATAATTATATTAAATAAAGTATATAAATATTGAGTTTTACGTCATTTTATTTTGTACTGTGTTAATTAATGAAATGAAATTTCCCAATACGGGTTTTGACAAGGAAGTATGACGAATGGGTCTGTGGTTTTGACACGATGCATCAATTAATCCTATTCTGCAGTTAGGTCTAATTTTAATTAGACTGTCCTATTCTGTACATTAGGAAATGACATGAAATATAGTTTTGCATCGAGCTAAGCCTATTCTCTATCTCAGAAATTCTAAATGAATTCTTTTTAAAGCCTGTTCTGTACTGTATCGGTTTCATTAAAATAAGCGGTCTTTTCTTTTCCTCCTTTTGTAAATGTAACGAAAACTATTCTGTAGAGTATTGTGCATGCCAATGGACTTATTGTGACCACAGAGAACTAAACTTCTACGACACAATGATCAATGAGAGAAGTTTTGGTCAAACTTAACTCTCTTACTACAAATTTGAAATTTCTAGAAATCTTAAAACGATACGGAAAACTAGCCAGTAATTTTAGTCTCGCTTTCGTTTGATTATCAAATACCTCGACAAGAAAAACTTCAAACATGTTATTGAAAGGCCTAATGTTGGTTTACGGCAAATTTCAAAGAAGGCGGTGTTCTTTGATGTCTATAAGAATAAAAGAATGTAATAAATATTGTAATTGGAGTTAGTCAGGTATTTATTGGACCAGGTAAAAATATAAATTCAGATAAAAATAAATCAAATAAGAATTTTCAAGCCGGTTTTAAAGAAATATTTAAACTTGTTATTCCAGTCTATATGCACAATGAAGTCTGTTTTTATCTGTCGGAAACAGCATATTTTCTTTGAATTTTGAAAGCCGTGATCAAACAAAATTCCTCACTTTCAAAAGCACAGAGAAGTTACTTGATGGAAGTCATTTTTATATAGTTGACTATTAGTATATGCAACGATTCAACGAACTACATAAAGAAAGGGTCGAGATATCTTAGATGCAAATTGAATCAATATTAAACCGTCCATTTTCAAATTCGAAATGTGGAATTTTTCAAAGTACAATACAGTTAAATATATTTTGGAATGGCAAATTTAGCGGAACTCCAATGACGCGTGAAATAATAAAATCATTCAGAATTAAACGTCTTGGCAGATTATGATATAATTATTCTTCTTTCTTGGCCAGTGTTTCCGAACAAGTCTGTAATGACCAATACTAAAATTAACGCAGACTTCACAGAGGACACTATGACAGCATACCGAAAATATGTCTGATAGACTAATTTTGGAAACGCCAAGTAGGAAATAAGCAATATGTGTGAGACGAAATAAAAGAAAGGAAAAAGTGAACTTATAAAGGTTAAACTACAAAGATGAAAGGAAGGGTTAATACCTTATTACATTGGTGTAACCAAGATAAAAGACATCGCCTTCAACGACATGATAGGATATGTTCAAAAACATTTTTCTTCAAAAGAAAAATAAGTGTGTTTGTTTTGTATTTTCTTGTCGACTTCAAATATATATTTGTAAAGTGGTAATAATTTTATAATTGTGGTTTTTCGAAATTTAGATGATAACGCTATTTGTATGTGTTTTAAAAGTAGTCTGCAAAAAATTCAGAGGATAGTATATCCATATATCTTAATCTGCGGGCACACAAACCGTCTTGGTCGGCAATTTTTGTCACTGACCGGCACGGCCACACGAAGAGACAAAAATCTCGTCATTTTTTATCCATAATCACGCAGACGATAAAACAGACAATTATTATCAAACTTAAACTTGTTTGATATTATAAATCTTGTCCCGAACGCGATAATCTTGTCGTGAAAGCACAAAGCGAGATTTTACTCAAGATTCGACAACAATCGTTGCAAAATTTCCCTCTCCGCACACTACAGGGCGTTACCCGTCTTCATTCGATGTAGAAAGCAGAACTTTTTGAAAATTGAGGTCTCATAAAGAGTACAAAAAAGTGGCGACTTCTTTGAAGCGATTAAAACGAAAAATGTGTACAAAGTAAAACATTAGACGGTTCATTTCCGGAATGTTGGCGTTTAATTCAACTGTTAACCTAAAGGTGAAAGTCCTTTCAAATGTTAGCCTATAACGCGTTAAATATCTCTCACAATTTTTACTCGAAAAATTATCTTTAATAGTAGAAACTTCCTTTCTACATAGCTTACCGCTCCAAAACAGCTAAATACTAAAAAGAATATGCCGTTAGTTTGAAAAGCTTACATTGTAAAAGGGTCTAGTCGCGATTCCTTGACAATTTGGGTTTTGTTTGATACAAGCCACCACAGATCCCGCGACTGTTAGAAATAAAATATAGAGTAAGCTAAGGCATCATTTCCACCAATGTGCACGTTGCCCGTCTTAGATAGCTTAGAAACTGAGAAGTGAAAGGACATAAAACTCCATTTAATTTCTGTACAAGAAGTATTCTAAACTATGTAACATCCACATGGAGACATCATAGCTTCATACGAGACTATTAAATGAACTGCGAAATAGTCAAAAATGTTATTCCAAATCGACGTTTCAGGAACGTAGGCCTACAAGTTACTTAAACATGAACTGACCAGGAAACGACCATATAGAAAACGCGAAACCACTAGACCTATAGGAACCGAACAGAAAAACGAACAGAAAACAACATCAAACTAAATGACGAATTCTAAGCCTGCTTAACATATACTTCATTTAAAAAAAATAATGTGCTAATGAAAACGTGAACTCATAACAATGCTTTTTGTATTCAGGAGTCAATAATAGGCTTATTCCGTCCTCTGCGCCTGACTTAAACGGGCGGGTTTGTCGGCCTACTGGTCATAATGGCATCAGAATCAGATGAAAATGTCTTAATTCTACTTAAACCACTGTAGCCACAGTCCTGACTTTTTGTCTAACACCATAAATTAATTTAAAATTGCCATTTTCAACGCCTGATAAAATCTGTGCAAAGAATATTCCAAGATGGCGGAACAGGAAATGACGAGAAAACACGAGATTGGGATATTCTTTAACTCACGTGAAACGATGCGCGAGACGAACACGAAAAGAGTTGAAAGGTGCCGGCTATAAAAGGGGTAATTTAGTGTGAATGGGGCGATAACTGGAACGGTTTTGACTAAAATAATCTTTTCTCAATACAATTTGAAAATTAAACAGTATCAAAATGAGCGAATTTGTACCTGTTCGTTCTATTCAGTTCGGTTAATATGGTCAGTGGTCTTTGTATGAGTTATTAAAAGACCCTGACAAGTGGCTTAGATCAAAATTGACTGAAACACGATTGAATACACGAATTAACCCTTTAAACCCCCCACGTTTAAATGTAGGGTTAACTCTTTTACTTTTATTCTTTTTTTTTGAGAATTTTAGGGTAAAAGGTAAACGTGGAGATTTAAAATTCAATTTTTATTTCGGCAACTCTCGACATTTCCGTAAAGCTCAATCTAGATATTTTTCAGAGCGCCAGCTGAACATTGACTGCGGTAGCCCGTTATCAAGATATTTTGCTCCTTGAATTATGAAGAATGTATGAGTCATACGACATAATAAACCCTTGATACAATAGATCGGTGCGGTTTTCACTGAAATTTTGTTGGTCGAGGATTTAGTAATTGATTAGGATGATTCTCCGAGTTTTATTAGTCCTGAAAGATAAGGAATTGGTTTTACAATTCCTTGAAGAATGAATTGAATGTTTCTTTTTATGTCGGCTACATCAGTATAATGTGCAAGAAACTCTTTAACAAAAAATATATACAATTTATTGTTAAGATGTATATTAATCTGAAAATTTCTAAAAAAAATGCAAAAAGGTAGAAAACTTGACCTATATATATTCACAAAGTTCGGCATTTTTTTCATTGAAATAAATGATTAGGGCCTAAACGTAATTTCGCGTTCCAAGAGTATAAGGTACAAACCGTTTATTTTGACGATCACAATTGAAAAGGGAAGATCATTCTTAATCTTGGAGCCCCCATCTTCAAATCTAAACTCATACAACAAAAAACGGATTTTCACTCAATTAATTTCTAGAGATCTTTAGTCTCATAACTCATAATCCGCTTTTTGAAAATTCGAATATCGGGCGGGGCATTGAGTACAAATCAATCTCCGTATTGAAGAGTTGATTGACAGGCCAAGTGCTCGTGACCTTAACCAAATAAAAAGTGTAACAATAGGGTGTATTAATAATATTCAACAAAATGTGATTTTAATATATTATTAAAATGAAACCGCTGGGCAATCTGTTCGAAAGGACCAACGTTATGTTGTCTTGAAAGTCGGTTATTAAAAAACGTTAGTTTAGGCCTAATTATTGACGAGTGGAAATGACACAAGGTTAAACTAAAACATCAGTTGAGTAAACGCACACCTAAAGTATGTCAATCGTAGGAAATGAAATCAAATTAGATTACATTTTTTAACAAATCAAATCGTGCCATGGGCACGATTCTTGATGACAAAGACTTATTTTGGAAAGCGAAACCCAAATTAAACGGATTAATTTTTATTGCCTTTTATGTGTATCCGGGACACCTTCGACTTCTATTTGGGACATTGCAATCCTTTGTTCAAGCCGGTGGTAACTGCAATTCCAGAAAGGGTTAACCGGAAATGACGCACAAACCCGAAGAATATGAACACTGATCTGACAACTTACCATGAAATAATGGGGAGGTTTCAAAATGAATCCCTTGGGGGGTAATTACTCCCAGGTTTAAAAACCCATGATTTAATAAGTTCACTAAGCTCAGTCATTCCACTAATCCGACCCATCAACTCAAATTCGATTACTAAGGCAGGTAGATGACAAGTTAATGTTCGCTTCCAGTGGATGCTGATATTGCAATTCGATTACTAAGCTTAGTGACCTTATTTATACATTCCATACAAGGGTAATAACTACTATTTAATTGATATGCTACAGACAACCTTTAATAAATATTTTTAAGACTGTATAACTGGTTAAAAGCAAACAAGAATTCTGTAGCAAATAATCTGAAAACCAACCGCCCACTAATGTGTTCACTCTTCCGTATGAAAGAGTTGTCCATAAATGTTGCCAGATTTGATTGTCTTGTCTGTAAATATTGAAGTATCGCATGATTTGTTCAGATTCTGTAACAGTTTGGTCTGGTGTATTAGTAAGGTCTGAAGCAGTTAGTATTTCCACAACCATAGAAAGGCTTCTATAACATACAAAATAGAAAAAATAAGAAATCATGCACCAAAAACCCAAATATCATAATAAAACATCACACATCATGATATTATAAAACCTTGTGAACTAATAATTATAATAATTAGCAACAGAAATGTAAATCATCATGCAAAACAAAATTATTTAGAATATATATCATGTTCAAAAAAAAAATATGCTCCTACTTTAAAAAAACAAAGTATCAGAGAAAATTGTTTACATAGCAAAACACAAGATAAATAACCAAGCAGTTATATCATTCATGTAAAAATTTAAAGCAATAAGTTAAATATTTAGTGCAATAAACCTGTCTTCAAATACAGGAGCAAATCACATGCAACTGAGTATCATACTCAGTTTTTAGCTGATTTGCAAAGTAAAAATAACACAGCCAAGACTGGATAAAACCAACACTTATACAATGCAAAAAACCTAACCTGACAGCATGAAAAAAAGTAAGCAAGTTTTATGTATTACTATATATTTATACATGTATGTGAGACAAATATCTCAATTTTTCATGGTTTTGACTATGCTGGATATAGTCGAGGGAAAGTTTTTACAAGTTACTATTCAATATAATGCACTGGCACAGGGTTAAAATTATGTTTACAATAATTGTGATGCTAATATGCAATGCATAGAGGTAGAGTCATCTAAAAGATTGCTTCACCAGCTGGTAGAGCTCAATTTATCAATTGAGAAAGTAATTGTTTAGATGATTGCATCACTTTAATATAGCTTTGGATATATGAGGGGAAAAAAATTCACATAGAGTAAAATCAAAAGTATTTTTTTTAATCAAAAATAAATTTTTGCACATTTTAATTTAGTAGCAAAATAACTAAATATTTTAATTACTACCAGTTTCTCAATTACTGAACTAATATTAAATCAGAATTTCAAGTTAATGATCAAATTTAAATTCAATTTGATTTATGAACCAAATCAGACTACTTAAATATTTCTAAAATTTTTTAGAAATACAGTGAACTGATTGGTTGACAATAATAACATTTAAATTAATATAAATCATTGTGATTAGAATTCTAGTAAAGAGTAATCAAGTTATGAAGTTTTTGAAAACAAGATCCTGATTGGATAATATAGAATCTAAGATAGAATTAACCAATCAGCTCTTGGCATTTTATCAACAAGTGGTGGTAAAATCTGGTTTTGTATCTAGCTAGCACTAAACGATAGACTACAGACAAGCAAAGATATTTGAGCATATCTGTATGCAACTTCATCATGAACAGTCCACTTTATTTTTAGGTTATTTAAGTAGTCATGTACACAACAAAAGTCTAGAATATTGTTTCAGTTACTATTTATTCTACCTTCAAACAAAATAGACTGTTCTTGTTTCTATTTGAATTGTTCTGGATGCGCAGAAATATCTGTGTTTCATTATGCATAATGGAATGATTTCCAATTGAAAGACAAAAGTTATTTACAATATCTATTTGGCCTAAATACGGAAGGCTAATTAACTAGGTAGTAGACTCAGCAATAAAAATTTGGCTAAAAATTCATCAATAGCTTAGCAATGTCCTAAGTTTCCATTGGAAGTATTATGCTATTAGAAATTAAAGAGACAATCTTTCTGAAAATGGGAATGAGGCAAGTTGATGTCTCCAATGCTCATAAAATGTTTTCAAAAGGTCTTAACTATCCCTTTAAAGGGACAGGTTGGCCATTGTCAGTGGTTAATTTGGATCTTGAATGTATGTAAATATATATGCAAAGCGGAAGACGTACATTTCTTTTAAATATACAAACTTTCTATTTCCATTTTTAATACAAGACAAGTCAGCATTTAAACTTTCAAATGCTGATAATTCTGGACACACCTTGATTTGAAGGCTCAAATTTCGTCTGTAAGCTGTGAACACAGTATTTTAAAATGTCTGGTACGATGGGTCTAAGGCATGACGAATGTGTCCCTTTAATTATCATAGAATGAGTATTATGTGGGAATGATGCAATCTAATTTTACTCATCTAATATAATCTTATTTGTTTTGTGATATTTTTAGTCTCAAAGGTAATCTAACAAGTTTCCTACTTAAAACCTGTCCCAAGAATGTTATTTTAAACCAATCGTCATGTGTCATGTAAAACCTCTTTCGTAATAAAGAAGGAATAGTGGTATAGCGAAGCCCAAAAAGGGTGTCATTGTGTTCTTTTTTTAGGTGTCCATATATCCCACAATTTCTTATTTTATCAAAAACGGATTCTATATGATGCACTTTGATTGGTTGAAAACACTACTTTTGGTAGAAAACTATCAAGATTACCATGTACACTAAAAAGATACAAAACTGTTTATCTAATTTTAATTAGATTAGGAATGATGATGGGAGGTAGGTGTTGGTTACTATGGTAGCTAGGACTTCTCTTCTAGCAGGGTGTATTTGCCACGCTGGTTATGTCTATTTTTAATTTCAAATATTGTAATTATTAAAGCTAGGATTAATATCATACCAGCTATTACTGCCATAATTAAGGCTGCCACTGAAAAAATCAAAAAATTCTTTTTGTGACATGATACCAAACATTTTCTTTGAGCTTTTTGTTGTGCAAATGTTTTGGTAGTGGTTAACTAAGGTATAACTAGTTTAAATTGAACTCTGTAAATGGATAGAGAAAAGGGAGTGACTTAAGTTGGTCTTTCATGTCCTACTTTAACCACCTAATTCAATTACAGAAGATGCCTTATGTCCTTAATGTCCTTTATTCATCCAGTTCAGCAAGCCCTTTTTATGATAAAAACTATACACTATTATAATACAAACAAATATACAGTAGAAAAGATAAACAGATTTTGAACAAACCTCCATTAGATATGTTTGCAGAATTTGGACTGTTAGGATCATCAATCCGACATTCAGCATGCCAGTCGACAGGTACACGATCTTTTGTTAACTTTATAAACTGGTCCAATGGGCAATCAAATTGACAATCTACAAATAAAAATGTCATCATTCCAAAATTTATCTCAGTAAAGCCAAGATATTGCAATCCTTACGACAAGGCCAGGAAAAGTAAAGCAATAATAGTGCTCACTGTCCAAATTTTTATCCATTTGTTTCAATAATTATCGTCATAACTCATCTTTTCTTGATATAGAATAGCAGTGAAGATAGAAATAGAAAGAAAAATTCTAGTTTAAGGTCTATTTGAAGGTATTTTCTTGCAGTTCTAATAGTTGTGAAGACTATTTACACATACTTAAGGCCCAAATCAATCCCAGAAAAATGCTATTGAAAAGAGGTTTAGTAAAAAGATTTATGTGTATCAGAGACACTGAGAGCATCAACCTGTACCATTCCAATTTTCAGTCAGGCGGTTTTTGCAGTTCCAAAAGAAAATAAGTGTTTAATGACATCACCAATAGCAAAGTATGCTTGTACCAGAAAAGGCCCTTCGCGATTAGTGATGTAATTAAACACTTAGTTTTAGTGCAATTGCAGGAACAACACAAAAGAAAACCTCTTTACAATCCCTTAAAGTATACCAACTTACCTGGAATAGAGAGCTTGTGAAGAGATGTTGGTTCAGGATACGTGTTGTTTTTATAAAACAGATTGACAGAGTAGTTATTGTTCTTTTCGTGGAGTTCCATTATAACTGCTGCCGTATATGGTGGACTGATTTTGTTGAAAACTTGCAAGGCATTCAATAGGGCTGCTACAGTTGTGTCATGCTGCAAAGCAAAAAAAAATCATAACCATGTAATCGATTAAATCAAGTAAACTTTTAGTGGTTAAATGCAATACAGAACCACACAAATTTTACATGATAAGATCTAACAAACTAGAACCGAACCTAGATGTCAGTTAAAATGTCACAGAAATTCTTTAGATGTGAGCCACTTGATAGAAAATTAGCTACTGCTGATTAAATCCAAAAGAGAGTTAGTTTCTAAGAAATGAAATGGAATTTTCAAATTTACATTCTACATGCTCCATATTTAGCCATTGTTAACTGTACAGTGTTACATGAGGAAAATCTTCATTACTAGAGCACCCAGCCAAATGACAACCCCTTTTTTTAAAATCATTTTCCATTAAAATTTGACCAAATTGTATATTAAGTCAATGTTTAATAATGAACATCAGATTGATTTGCATACAGCTATTATCAACTTGTGTGTCACTGTGTCACAGCAATCATGACGTTCTTTCAAAGTTTAGTTATAATTACCATGTTTGTCACTTTCTTTACAGAAATCAAGTTGTTCAAAGTTACAAAAAATTGTAATATGCAAACTTACCCCTGAGTAGAACATTACTTTCTGAGAAAAGCTAGTCGTTGCTTTCATGACTTTGGCCTGCATGTTATCTATAAATCTCTTCAATATAGGACCTGTAAGATCACAAATCTAACAATAAAAATACCAATGGTCTTCGTTTTCATTTTGTAGAACAAAAATTTGCTGATTATTTTAAAGTGAATTGGAAGTTTTTTACAGCTTGACATTATTGTGAAGATGCATGATAATATGTGCCCATTGTTATATTTTATCCTTCAAGACTATCAATACAATTCTGATGCTGATGTTATAATTCACAGAAAATTGTTGAAATTTGAATATGCCAACATCAAGATCTTATTCCAGCAAACCAACATTTCATCATTTTGATTGGTCGAGGATTTAGTCTTTGTCCAATTACATTAATTTACTGACTGACTGACACCAAGCAATACTGTAAATCAGTAAAATTAGATGTCGAAAGTAGCACAAAAAATAAGTAATAGATTGTAAGTAACTGATGCTTGATGGATCAAAGGGTTATATGTTATAGACTCTAGCTACCAATGTGACATCAAGATGAAATTTTCCAAGACTTACCTCCCTTCAATCTGCTCTCTATTGGGCCTTTGAAGAGCAATTCAAAACCCCATGTTTCTAATCGCAACAGTTTCTGGTAAATAGTTTCATTAACCCAAGGTGCCCATGTTTTATTGTGATTTTTCTGAAAAAGAGAGATAAGTTTTCAAAACCATTCTGATCATGGTTAAAGATATTTTTCTTAATTTTTTATGATTATCAGGACACTAATAGCATGCACCATTCTAATTTTCAATCAGACCTCTTTAGTTCTTATAAATACTCTAAAACTATCCATTTTATGATGTCAAGTCTGTCTTAAAGTCTCCTAGATATTGTTTACAGTTTTTGCAATAGTGACATCATAAAACACTTAGTTTTAGTGGAATTTCAAGAAGCAAGAACCAGACTTCTGATTGAAACTTGAAATGGTGAAAATGAATGTGAATCTACGGAGCCCCTTAAGCGCAATTTTCAACACTTTCGTTTAAACGAAATAATAAATAAATATGTTTACAATTGCGCCTTAGGGGCTTCGTATGAATCAGTAAATACAACAAGTGTTTCCTAGATATATGTGCCTACTTCCCTGATAAATTTTCAGTATATCAAGGGTGGGCGCCAATCTGGTATCAAAAATCTAATTTGTCAAAGATATTCTTGATTTAATCAAACACACAATATTTCATACAATTCTGACATACACTTTCACCTCTATCGAGTTCACAAGTCAACAAACTTTGATGCATTTTTACTAAGCCAAGGGTAATAACTATAATTCACTTCATTGAAAATTCGTCAAATTCAAACTTGACCATGATCACAGCAAATTTAATTAAAATCAGATGAAAACTGTGGTCTCTATAGTGTTCACAAACCATTTACGATGTGGATTTACATCGAAAGATCTTCAAATTCAAACTTGTCCAAGATATCATCATATTAATGATCATACCAAATTCCATTCAAATCAGATAAAAACTGTAGTCTGTATTATGTTCACGAGTCAAACTTAACAGACATCATTGAATTGCAAGCTTATAATAGATTAGAACAATAAATGGAATAACAGGCACATCTAATGCCTAAAATTTCATTTAGCTGGAATTGTTTTTGCATCAGTCAAAAACAAATAATATGATGATTGCATCACTAAATGGTACCTCCTAAAATGAAAATAAAATTTTAATCTCAAACTTGGTCAATAAGAGCATACATTCATGAGTGGACTTGCCTGGTATCGTAACTATAAAAACGATTCCCTTATTCCATAAATCCTTAGAAAGAAAGGAACAAAACAGGTCATCTCTTACTAAATAAGTGAACTTACCTCACAGAAGAGAGAATCTGCTATAGCCCAGATATTATTTATAGCTTCATGCTTGACTCCACTCATTTTTGACACAAATGCATAAAAATCCTGAAAAAAATGACTTTTTCAATATAAATTACTTTTCCAAAATTGGATTTCACTACATTTAGCAGAATTTGGTGATTACAATATATGACATTAAAAGGACAAATTCAACATCTGTTTGACCAATCATACCTTAGTCTCAGAGTCATACCTTAGTCTCATTTTCTAGCTAAGCTAATCAGTAAAAATGTTCACAGCACACTGTCTAAAATATGAACCTTTAAATCCATGAGCCAGAATTATTCTAGTTTTAAAATTAAAATGATGACTTGTTTTTTTCTTGAGACTCTGCCATAATAGAAAAGACATAATACGTGGAAACAAAAAGTGAAATTCGTATTTTGGGGTATTTATAGGAATGATGTAATTTCTGGGCAGTTCTAGTAGGTAAGTATGGAGACTATTTGTATGTTCAAAAATACAATATAAATTATGATTATCTTATCTTAGATCTTTTATCTATATTCTTATCTTATATTTTGTGTAACAGGTTCAATTTATACTGTAAATTATCTCAAACAGCAAGTACATGTATAAATTACATCATTACTGTACTTCTTATAATCTTGATTTTATCTTAGTTAAAGTTTCTGTGAAACATGCACAATTAATTATGTAAGTTTCCCCAAATAATTTAAAATCAAACCTTGTTTTCGTTTTCCTCTTTTAGAACTTCAGCAGATTTCAAAGACTTCTGATAAAGTTGAGTGTATTTTGGACAATCAGCTTGAATGGCTAGCATCTGAAATAATAAACTGAGTTTAAAGTCAAACTATTCTGCTTCTAATTGAGCTAATAAAATCAGGGCACACCATCATTGTGTGAAATTTCTGCTCCTGATTGAGCTAATGAAGATAGGAAATGTGATGCTTTGTGCAATGAGGGAAATGTTGTCAGGGATCTGTTTTCAAATAATTATGTTTATAACATTATCTTACATTGTCAAGTGGCTCAGGTATTGTGTGAACTGGAATTGGTTGCCAGGTGAGGTTTTCTTTCCATTCCTGCCAGCCATATGGTGGAAACAGACCCGCCATGTTGGAATACGCTGACATCAAACATCTATCTACATTTGAACTGTTGATGTAAATCTATAGAAAACAAAATTATGAGTAAAATACACAATAATATAGAATAATATTACTAGTAGGTTATTGTCAATATGTTTACTGTTACCATGTTCACATTCACAAATGGAATTTTTATTATTTTTCATACATATGGTTGATTTTGTTAAATTTGAATACATGTATGTTAATCTAGTACACTTATATCATCAAGTTTCTATGAATGACCAAGCAATAAAATACAAGTATTGTGGCATGTCATATCACTATGTATTGAGTCACTGATAAATTGTGCCAGCACTACAATCTACCTAGAAATAGAAAGAGAAGCTCACCTCTGACTGTAGAAATGTCTTGTTTAGATAACCATCATATCTGTCTCTAAGATATTTACCTAAATGATAATGCTGTCTTATTCCTATCTACAAGACAAAAATACATTATCTTGAATGTATGCCATATTGAATTTTCAATTAGAAACCTAAGGGTGGAATGAAGCCTTTCACAATTTGGTCTGTGACCATTAAACGAATAACAGCACAGCAAGTTACTTCATGTTTACCGTATTTGTGGTTACTCGTTTTAAGTATGGGGTGGTTGATGCTTGTCGACCACTGACTTTCTTCTCAAAAACTTAAATAAAATTGATCTTAGTAATTGACCAATCAGATGATTGTTACTGAAATTCATCTTTTTTGAGTGTTATAGAATAAGGCATCAAGTATTCAAAATTCCAGAAAGATGTGCAATATCTGACCTACCTCTGATAAATACCCAAAGCCTTGTGGCCAAGAAGAGGCAGTATTGGGATCTGTGGGAAAAGCCATGACAGGTGACCGATCTCCATGCCTCCATAACTACAATAATTACCAAATAATACCTCATATATATATATATACAGTGGTGTAACCTATTTTCGTGGATATAAGGATTCAACACCGAATTTTGTCAAAGTTTAAAAAAACGAATTTTTATGTCTTAGATGTTTCCTCAGATATTCTACAAAATAATTAATATTGGTTTATTTCGATTTTCTTTATGAATCCTTCACTTTGACCCATATTTCATGAGCAACCAACTCGGCAACGGCGGCGGAATGCGTCACCTTTTTTCATGTACAATGTTTGATTTATAAATAAGTCTAGAAAAACACGTTGTATGGATACCCAGTGGTATAATTAACTTCTCTTAGTATCTATCTTTAATATCAATTCATTATAACTAGTGTATGGTGGCCCATGAGCGCATAGCTGTTTTATTAATTTATTTATGAAAAAAATATTCTTTTTAATTTGAATTCATTTTTATTTCACTTTCATTTTGATTTTAAATTCATTTTACTTTCATTTCGTTTTTTATTTTACTTTCATTTCGTTTTTATTTTACTTTCATTTTGTTTTAAATTCGTTTTACTTTCATATCGTTTTTTATTTTACTATTATTTTTATTTTACTTTCGTTTTGTTTTTAAAATCATTTTACTTGTACTTTCATTTAACTTTTTATTTTACTTTCACTTTCGTTTTGTTTTTAAAATCATTTTACTTTTACTTTCATTTTCGCTTTAAAAAAAAAATTCTTCTTCATTAACTTAATTTGACTAAGCAAACCTTAGTCTCAGAAACTATAATTTTTTTCAGCTAAGCCAATCATTAGTAGTGTTCACAGCTCACCGTTGAAATTTGAGCCTTCAAATCCATGTGTGTCCAGAATTATCCTCATTTGAATGTTATAATTTAACGACTTGTCATTTTAAGATATGCTGTGATATATAAAAAAAGACATAGAAATAATGAGTAAAATTCCCAGGCATACATGTGTAATCTACTGATATTGTCGGGTTTCTACCGCTTTTGCATGTTGTCTACCGCTCTACCGGCGGGATACCTGATTCTACCGATTTTTTGTTTTTTTCCTGATCAAATTTTCACGGGACCTACCGTTTTCAATGTTCAAATTCTCTACCATAAATCAACAGAATATCTATCATCACTTGTATCTTAATTGCCAGTAACACGCGTTAATCTCATCACGTAATAATATTATCATTGCCTGATTAATTAATCTCCCAATTAAGATGGTAATTTGATCTATTTTCACCCAATAATGTGTATTTTAAGCCCATATGACACTTTTTATAACATCATCCGGTAGATTCTACGTTCGCTTTTATAATAAATTTTACGGTAGCCCTACTTTTACTAAAAAACGAAATCTTGAAGTCTTCTCAGTATTTTATACAGTCAGTGTCAATCTGTGAGGTCTATAATAGGCCTATATAACATAGACGTCGTTTCAGAATTATTTTTCATTATCGGTAGATTATCATACGCGACTGGATGTCTAATTCTTATGTAAACTCAAACTTCGTTTCATAAAATCGTTTTGTAATTTTACTGTAGCCTGTAACCATTCATTTGATTGCCTGCATAACGGGCTTACTTATTACAACTGTTTCCATTCTGAAGAACGTCAAAATGGAAGCGGAAAAATTCAATTCAATACTTCGTGAGAGTGTTGCAGGAAAAAAGAAAAAAACAATCAATTTAGAGTTTCAAATCACGAATTCACGCGCTTTGGAAAAATCTCCCGACTTTTCACCCAATCTCCAGATTTTTCAAGGCAAATCTCCAGATTTGTTTTCCTGACCTGTACACATGTAATTTTAAATTCCTAGTTTGAAGTACTTTTAGAGAAATTCTGCGATTTTCTCACATTTCTAGTACTTCTGAAGACTATTTACATATAAGCTTTTTCAACACTGAATTTGTAAGTTATTATCATGATAAGAATGAAGAAATGACAAATTAAAATGGGGAATGGTTAGTACTGATTATCCAGTCTCAGATGGATGGACTGATGGACAGCGATGACAATATACCATCACATTTACAATGTTCTCAAAAGAAGGGCATAAAGTCTTAATGATTAAAACAATATTGATGAGATTTGATTAACAGAATTGTCTTGTTTGAGTGGATTTGTTTTTTCTCAATTTAAAAATTGTATAATAATGAAAACAATCAATAATGAACTTTTAAACCATTTTATTTTTCAAAATCTATGAACTCCGATATTTAATTAGTTTACATATTAAATCAATAATCAATAATTCACAAATATAGCAGGTTAGATTGTGTTGCAAGGGTCAGAAGAGAGAACTAAATCAAATTAACAAATATCACTCAATATTTCAAATATATAATTCTTGACTTCCCTTTTAGTCACTTATGGGAAAGAAATAACTTTGTGACAATCTAAGACTTCAAATATTAATCCTAACAATGTAAATATGTAAGTTAATCTTTTGAAATAACTCTAGAACTGCACAGATAACCTAGAATATTACTTTGATCAAAATTCAGTTTATAGTGACAAAATATTTTCACTGCTAAAATAGGACCCAATACATCAATTGTAGAGTGAAATACTATTGTTAAAATAGTGCTCAATACCGGTACATCAATTGTAGAGTGATAGATAAATACTATTATTGTTAAAATAGTGCTCAATATATCAATTGTAGAGTGATATAGAAATACCACTATTAACATAGTGCTCAATACATCAACTGCAGAGCAAGATTGAAATACCACTGTTAAAAAAGCACTCAATACATCAATTGTAGAGCAATATAGAAATATCAAGTTAAAATAGTGCTCTGAAATACATATTGTAGAACAATATAGAAATACACTGTTAAAATAATCAATTTCAGAGCGATATAGAAATATTGTACCACAAAATATTTTCACTGCTAAAATAGGACCCAATAAATTAATTGTAGAGCGAAATACTATTGTTAAAATAATGCTCAATACCAGTACATCAATTGTAGAGTGATAGAAAAATACTATTATTGTTAAAATAGTGCTCAATATATCAATTGATATAGAAATACCACTATTAACATAGTGCTCAATACATCAACTGCAGAGCAAGATAAAAATACCACTGTTAAAAAAGCACTCAATACATCAACTGTAGGGCAATATAGAAATATTAAGTTAAATTAGTGCTCTGAAATACATATTGTAGAACAATATAGAAATACACCGTTAAAAAAACCAATTTCAGAGTGATATAGAAATACTGTACCACTGTTAAAATAGTGCTAAAAATAAATATTGTAGAGCGTTACAGAAAAATTAAACAGAACCTGACACATGTTGAGTTTGTCAAGTAGAACTTGTTTTCATGTCTACACTTCAAGACATAATCACGTCAGAGGAACTCAGTAAGGCCAGATTTGTCTGGAACTTATGGATTGGCTTTGGGTTGATGAAAATTCCAACCAATGAAAAAATTATTAGTTAAAAATTCGATTTTACAGTGAGGAATAGAATATTCAGTCCAAAACAAGGATCAGTTTCACAGGACATTTCTGGGTTGGAAGCGTATTAATTTCAACAAAATTGCAAACTTAATACTTCTATTAGTGCCGGCATGATATATCAGTGATACGACATGCTACACAAGTATCTTATCACAACGTCAAGTATCAAGACTTTTCATTCCATAAAAAAGTGGAGATTTTTATAAGTTGGTTTATGATATATGTAGGCCTGTACAATTGACTCTATCATCCTGTCCCACTCTGTCTAGGCACATCTGCGATGAAAGATGTTTGGTGTCAGTGACTATAACAAGATATTCAACATTTTTTGGTACCGGTATGCAAATTTCCAGACAACATAGGCCTGTGAATGAAATAAATATACAGTGATGTAACCTATTTTGGTGCATATAAGGATTCAACATTAAATTTCGTCAAAATTAAAAACAATACACTTTTTTTTTATGTCCTATATGTTTCCTCAGATATTATACAAAATAATTAAAATTGGTTTGTTTCGATTTTCTTTATGAATCTCTCAACTTGAACTATATTTCATGAGTAACCAACTCAACAATGGATTCTAAATGCGCCAACTATTTTCGTGTGTAAAATGTTTAATCTACAAAAAAAGTCAAGAAAAACATGTTGTATGCATACCATGTGGTATAATTAACTTCTATTAGTATTTATCTTTAATATCAAGTCATTATAACTAATGACAATTCCTTCAAAGAATAATGATTTTGGAAAATATAGTGACTGACAAAATAAGATATTAAGTAGGCTAAAGGGTATGAGTGATTCATTGCTAAAAGTCATTGAAACAACATAAGAATACTGCCTACATTGTGTACCATATAATTTTTCTGCTCACATGGAATCTGCTGGTTCATTTGACTACATTCTAGCAGATGACACTTGGAATTCTGATTACAGCTTGGGATTATAAGGAAATACGCCGATAAAAATTGTGACATTTAGTAATAATTGAAATAAGCCATTAATTTGTATTTGTCAAAGTATACATTAATACATTTTACCTTGCTTGAAACTACTGGATTCATTCTACTAACTGACATTGCACAAACAAGCAAATGCGGAGATCACACAAGGTCACACATGTAAATTATTTAATCCTTTCCGGAGATGCACGAAATTAGGTTTCCTGACTGGTAAAGTAAATTGAAATTTCTTGTTTCAGATCTGTTTGAAGGGATTAATGTGATTTTTGTACAGTTCAAGTATATATGAATACCATTTCAAGTATACAACGCCAAAATCAACAAAACGGCGAATCTGTGCCTTCAAAGATTTGTGAAATGAGAGAAAAAATTCAATGAGTGGTGTCCTTTTCTGTAAACCAAAATCACAAACGGTACAAAAAAAAGTCAACAAAACTTACCACATTGACCAGTCTCAGCGTGCTTAGGTTAGTTGACAAACTCAACTGCGCCAAAAACAGCAGATAGTAAGACAAAATTAGCCTAAACATTGTCAAAAACTTTCAAAACTTGGAAGATTCGCCAATGTTTTTCACATTTAAGTTGACAGCTCAGCTCTTCTATCACGGAGATAATTTTTCTGTGAACTCACGTGATCGTCACGTGATGATACAAAACTCGAAAGCCTCTAAAATACAGTGAAAAGCGTGTCGATAAGTGCAATAAGAAATGCTTCAAAAATTTAAATTTTTAAAGAATGTTGGCTTAATTTGAAAATGATAATGTTTATCTTTTCAACACACATGTAGATTATCAGACATCGCCACTACTCGGCCAATCTCTGTATCTCTAATAGTTTGTTCATCGACATCCCGGAATCATAGTTGGCCCACATTTCGATAATAGTTGGCTGTTGTGTTCTTGTACGTTTCGATTGTAACCTTTTAATATTTCTTTCAGAGATAGGTTTGTATGTCACATCCACAAGCTGTGCCCCTGTGTACAACAAAGGAACAAGCATAATATATGCAGGGACACGTGTTTGGCATGTTGATTCAACGTCCGAATCGTCTGATCAAACAAACTCTATTCGTCCACAGACCACACCACACTAGGCCTAGTCATCCACGTAGGCCTACAGTCTACACTCAATGTAGGCTATTCGAAAAATTCCTTGCACATAAGCATTTTTCTGGAAATAAGAGGCTTGAAAGCCTAAGGCCTGAATTTTCCTAAATACAGCCCAATGATTCCCGTAGGCCTATCATCTAAATGGGATTTCAAATTGTAAAAAAAATCTAGCTAAAACAACTTAATTAGGCTAGACCGGCTACTCTTCAGTGGTTTCGTTCCTACGAACATAAGGTATGTTGCAAACCGTGTCGTCAATAGGGGCATCTGGTAAAGGCATATTATCCAATACAGAATGGATATCTTAGTCGCTACATATGCAGAACATCACCAAGGGAAATCTCTATCATCTTTAATCAGTTGCCTATATTATATAATCTGTTCTGGTTTTAAAGTTAATACCGCATAATATAGCCTACGATGCTGCCATCTGCTATAATTATCGCACGCTAAGTCCCTACTTACTTCTCACATTTAATACAAGAGTTGAACATTTTCAGACATAAATGAATGAATGTCGAACAACGTTCTATTAATAATATGCGTTTTCGGAAGCCATATCAATGTTGATTAATCGGTTACCTCTGATCTTTCTGTTAATTGAATTATCACTGATCATTATATAGGCCTAATTGAATGATCGCCGATCATTATGTAGTAGGCCTATTTGAAGAGATTTTGCGATTCTCATGCAGTAGCCTAGTTCTGAAGACCATTTACATGTATTCAAGACCCAAATCAACCACCAAAATGGTGGACTTGGTCTTTAACTTGATTAACCAAAACTGAAATTTGGCGTGACTAATTGCCCATAAAAACGTTCAATCTAAATTGAACCCTGTACAAATTTTTAAGTAAAAGAATTTAGACTTGTTTTGTGTTTGTGTGAGGGTGTATGTGTAGACATCTAGAAAGAGCCTCTCTGAAAAATCTCTCCGTAAACTATACATTTAAAGGTGAGAGCACACGAGCGGTCTTGGTATGAGATTTTTGTCGCCTATTGGAGTCTTGAGTTAATCTCGCGTGTGCCCGTGCTTCCACGACAAGATCGCGTCCCCGACAGGATTTATAATATCAAACAAGTTTGATAATTGTCTCCGACATTTTTATCGTCTGCAAGAGAGGCCGTCATTATCAGATTCATTTTCTTTCAATTGCATGATCTGCACGTGATTATCGACATGGTGAAAAACGACCGACTGGAGTTTTTTGTCTCTTCCTGTGCCCGTGCCAGTTGGTGAAACTCTTAACAAGACTAGTCGGCGACAAACATCTCCGACTCCGAAAGCGATATTTTTTTCATTTACAACCTTCCATGAATAGTTCGTTATTGGCTTGTTATCAAGGACAAAAATCGTTTCAAAGGGGTATGTATAATTATATCTATATTTCCCTAACAGCTCTTGTGGCTGAATATCTCTTTTAGGATGAAAAGTTGACGAACAGTTATTATGCATTTCAACAAAGCAAAGGTTTAGACTGTCGCCTTTACCACTTCGTTCTTGATATCGTTCCTTAGAGGCGTAATATTTAGATAGGGGCCTATGATTGTGACGAAATCAGATCTATTTATCACATTTGAGGAATTGATAGGGCCAGATTTGCAAGACGTAATTTATTATTTGGAAGTCTGAGTAAATAATTAATATGCACTGATCTTTTATTTCACAGACCCAACCTGTATCTCAAATTCATCAGAATGCAATAAGGATTATATTTTTTAAAAATAGGACTAGATCTGTGACTTGATCTTGAATGCATGAAGTGACTCACCGAAGAAAGAAAACGAAATATCTAAATACATATTTTATTGAGATTCGCGGTTGGAAGAGATTCGTATACTTAATATTCATCGCCATCGTCATTGCCCTCGCCATCATTTGAATCAATTCCAACTTCTTCATAATCTTTCTCTAGAGCAGCTAAATCTTCTCTGGCTTCAGAGAATTCACCCTCTTCCATACCTTCACCTACATACCAATGGACGAAAGCCCTCTTGGCGTACATGAGATCAAATTTATGATCAAGACGAGCCCAAGCTTCTGCAATAGCAGTCGTGTTGCTTAACATGCACATTGCTCTGTGGACCTTAGCCAAATCACCTCCTGGTACAACAGTTGGTGGTTGGTAGTTGATACCGACTTTGAAACCAGTTGGACACCAGTCGACGAATTGGATGGTTCTCTTGGTCTTGATGGTAGCAATGGCAGCATTGACGTCCTTGGGAACAACATCACCTCGGTATAATAAACAGCAAGCCATGTATTTACCATGGCGAGGATCACATTTGACCATCTGGTTGGCTGGCTCGAAACAGGCGTTGGTTATTTCAGCTACAGAAATTTGTTCGTGGAAGGCTTTTTCTGCGGAGATGACCGGTGCGTATGTGGCCAATGGGAAATGAATTCGTGGATAAGGGACCAAGTTAGTTTGGAACTCAGTGAGATCAACATTAAGAGCACCGTCAAATCTTAATGAAGCAGTGATGGAGCTGACGATTTGACCAATCAGACGATTAAGATTGGTGTACGTTGGTCGGTCGATGTCGAGGTTTCGTCGACAGATGTCGTAGATGGCCTCGTTGTCCACCATGAAGGCACAGTCGGAATGCTCCAAAGTGGTATGGGTTGTTAGGATAGAGTTGTAAGGCTCGACAACAGCAGTTGAAACTTGTGGAGCTGGGTAGATGGAAAATTCTAGTTTGGATTTCTTGCCGTAGTCGACACTCAATCGTTCCATCAACAAGGAAGAAAAACCAGATCCGGTTCCTCCACCAAAGCTGTGGAAGATGAGGAATCCTTGAAGTCCGGTGCAGTTATCGGTAAGCTTTCGGATCCTATCGAGAACGCTATCGACGATCTCCTTACCAATGGTGTAATGACCTCGTGCATAGTTATTAGCAGCATCTTCCTTACCGGTGATGAGTTGTTCAGGATGGAAGAGTTGACGATAAGTACCAGTTCGGACTTCATCTGCAATGATAAACGAAGTGAGAATATACTGACACATTGAGAATCTCGTGTTCTTCAACCTTCATGTTTATCTAGTAGACTAATATTTGTTGCACACTAATACACACGAAACTAAGTACTATGCTTCTAATGGCAATAAAACACGAACGCAGTTCACAACCATTTTGAATGTCTTCCTCGACTTCAATAAGTTGAATCTTTTAAAATGCCCTATTGTTTAAACTAGCCTTCAAATCACAATTAAAACCATTTCTTTAAATTTGATTTTAAGGCTCTGTTCAAATACTTTTGGCAACAACGAATAGCTCACTCATCCGTAACACCCAATGTCATTCTGTGACTGCATTTGTCAACGCTGAATGTTGACTGGTATTTTTATTTATCAACCTTAGTACAAAACTATAATATAAACTCTATTTGCTACATTCTAATAGGCGTATACTTTTGAAACCCAAAACTTTTAAGCAAAAAAAAAAATTATTTGGCAGTGAACGCACGACAGAAAAAAAGCAGATAGACTTAAAAAGTATAACCTTATGTTTTTGAAGTCAATTGTAAAGATTACGTAAGAATTTTTTTTAGATTGTATTCATTTTTTATCATGTGGCTTAATGTGTTAAGGGTGAAACTGTATAACAAAAGTATAATAGACACTCCTAAAGTTTGCTCTAAATATGGAATACCATTTATAGATACGATCTAAACGACAAGAGTGTACATGTATTTATAAAGACATGTACAACAAGTGGTTGGAGCTTTGCCCGAAACTTGCAAACTCTTAAAATTTCTGTGATAGTTATTGTTGATTATTGATGGCTAGCTAGAAACTTGCTGACTCTTACCTACTCTAGTTGACAGTGTTGTCAACTAACTAAGCTACTTAGTTTTTATGTAACTACCACCTGTCAACAATTGCTAGCAGAGACTAAGTAAGAGTCAGCAAGTTTATAACTAGCTGGCAAGTGTCAATAATCGCTATCTCAGGGTTAATATATGTTTTTATTTACTGATATCTCTTAGCCGAGGATCATCAAGTTTGTACCTAGCTTACTGTCGACAATAGCTATCAGAAGCTTAGTAAGGGCCAGCAAGTTTCTAACTAGATGACACGTGTCAACAATCGCTATTAGAAGCTAGCTAAGAGTTAATATATATTTTTGTTTACTGATAGCTCTTAACCGGGAATTAGGAAGTTTCTAGCTAGCCTACAAATGTCAACAATCGCCATCAAAAGACTGATAAGAGTTAATTTATGTTAGTGTTTACTGATAGCTCTCAGCCGAGAAACAGCAAGTTTCAAGCGAGCTTACAAATGTCAAAAATAGCTAGCTTAGAGTCATATATGCTATATATGTTTTTGTTTACTGAAATTTCTATCTAGCTTATTAATGTCAACAATAGCTATCAGAAGCTAAGTAAGAGTCAGCAAGTTTATAACTAGCTGACAAGTGTCAACAATCGCTATCAGAAGTTTCTAAGTGCCGATAATCGATATCAGAAGATAGATAAGAGTTAATATATGTTATTGTTTACTGATAGGTCTCAACCGAGAACCGACAAGTTTCTAGCTAATGTCAATAAAAGCTATTGGAAGCTGGATAAAATTTAATGTGTTTTTGGTTGAATCAAGCTATGTATGAGTAAATAAGCTTTTATGCTTGACGACAGTAAGTACCGGTAGCTATCTGAATCCAGTTAACAGTCTCAAGATTTCGGATTAACGTAACAAGTGCCTGTGAGATGAGCTTGATGAGTCAATCCTTTAAACACGCCACTGTTTACTTTTGAGGAAGAAACTCTCAATTCTTTACACAGGTGTATATAAACATCATCTTATTGACCTTTAATATAATTTGACCTTTCACCTTAAATAACCCGTGGAAAATATTCTTGATCATACAAACTATTTTCATCCAGAAAATTCTCCCACGAAATAGATTGAAATGAATTTCTTAATAATTTAGACTACCTACCATTTGTTCATTTTTAGTAACTGAAAGTATCGCATTAGTATTTAGTCATTAAAATTGCATAGTAGTGTGTAGGCCTTATCTTAGATTTCTCCACCCAAATTGACCTTTTACTGTGAAAGTTTTTATGTTGAATTTTTAAGGTCAGTATATGGTTCAAAGGGTAGCTTAACAATTTAGTACCTTACCCCAAAATAAACTTTCCACGCTGGGGATTTTTATGTTTGGTATCTGATTCTATTGGGTCACTTTACTCTTTAGTATCACCATGATGGTCTTATTAGCTAGATCTCGCTGCTCCTTGTATGTCATGGGTTAATGCCTCGTCCAAAACAAGTGAATTCTAAGTCTACGACTAGACGATACTTACCGACTACGGTTGGCTCCAAATCAACGAAAACTGCTCTTGGTACGTGTTTGCCAGCATCGGTTTCGCTGAAGAAAGTGTTGAACGAGTCGTCAGCAACCCCTGACGTTTTGTCACTGGGCATTAAACCATCGGGTTGGATACCATGTTCTAAACAGTACAACTCCCAACAGGCATTGCCCATCTGGACACCAGCTTGACCAACATGGATAGAGATACACTCGCGCTGAAAAAAACAAGAAACATCTTGGATCAAATTCTTGGTGCTTTTGTTTTTCATTGAGGCGAGGATCAATGGGGGCAATTCTGATTTCTGTCTAAAATACGTTTACTGAAAAGCTTTCCATCATAAATGCTCGCAAGAACAGGTCACAAACGTTCCGAACTTGGCTCGAAGTGTAGACATGGCAAAGACCGCGAACTGTGAAACTCTTGAGTAACTACATGTTTCAGATTCTGTTTAATATTTCTATATCGCCCTACAATAATTGATATATAATTGAGCACTATTTTAAAAGTGAAAATATGTTAGTATTGTATCATAGATACTCTTTGGGTCATTAGATTGAGATTGTTTATCTTGTTAGATAACATTGGAAACAAAAAACAAAATATCAGAAAACAAACAAAAGATACGAATTTGTAATCTCATTTTGAGTAGATTGCCGATACACATACAAAGGCAAGAAAACGTCTTTTATAAGCCTAATGACTTAACCTCGCGGTTTTCTCTTTCAGTCACGTTATTTATGTACCTGGCATATTTTATACGTTTTAGTAGAATGACTCAATTCTTAACTAAACTTTGGCAACATCTTGCGACTGTTTCTAATTCTTCATTAATTTGAAATATGTCACGTATTATAATAGAACACCATGACATACATAGTTTATATCATTCTTTTTTTTTATATTTACATTTCTCAACTTGCCAATTGAGTTTTATATGCAATGTTTTTGTTTGCTTGCACAGTTGTACGCTTGTACATTGCAATGGTAACAGATTTGCCTGAACTACTTTTCAGTTTCTAAAATAAGGTCTCATGATCAAACGCGTATACAGCCTGTGGCAATCTCCGTTTGTAGCTCAGATTCTCGTTATCTTGCGATAAAGATTTGTCGCGTGAGTGCAGAATTTGCACTACTACTATTGTTATTTTCATATTTAAATTTCTCGCCAACCAACTGAGTTTCATGTGCAAGGTTTCTGCTAGCTATCACTTAATGCTTGCACAGAGCCCTGGTGGCAATCTATATTTGTAGCTCAGAGCTGCCATGCATTTGGGAGCAATAACACCTTTCCCGAATCAAGCTTTAAGCGATGCCTGGTGTTTGTCCGGTTTACAAATTGCAACCGAAAGCTTGGTGATGGTTTACTAGAAATTTTGTTAAACACCAACACCAAGATGGGTTAATTTACACTGCATACAGAAATTTTGTCTCGTCTGTTCCAATATTGACAGAGTAAACAGACGAGACAACCTGTTACAACAGACGACATTTAGAATCATAGTCTTGATGTCAAATTTCACATTCCCATATACCCATCCTTCTTTATTATCCCCTGTACGACAGTATAGCATCCACTCTTGTGTTATTTCTCTTTATTTTGGGGGTTTGGACATTAAATATCTCAAAAAGATGAGGAACATCCAATCTACATACACTGTCATTTGATTAAATATGAGTGGCATATATACGTGTGTGCTATTGCATTACGACGTTGATCGTCTAAGAAATCTACAGCATGGAAGAGAGAAAATTAAAGGGATTGTAAAGAGTTTCTCTTAGAGTTTCTCTTAAAAAAAAGATTACGTGAACGGGAACACTAAACTTGTAGATTTCCACAGACGTCTGATTGAATGGTGGAAATCGACGCTATCAGTGTTCCGATACACACAATGCTGAGAAAACCTCTTTTAAACTCTTTTATTCGAGTCTTCTATGGTACAGCAAGGGCGACAAAATCAACCCCAATCTACGGATAATTAGAAACTGGGATCTATCAGCACGCATAGTTAATATATAGACGATTACATCCCTTCAATACGTTTCTGTCTAAACTTCTAGTGTCTACTGATCTTACAGAAATTTGTGGGCGTGGCCATACAACCTGTTGCACCGACCGGAATTTCAATCTTTATACCCGGCATATTTAGATTGTCACAATATTGTCATCTGCATAAAGAAATCGATTTGAAATCGATTCCGACATTCCACCAAAGTTTTATTATCAGTAGGCCTACCAACTTTTGTTTCACAAAAATAATTCCATGGATAATCTGACAAGTCAGCTCCTGGCTTTCTTTTTCCTTTTAGGACAAAGCCAGTGGCTCCCGTAAAATTGCGCTGCTATGTGAAACGCATAGGCCTATTTTCTGGAAGAAAAATAGGCTTGATCAGATTATCTGTGTGCGCTCAGTATTTCAAAACTAAAGGAAAAAAAAACTTCACTTACCATGGTGACAGTTAGTTGTTTTCAAGAAAGACCTCAATTTGCAAAGTTGTAAAAAAAATAAATAGGTAAAGTTCTCACTAGGCTTTAAGCAATCCCACGTGAGAAATGATGCATTCGTTTATTCACCTTCTCTTTTATACCACAACTTACAGACGAACACTTTTAGCCAATTTTATAGTAGACGACAATTTGCAACGATCGATACCATTGGACAATAATGACATTGAATGTTCTAACAGGTTTTCTTATTGGTTGAAAAAACTAGTCAATTCACTTTTCAGCTTCTGTCAATATTTGTTAGTGACATTTAGAAGTTAGGTCCAAATTAGGTTTGAGTTTTCTATCTCGTACTTTGATTAAGGTTGTTTGCTTTTTAAGGATATGTGCTGTTATCCGGTTTGCCGGCTTTATAAGTGTTGTAAATAATGATAGAAATTAGCATATTTTGCTAGTCACAAGGATTTATCTTTCGTAGCGTGAACAACATAAGTCTAGTGTATTTTGTATTTGAAGGTATGCAAGGTCATACGACTTCTTACCCTTGGTACAGCAGGTACATAATCATTATTTTCATTTTGATTTACAATGGAGAATGATTGCTGGAACAACAAAAAACCGAAAGAAATATTGCCAGGAACACCTGCTTTAGTTCGTTGCTTCCAATCGAGAGACCTTTAACGTGTACAGCTTGTATAATAAAACATAGTACGCACTAGCTTTCTGGAAAGTTAAGTTTAAGGGTCATAAAGAGGTGTCCTTTACTGATTTCTTAACTCGATTTATTGCCCCACATGAACGATTGACGCTTTTTCCATGTCAGCCACGCAGCCTGCTTCAATGACAGAAGGAACTGGGATGAAACAAAGAAGAAATTAGATTTACTACATAACTTTTTTATTGTAAATACTATCAAAGTATCAGATCGTAATGTTTGTAAAGTTGTCTAAAGACATGTTTGTTATATTCTGCAATTGTGTGATCACATCTATCTAATCAAAATTTAAGTCCTTTAAATACAATTTTTTACCGGGGGTCGCTCCTCCGAATACACAATTCTGCAGCCGCCACCGTGCCCCTATTCTTTATTATCGAATCCTTCATTTGCAACTCCACTATCTAAACCATTCTCGATTTTAGCTTCAAGGACTTTGCCACCATCGTGTTCTATATTCGTATCTTTCATCTCTACGTGCCGAGCGTAAATGCCTTCACGATGCTCTGAATTAAACGGCCCCCATTCTTTTGCTGGTTTAAACATCTCTCTAAAAGTCTGGAAAAAAAATAAATTTCCATTGTCACGTTTATTTATTACATACGAGCCGGACGCTTTCAATAACTATTAGTTCAGATAACTCAGATGAGGTAAGCTTATATTCATACGATTATAACCTTGACAGTGTGGCAAGTCAGGTACAGTCTGCGATATGGAAGAAATAGCTACGAGTACCTGTGTTTTCCAGTTTCTGATGAGATAGTAAAGAAAGTATCCGGGAATTAAAGCGATGGGTGTCATAGCGGCGAACCATCCAAGAACTCCCGACCATCCGGGATACACTGGTTCATCAACAATTGATTCGTAGTCGATACATTTTGATATAATACATGCCTGAAAATAAAGAAAACAAATTCTCCAAATGTCTCTGTAACTACATATTATAATGATTATGATTATGATTTTTGCCTCTATTGACCTGTACTATGTTTCAGAAAATAAAATGAATGGAGTTTTACGTCCTACTTTTCATTCAATATATTACGTTTATTTCTTTAACTACGGAAGAACTAATCATTTAATTCATTTCAAAGTACTACAGATAGCTGGCACTAATCTCTCCTTAGAGGCAAAATCTACTATCGAGACGAAAATATCCCTTTATATACCCAATACATAGCCTGTATATCCTTGATTGACCTAATGGCTAGGGATGATACACACAAAAAAAAATAAAATAAATAAATAACTAAATAAATTGTTCGCAATCACTGAACAGGAGAAATGAATTGTAACTTACGAAGATTGCAGCAGGTGTGATTATCAACCAACACCACACGAAATAACCTTTATAGATATATTTAGTAAACATATTTTCTCCAACCATCATTACTATATCTGAGGAGAACCTTTTATGACCTGAAAGCAGATGAGTGGGCACAATTGGGAAGTTTTATGGTCGACATCATGAATGACATAAGTGTAATAGTAATAGAAAACTGACATCTAGCGTAAAAGCACAATATAACAAAAGTATTTTCAGTTAAGTGGATTCTTAGGGTACAGAGTTGACAGTAGAATGTCTCAGTCGGTAACGAATTGGATTGTCGTCTACTAGGCAATGACGTGCCTTGTGCTCCAATCCTCCTCAAGATAACAAAATTCCTATTGCCACGAACAGTGTTTCTCAACGTCGGTCCTGTGTCGGCTTGAATCACCCAACGTAAATAATTTAACATGAATAACTACGTGGACTACCGAGTTCATATTAACAGAAATTTCCAGGACGTAAGCTAGTATCTAAGATTGTTACTGAAGTGTCATGTTTCAATGAAACTGAGGGCCTTACCATAAATGTAAATGATAACTATTATTTCAAAGAGTCCAGCCACCAACAGAGGGAATCCACCAATATATGTATCTAATAAATTGGTAATATAACTTCCACCCTGTCAAATATAGAATAAAACTCTATTACAATTAATTACAGTTTAGCGTAGGGCTTTTAGGGATGACTTTCCAAGGTCTGTTATCCGAGTGAAGAGGTAGCTCCAGGAGTAATTTGAGAGATTCCCAATAAAAAATCAATGCAACAGTACACATACCTGAGTAATTTGAGCAATTCCCAACAGGAAACCAATGCAACAAACACCACCTCTGAGTAAGTAGCTTCTATAATGTACTAGATACTTAGGATATGCGTCCATTATTGACATATTAAACGTTTCCACACCAGTCAGCTGTCAAAAGAATAAAAGTGTTGAGCTAGATTTTCATCTGAATGGATTTTTGAGGATGACGATTTTTGTTTATGAGCATGACACAGTGTTGGATGCTGCTGGGTTGGAGGATATGATGATGATGATAATGATAATGACAGTGTGTTGGATGCTGCTGGGTTGGAGGATATGATGATGATGATAAATATAATGGCAGCGTGTTGGATGCTGCTGGACTGTAGGACATGATGATAATGATTATGGCAGCGTGTTGGATGCTGCTGGACTGTAGGACATGATGATGATAATGATAATAATGTAGATGCAGGCGATTTGACTAATGATAGTGATAGTGACGTCACCACGGAGCATGGTGAAGGAGATGATGATGACTAGTAAGCTTTTGATGTTGCTCATAATAATGATGGTGATGATGATAATGACAGCGTGGTGGATGCTTACTTGGCTGGAGTATATAATGATGATGATTTTTGACTATGATGGTTATAGTGATTTCACCGTGGTGCACGCTTAAGGAGTAGACCGAAACATCTGTCTCTATTCCAGCCACTGATAGCTATTTGGACAGATGTCAGCTGGTGTAGAGCCCTGACAACTGTCAAAATGTCCACCAGAGACTGGAATAGAGGCAGATGTTTCGGACTAGATGAAGGAGATGATGATGGCAAGTAAGCTTTTGGAGATGATAATAATGATATTGACAGCGTGGTGGATGCTGCTGAGATGGTGACGGTAAATACTCTGTTGAGGGTGCCTATGATGATAATGAGGATAATGTGGGCCCACTATTATTTCTTTTTTAGCGAAGACTACGTTGTGATGCTGGAATGACGATTATATGTATTGCTCTTGAGAATGATACTCATGCTGATAATAGGAAAGCTATTGATGATTATTATACGGCCTGTCAGCTAAAGCCGATGATAACCTACCATAGAACTAATCCCAAGTGAAACCATCATTAGAAAGAACAAAAACGACCAGAGAGGGGCCACAGGCATCTTGGACAAAGCTTCAGGATACACAACAAACGCCAATCCAGGTCCTGAAAGAGAGTAGAACTATAACTGAAATACATAAAAGCTATCATGCAATAATAACGCTAAAGTCAATTAGAATTATATAATTTTCGTCTTATAAACGGTAAAGATGTATTTGGGAAGTAGAGACCAATCGCTACTGTCGCTATTTGCATTTGCTGTTACTCAAACGTTAAAGTTTTTTTTGTTACGTGTTAAGAGGTTACTCTACTGAGTAATATTGAACTATTTTTCTTTTACTTTTGACACATGTGTGATGTGATTAGAAATGATAAATGAATGGCCACTATTTGTTTTAAAGTTTTCTAAACTTTCTGTGTGTACCGGGAACACTGATCTCATCAATTTGCACCATTTCAATTTTCAGTCAGACGTCTTTGGTTCAAAGCAAGCGAACCTACTGAATAGGAGCAAAGACTCAACAACGAGAATACTCTCTCTCGTGATTTAATATGTAGAGCTGTGGTTAATAATAGTATCTTCCAGAGTTCAATTTCAACAGTATCGAATTGCACTTTGCCACTCTAAATGATCTCTTTTGCGATCAAATATTTTACTATGATTAACCGAATTTAAGAATATATCACAACTATCTGCGAATCAAATACAACTGTATATTATTGCCAAAACTAGAAATATGCGGCAGCCCTTGGCGGTCTACATAATACAAGTATCTAACGTCTAACAAGATTTATCTGAAGTATACAGAACCAGTAACCAGAAAATTCTGAATTGTTACCGATTATTTATTAAATGCTAATCAAAATTTTACTTGTTTAGCCAAAATTGAAATTGTGTGATTCATTGCTAATAAAATTTATCAATCTTAATCGAACCGTGGTATCCGCCTTAACTTATTTAGGTCCAACATATTATTATGTGATAATAAGCAATACCTTGAGTGGTAACATCCGGTACTTGAACGCCTTGTTCGTTGGCCATGAATCCAAGTATAGCGAATGTAGCGAACCCTCCATAGAAACTGGTCAAGGCATTGACTATAGGAATCAGTAGCGAATCTCTGTAAAAATAATAGACGACAATAAACAAAGCGGAACATCAATCGAGCCTTCATGAGAAAACATCCTCTGAACTATATCACTGTTCTTGTATGTCAAAACTCCGACATTTTGCTTACTCGCGTCATACCACGTACTCAATCACATGCTACCTTCAGATAAAAAAAAAAAATAATTCCAATATAACTGTTTTACTGGCCAGTCAATGATGAAGCCTCTACATGCCCAATATCGAAATATGAATGAAATATTTAGTGTCAGTGAGATCCTGGGATGCCAATCTAAGATATTAAGGTGTACAATGGGTGGAAATGCTATTTATTCCTATAGTTTCTAAAATCTGGCCAGCGACGGATACCCAATATGGAGGACTAGCCTGTCAAAGACGAAGCCCCTATATGGCAAATTTTTGCACAGTCCCCAGTAGTAGGGTTTTGCCGTATTTATTGATGGAATTGGCACAAACCTAATCACAGTGTGCCTTCAGATCTGTGATTATCGCAAAAATTCCAATATAATGGTATTTTCATGTCTTTTTGTGTTACTGGCCAGTCAATGACGAAGCCTCAACATGGCCAATTTTTGAAAATTGGTCGATTTTTTCCGATGGTCTCCTATTGAATTATGAATGAAATTTTTTTGTGCCAGTTAGGCCCCGAGATGCCAATCTCACATAAAATATAAGTGTAAAATGGGGCGAAATAAGACAGTGGAGGCTAACCTACTTCTATTAACTATATAACCAAATATCACAGTTATTTAAAGTTATAAATGAATAAATATTAAAACTGTGAAGATAAAATGTTAATTTTTATTCCATTACCCCATATGTATCGTCTCTTAACCCTTGTATCGCAATACGTATCGTATCGTGGCATGATTGACGATACCCAGCACTATAGATATTCCCTAGAGGTAACAAATACAGCATTGTCACAGGGATGTTTAGATTGCACTTGATTATAGAAAGTACACGATTAATAGGCAGGCGTCTAGAAGCTTGCCATTTACCAACCAATCTGCAAGACGATTGAATATAAATCTTTATAAAAAGGTATTGTTCAAAAGCGGACCTTAGACAAGTAGGAGGTTACGTCATACGATGGAAAATTTCTGGAATAACAAGGACGATTTTATGAAGTGTGAGAGAGTCGACGTTTTTAGTTTTTAACAATAAGTATGAAATTGGATTTCGAGGAATGGATATGAGTGTATTTATAGCATAGGTAATCAAAATCTCGTCCAAAGAATGGCAAAATCAAGAGTAAAAATATTATAGTAGTGGACCAAGAAGAAGTACCATCAGGTGTTTCGAAAAGAGTAAGCATTGTCTGCTTCGCGCTCGACACCGGCCACTACTATCATAGCTCAACATCATGAGAGTTTATTTTATTACATTTGTTTTCTCCCAGGAGCAATTTCAGTGATTCCCTGTAAACAACGAAAATACGAAACATGGCTACCACTATTAGGGTCCACTAGGGATGGATCAGAATATCCTGAAAAACTATCGTCCTGTTTCTAACTGCTCTTTTTAGGACAAGTTTCTAGAGAAGTATGTTCTATCGCGTTTTCGTCCTTATTTTATTACTAACAACTTGTATGGCAAATTTCAGTTTGCGTACCGAGATAAACAATATGATATGAGGTTGATCTCAAAAAGTGTCAGTGTGCTCTATAGAATCAGAATCAGTCTTAAGGCCAGTTTTGTTTGCGCTATACATGACGCCCTTAGAGGACATAATAATCCTTCACGGCCTCAATGAGTAGTTTATTTGGATTTTAGTTTGTTTTATACATTGAAGGAAATGTACAATCAATATTCAAGGTGCCAAGGACACCTCTGCCCTAATATTATGATTAAGCGTTTTTCAATATTTACTTGGTTTTATAAATTTTCCAATTTTCTAGATTTTACAGGGATTCTGTTGTAACTTTATGACACCAGGTAATTTCGCTGATGAATATATACTAATATCGACCATTCTTGAGAATTAAATTTGATGTTCATTCTAAGACGTAGTATCACTTAGAGGGTGATTTAATGCTTTTAAGCGTATCTTTATATTCTATTTGTTAGACTGTTGAGACTTATGTGTATTGGTCTTTAAACAATAAATGTTATTATTAGTACAAGGTCCAGGGCGTCACTACTCACCTAAATGTATTATTTTATGAAGATTAACGGAAACTACCCAACTGATCAAAGACCACCTCTTCTAAAATTCTCCATGAACTCCCCTTTCCGAAATTAAATATTTTTAAAACGATGTTACAACTCACCAAAGTGTACTTTCGAAATGAAGAAAACTACATTTTATTTGTGTGGATTTTATCCTAATAATGTAACTAGATTCGTTCAGTAGAAACTTTGTTTGACCATTGAAAGCAGGGCACTAGGACCTCGAGGGTGTTAATACTCACCTAAATGTATTATTTTTAAAACTATTAAAACTAGACATAGCTATCAACGCTCCACTACTTGTACTAGTGGAGTAGAAAATCTGAACGGCTGCGTCCGACCATGTCTGTAAAAAAATCGAATTGATTTGCTTTTTGACCCCGACGTTCTTATGATGATATCATCTGCTCATGAAATGGTAGAAAGAGTTTTGCTGTTTATATTTTAGTCCGAAACATCTGCAGCTTATCCAGTCTCTGATAGCTATTTTGGCAGTTTTTGGTGTATCGGTCTTTTTATATTCATGTATTGAAATACGACGGATGTTTACGACCTATGTATGTGCTTCACTTTGGGCCAATGTACACTCTAACGTTGTGAGCAATGGGGACAATGTTGCTTGCACAGGGATAATAACTACTAAATTTCAATTTCCAACGCACACTGACTGACTGTAGCACGCGGGGCTTCAGCGGGAATCGGTGCTTAATATCTCAACCCTTTAAGCAAGATAAACTGGTAATTGTGGATATTCACTCATACTCATATTGGATTTATGAGTTAATCATTGTGTAACACTTACCGAAGGCTCGGCCAGCAGTTCTACTTTAGGATTAAGGTAATAGGCGATACCGTCTTGATATCCGGTAAGAGTTACCCCCCTTATCAATAATACTGTCAGTAGAATGTAGGGTAGAATGGTAAACACATACACTGCCTGAAACAATCAAAATACCACACTCCCTTACCAATATTAACGCTATAACAAATAAATAAACCAAGTACTAACGATCCGAACCGCAAAATAAAACCCGAAATCCAAAACAACATTTTGGTGAAACATTTGAACACCAAATAACTCTGATCATAGTAGCGTTCTTAGGAAACATTAGGTGGGGGGGAGACGTGCAAGGGCCACAAAACTTCATGTTTCAATATGTAAAACGATAAAATATTTGGAAGTGGCCACGGTTGAAATTGAATTCCCATGGAACTTTTGACAGTGAATCCACAGAACATACCCAAAGTAAAACATGTTCACTTCAGAACTTGGAGAGTTTAGGTGAATTCATATAGAAAATTATCGAAACAGTCGTTTGCAAACGAACATTCAGTAAAGTGACAACTTCACAAAAACATAATGAAGACACAATTATTGTGCACTGTAAAATATTGACTCACCTTGCCGATAGATTTAACTCCCTTGATAAGAACTAAGAAAACGACGAACCATGTAAACAATAGACTTAAACATAGCCTCCATTGTACTGACCCTGCTACACTTATGCTAGGTGACAAGCCCAGAACATGGTTCCTGAAAATATAGTTCACTCTAGTGATACCAAAAACTTGTATGGAACGAATATTTGAAAATGGCTACCAGATAAACCCCCAGATGACAATTTTTCTCATAATAAGAGATTTTATAGTCTGATTTGAGTGGATTTGATTTATTATCATTTTAGTAGCCTATCCTTGAAATTATCCATTCTCGTGGAGCAAATATTATAACAGGCCGTATGTTCCACAATAACACAATACATGTTTGATTGCGTTTCTTTCTGTAATTTGCATCTATCCATCTATTATGTCTGTGTGTACCTAGCCTTAAGTCGAATTTGACCTGTTGAGCTGGAAATGTGGGCGTTTCGAAAGACTCAAAGGACCAATAATTAACTTACGTGTAATATTCTTCTCCAGCTGAAATAGTTTTACTAGGAATATAGCCATCTGAAAATATAGAAAACTTGGTCGAACATTGGTACAAAGGGACAGATTCACCAATCAATCATAAATTAGTCTCAGAAATGGGAGCTTTTAAGCTAAGTTATCAGTAATAGTGTTGACAGCTCACCGTCGAAATTTGAGCCTTCAAATCCACGTGTGTCCAGAATTATCAGCGTTTGAAAGTTGAAATGACGACATATATATACAAAAGACATACATGTATATAGAAATAGAAAGTGATATTTCTTATGTGAAGGGAATATACAATTTCCGTGCGGTTCTAGTACTTCTAGACACTATTTATATATATCCAAGAGCCAAATTAACCCTCGACCTTGGCCTTTAAACAGGACAGCTCTTTGGGTGGAAGAACGATGTCTATTTGCATGAAACAATCACAAATCATGAAGAATAAATAATTCCGACAAGTTAATGTCCGCTTCTAGCTGAATTCTAAAGATAATATTGCAGACTAGGTAGTTGTTGGAAGATGACAAGTTAACGACCGCTTTTAGCTAAAGCTGATATCCGAGACTAGGTAGTTGTTGGAAGATGACAAGTGTACGTCCCCTTCGAGCTAAACCAAACGTCTTCAATCAGAAGTTGATATCGGAGAAGACTAGGTAGTTGATAACAAGTGATAGTCCGCGTACAGCTAAAGCTGATATCGCACACTAGTTGTTGGAAGATGATTACAGCAATAGCTAATATCGCAGACTATATGAAGCTTTTGGTTTATTTAACGTCAGTTAAAGTTGATATCTTTTACCAAGGAAAACAATTATACGTACCACAATTTATATAAGTATTATTGAGATACCCTGTATCGTTCTTATTGACTCTACAGTTGCATGTGTTCCATTCGTTTAAACAGTCCGACCATGGCAGATAACTGGTGAGTGATGCGAAGAGATACTGGAAACAAGTGGCTATTACTACACTATAGTACAACATTATAATAGTCATAATACACACCATCGACATCCCCAGACCTGAAATAGAGATTTGACATTATAATGACTAGACAATAATGATGACTATGGCTAAGACGATGAAGTAGTTGGATGACAAAGATAACCATATACGCATGACCAGTGAATCCCGACTAAAATTGATCATGCCTCACTGTGCTTCAGCTACCTGAGAAGTTGTGGCTGTTGCTGTCAGGCTAATTGATTAGGATTGAAGATGACGATGGTCTTATTGGTTGATGCTTGATGGTGCTGTGTGAAGACGAAGATGATGCTACATCCACCTGATGACATAGTTATCATAATATTTGCAGTCTGATTATTCCGATGTTGGTGGTGCTATTTACAGATTATGATAACATTAGTGATGGCGATAATAATGATGACGACGATGATCCGGGATCTACCCTTTACGTTGCTGTTTTGAACTATGTTGTCTGGTTGATGTTCCCATATTGATGGTGCTGTCTGACGAATTAATGGTAATGGTAATGGTGAAAGGATTATCAGATCTACCTTTGAATATAGGACAAAGTCGCCCAGTTGCAGCGATTGCCCCTAAACTGGTGAACTGTCCAAAACTGATATCAATACAGAATAAAGGGATGCCAATTAAAACCAGACAAATAAAGTATGGCACCAGAAAAGCCCCTGAAATGACGAAAAAGATGTACATAATCACACCTATAAAAACATAGTCTGTTTGTAATTCTATGTTGCAGTCCCTCCATACCACCATTTCTATCAAAACTCAAGATATGATTCATATAATACTAGATACATGTATTTTTGGTACATTGTTGAAGCAGTTTCTCCAGGCTCGTTCCTGCTCTTCTGTTTCATTTTATACGCCCAGAAATTAATGTGAGTGTTTGTAATCAACCTTGAATAAACCCTATTGAAAATCAAAAACATCTTTGTTAAAAAGAGTTATTGATCTTGTTCTTAAAAATGCGTTCAATTTTAGCTTTAGTAAACAGCCTGTTAGGCACAATTATTGACGGATTTAGACGAAACTTAAGTTTATTGTTACCCCAAGGTGAACCCTATAGTAAATCGAAAAAAAAGTAAAAATATTTAATATGAGTTACTGCCTTTGTTCTTGATACGCGTTGCATTTCTAGATTGTAAACAGCCTAGAAGGCACAATTCTCGACAGATTTCAAATAAACTTGGTGTAATGGCTTATTGTCATAAGATAGAACCCTATTAAAAAGCAGAAAAATCGGAAAATATTAAATATGCCCTTGTTATTAAAAAGTGTTATATTTCTGGCAGGTAAACACCCACAAATTCTTGACTGATTTAGACGAAACTATTTTGCTTTCCATTTTGCTCTCCGTTACCTACCTCCACCGCTGGTATAAGTCAGGTATGGGAATCTCCACACATTGCCTAGACCTACAGCACAACCAATAGACGTCAGAATAAACTCCAGTTGACTTCCCCAGCTGCCTTTACTACTTACTCCTGGTGACTGTAATGAAAAACATTCAACTGTAGTTTACTTTGCGCATGAAATGAATTTTATGTCTCAGTGTTCTGTTTCGTTCATGGTAAATGGAATGAATTCTATATCTTAGTGCTTTGTTTCTAATATGGTAAATGAAATGAATTTATGTCCAAGTGCTCTGTTTCTTATATAATTAATAAAGATGAAATGAATTTTATGTCTCAGTGTTTTGTTTCTTTTTTGGTAAATGTAATGAATTTTATGTCTTAGTTCTCAGGTACTTATATGGTAGATGAAATGACATATATGTCTTAGTGCTCTGTTGCTCATGTGGTAAATGAAATGAATTTTATGTCTTAGTGCTCTGTTTCTTATATGGCAAATACAATGAATTTTATGTCTTAGTTCTTTGTTTCTTATATGGTAAATGAAATAAATTTTATGTCCAAGTGCTCTGTTTCTTATATAATAAATAAAAATGAATTTTATGTCCAAGTGCTCTGTTTCTTATATAATTAATAAAAATGAAATGAATTTTATGTCTCAATGTTCTGTTTCTTTTATGGTAGATGAAATGACCTATATGTCTTAGTGCTCTGTTGCTCATGTGGTAAATGAAATGAATTTTATGTCCAAGTGCTCTGTTTCTTATATAATTAATAAAAATGAAATGAATTTTATGTCTCAATGTTCTGTTTCTTTTATGGTAGATGAAATGACTTATATGTCTTAGTGCTCTGTTGCTCATGTGGTAAATGAAATGAATTTTATGTCCAAGTGCTCTGTTTCTAATATGGTAAATAAAATGAATTTTATGTCTTAGTGCTCTGTTTCTAATATGGTAAATACAATGAATTTTATGTCTTAGTGCTCTGTTTCTAATATGGTAAATACAATGAATTTTATGTCTTAGTGCTCTGTTTCTAATATGGTAAATACAATGAATTTTATGTCTTAGTGCTCTATTTCTTTTATGGTCTTGTACGTATGGAACGAAGTGAGTTTTGCGACTTTTTGTTCTATATTTATTGGAAGAATGGATATTTCGGTCAGGTTCCAAATCGATTATAATCAAATGAGTGGTTTTAGAGTTATTGCCGTTGTGTGTCAATGAGAACTTGTTCCTGTTTGAATTTGATAATTTGAAGAACTGATTTGTCTTAACCTATAAATATTTTAAAGATTATTTTTTGAGAATTCATTATCAAGCTATACTAAGACTTTATCAGCTGGTACTGGGTGTGTGTTATCTTGTCTGGTTATTCGAAAAATCAAAAAATATTTATTTCCACCTAATCAATTGTATGAAATGAAATTTACTTTACATACTATGGCCCCTAATTTCAAATAAATTTCAATCCATTTCTATCGAGATTACACCGGTTTAATTAGGGTACTTACCGACATTGTGTAGCCTTTAGTAGGATAGCCACTTAGGATTGCATTCTACTTTTTGGATTTCAGATATGATACTTGAAACGTCTTTGGCGATCTCCTAATTATTATTTTCGAAGGATTGCCTATCCACCAACTGACCAACTTTCCAGCACTCTGTCTTTGTTCACTCAACTACAAGCTGCAAATGCGGATTTTCGTTGTTATCCAATCCGAATTTAACTGTGTTGAAAGAAGCCTCAGCAATGAGCCTTTCAAACATATCATGCAAAAGTTTGTGGATCAATATACTTGCTATGCACTAGTAATAGACAATTGGCTAGTCCCAGTTTTGAAATAACTCCTTTTTTCCCGTGACACGCACTTAGCTGACATTGTCATTTATTGAACGGTTATTAAGACATTTTATGGAGGGCAACGTGTGGAAAATTATGGGTTTACCTCGAAAGGAAAAAATAAGAAATGAATGAGTTTTACATACTACTTTAACGTGCACAGTCTGTAGGACACAGGGCTTCGGTTTAATGTCCAATCATATTGTTATGAGTGTTAAGTATTATCGAATTTAAATCGAGTTTTACATCATCTTTTGACTATAACTTAGACAATATATGGAGGGTCACTCGTTTTTATTTATCTTATTTTATCTTAACATTATTTTATTTACACGAAAAATGAAAGGGATTGGTGAACAGACTATTGCCTATATTACACCCCTCTTATGAATATAAGTTACACGATTATTTGAATACACAGTTATCTATATGAAATGAAATGGAGTTTTACGTCATGCATTTCTACACCTGATTGGGCTAGTATGAAGACGGTTAACGTCATGCAGTATGTTCTGAGGGAGATTTTTGAATTTTTCGATTGCAACTATCGATGGAATTCATTGCACAGTGAGATTCATATCCAACCGACCAGAAGTTTTTCTAGTACTGGACAAATGAGAAACAAGGTTTAATACCCAAAATAATCTAATGATACATTGGCATGTCAAAGTCTCTCTTGGTGCGCCATAAAAAGATATCAACATAAGTAAGACAGTTAGATAAATATAATAAAACTTTGAAATGATATTTATGTGTGTAACAGTAATTTTCGTCGATAAGATTTGACAGTGTCGTATATTACGGTCATAACAATGATATAGCTGAAATAACTTTGAAAGAAAGAGCAAATGTTACTGTACCGGTCACTTTTATGTGTTAGTTTGTATTCGAACAAAGGTTGCATTGTGTGCAAGAGTGTCGCCCGGAGTGACCTCGTGTGCTAGTAACGATAATGTTTGCGCTGGTATGAGGTGCAACAGTAACCTATGTGCTTGTATGTGGTACTAGATTTACTGAATAATTATCTTAGTGTTTGTAAGTGGTAGAACATCATTACCTCAATGATTATAATATGTGGTGACCCATATTCTCGTCGTTAATTTTTATTGGCAGAGAGTTTACTTCTCTACCAATTAGATTCCTTCAAACAAATTATTGCGGGAATAACCAGACACAAAATTTTAGTAACAAATTTCCTTTCTGATAATTGATGCTCAAAGTTCACGGTTGAGTTCTATGTCATATAGTGTCAATTTTCAAACAGCTCACATCTAGTTTTCAGAAGACAAATGAAAAGAATATCTTCTATAATCTTTACAACAGAATATTCATATTTATCTGAAATGGCATGCGAATCAATGCTTCGGCAAGTTTCACATCGATAGATTATCGAAAAGGTAGTTGGTGCGAAAATGCAACATTTTCGGATAATTCAATGGAGGCCATTTGAAATCACCTTCCTTTTACACCAATTGTTACGTGATTCCTGATTGGATAAACTAAATATTGACATATGGTTTGCCAAGAGAGGTTATTAGTCTCTAATGACGAGAATATGGGATCACGAGAGCAACGAATAGATTAGACAATCTACCGTTGCTTAAGGAAAATGAGTAACGCCATGACAAATGTGCTCGTATGTTGTCCAACAGTAACGCCATTACCTAATGTGCTTACAACAGTAGTAATGTCATTACTTTGGTACTAGTATGATGTAGTGCAAATGCGTTAAATCAGATGTAGGCTACTTATGTGTAGTATAGCTGACGATGTGGGAAAATAACTAGAAATCACAATATTGTGTTCGTCGCTCTGTACATAATTTAATAAAGGTTACGAAGTATATGACACTTCTGACGCCAAGTGGCCCTAAGTGATTGAGAGTTGAAGGTAGTGGGTTGCAGGATTAGGTCGTGGTTCAAAATGTTTTTCAGTAGGGCAGGTAGGCTATAAACCATAAGAGATGAATCGTTTTATTTACAAAATGGATTTACCCAGAACGTTTAAAGAACAACAACACAGATTCATTCTATGAGGTTTCTACGTTCATGCAATCAGTCATGTGTCTTTTGAGTTTTGAGTGATAAGAGTATAATATATATATTTCGGGAGGTAAATTCCCGGCAAGAATTGCAAGTTCAAAAACACTTGGCTTGTCAGAAACATCACAATTTTTCAAACAGTTGTAAAATTTAAAACTAACAACTCTGATTGGTTGATTCTGTTGTAACCCCTTATTTAATCAATCAGATTTTCGATACGATAATCTTAAGTTATGAGGATTCTTTGATCTAAAACCATCTCAATATTCATTATGCGCTTTCTCAAACAAATGCGAAATAATCCACATTCATAAATCGTCGTCATGAATATGACTCGGCGGCTGAAACTGGAAATTAATTTCCGTTGAAGTCCGGTTCTTATCGTAAGGCCCCGATGTTGGACGGAAGCGACCGACGTCTCTATCATGTATGTTGTCGTAAGTTGGTTCACGATCGCTATCATTTTCCTGCTTTTTATTCACAATCGGCTTTTTCACTATAGCATAGTCATCTTCATTAATTGTAAAATGGTCCACGTCGTCGGACGTCGCCGGAGACGCAGAATGTCGGAATAACGGCTGCCGTTCACTATTACGTACCGGACTAATGTAACGTTTTTGACCATTACTGTGCACATACTGTTGCGTTGACGGAGCCGGCGTACGTCCGTAATATTGCGGACTGTTATTTGAGTTCAGACTAGAATATGATGCATAAGGATTTACACTGCTGATGTCACTATTTCTATTGCTAGGCCGAAAGCTTGAAAAACCACTTCCGGCGCTCAAACGTTTGTCCTCGTCGGAACGAAGGTGAATAGTTGCTATTACAGTATTGTTTGGACTATTAGTGGGCACTAAAACATCATAGTGTGTTGGCGAAACGTCTCCTCCGTCAGGCGTCGAGCTAGACACATTTGACCCTACAGTATTAGTGTTCCGAATCGTCTGCATTGGTGTTTCTTCCTTGTTTCTAGGCGGCGAATCGTCCTTCCTAACGAGGACGACTTTTTCACTGGCATCTCGTCGATATCGGCCTCTGTGTCCCATTCTCTTATAACTGAAAAAGATCAATATCAAACAGACTTATCTCCCACTAGTACTAACACGTTCTAAAGACTTTACGACAAGAAAAATCAATAAAATCCCATCATATCGTGTTTGTGTTTTTATCTATCTTATGCTGGTGGATAATGGTTTTTAGAGCTATATAATTGACTCTTATTCCTATTCAGTGATGATTTCGCCTACTTTGTTTACATGTCTTGACTAAGATACTGATAATTGGACATTTATTACCTAGTTCCAAACTGATCGCTGATATCGTTAAGATTTTGCATCTGAAGTATCATATTCGCTGACCTGAAAAGTTCTATAAAGTTACTTTTTCACGACAGTGTAAGATATCCTTACCTGATAATGACCATGACTAGGGAAATGACCAGGGCCACTATTACCAGTCCAAAAAATATATACAAAAACATCATTTCTGGAAAGTAGAAAAATAATATATACAAAATTGGTATGAACAAAACATTGATAAAATGAAAGCTAAAAGAAACTTTACCACGGTTTCAAGACACCTGGGATAAAAAACAATACAATATAAATGATTGGATTGAAATGTTTTGAACAGATTTATAAGTAAACGAAACTAGAAACAGAAAATGGTTGCAAATCCAATATCAATCAGATCAGATCGCTGATGAAGTCACTGTTAGAAATAGATTCCACGGGTAAACTACACAAATACAAGTCATCACGTAGAGTTCTACGCATCGGCCTGACATCTGTCTGCCTATAACGTTGCATCAAGTTTGTTACAGTAAAGCTGGAACAACCGAAGGTTCTTGCAATACGGGCATGGGTGGCTCCATCAGTACCATTTCCAGAATTTGCTCACGTTGTTGTTATGTCAGTCGCGAATGCATTATCATCTGGGCTTTTCGGTCTATTCGTACACCCTACATCTACATGGTGAAATGAGTCAATATTCCATGAATTAAATACCATAATTTGTTAAAATAAAACGGGTATGAGCCTATCCGAAAGTTTTCAGTACATCTTGAGCTGCTCATATGTACCAGTTTGGGAACCAGGGCTTTAGGAACTCTGTCTGTGATCAAAGTTAAAAAGTATATACTCACTTAATTTACGTAAAATATGAATCGGCTTCTTATATTTAATTTGTGATTCATCTGAAAAGCAACCAAACATATGGATGAAGTATCGTGACTTTGGACATCCTTCCTTTGAGCAAGCATGTTAGCAGTGTTATACTCCTTATGTAAGTAATTGGTAAAATTGAATTACGGCATCGGCAGCACAAACAGAGTTTACCTCGGAAAACTAGAGTGTGTGATCAGTACCTTATATTTCCCCATACGCAATACCAATACAAATAACCCCCGTAACAAATCCTCCAAACTCTAATCCAAATATGGAGATCTTTAATGTATGGATGTTAAACTCTTGAACAAGGTATTTGACTCCTGAATTGATAAACATACCTGGTATCTATCTATACATGTCATTATATCTAGAATGATCCGTAGAAAAAAAGAAACAAAAAACTTTTAAGGATTATAGCAAGATTTACCTTTAGTCTGTGACTTGGTCTCGATGGTGTTATCAGGAGTGTTAATTACCTCTTGTGAGGCTATGGACGGTATACTGGTCGGTGAGACCTGGATAAAACTACCACAGGTTTCTGCAGCAGAACCATCGAAAGTGCTGATCGATGCATCGTCGGTAACTAAAATAGATATTTCATGATAGGTTCAAACCTCGATAATAGAATAAAAAATATTCAAAAGATAAATAAGTTATGTCGCTTTATAGATAGGAAATTTAGTAGTCGTCTACAATTAAAAATAAAAACAATAGTTCACTCGTACACGTGAAACAGATATATGAACGCTGTTTTCATGTCAGCCCCTGCGTTCTGCATTTCTGACTGCGGGAAACCCGGATTTGTAGTGCGATATGACAAATATTTGCATCAGGGCAATGTATCATTTCTTAATTATCGCCCATGTCATCCCAACATCCTGTAAATTATTCCATTCAGCTTTCATGCCAAGACGGAACTCATTATTAGTTTCGACAGAAATACAAGCTAGACTGATGGATCGTTCGTGTGATGCTTTTACAGAATGACAAACTGTCTTGTTTAAAGAATTTTGCTACCATCCCAAATCAGATAGGATTTTTTGGTCTATTTGGGCTAATGGCGACTGCATTATGCGTATTGATTACAGGTGTATATTGTTGAATATTTGTAGGCCATTCCTCTTTCGGTTTTTGAATTGCATTCATAGACATTCCTGGAAAGTTCTTTACACGTCTTAGTATTGTGCCTTGAAGTGGCCAACTACTAAAAATGAATCGAGGCTTCCCTTTAAACTGTTCTAACAATGTAATGATTGCATGATTGGTGTATTCAACACTGACTAGCCATTTCTCCTTATAAAATCGATAGTAAAATGGCAGGTTGAGAAGAAGATACATGACTTGTTTTGACCTGATAATTTCACCTAGATAGATGGGCGAGTGACTCACTTTAAAGAGGGGTACCCACACTACAGAATTATTTCACTAAGATAAATGGGTGATTAAAGAGGCGCATTACAGAATGATTTTACATAAAGATTGGTAGCATAACATAATAATTTTACTTTGATAAGTGGGCGAATAAGTCACTTTAAAAAGGCGCTACAGAATGATTTTACATAAAATGAATACGTGACTTACTTTAAGATAGATACACCCCTTACCGAATGATTTCACAACGAAGAGGGGTCACCGCATTAATCATTTTTATACGCCCACGTGGAATGTGGACGTATATTGCCGTCTCCCCTGTCCGTCCATCCGTCCACATTTTTTGTAGGTAGTTTTTTTTTATCTAATCTTAAAGATGGGTTCCCTTATACCATGTCCATAATTAATTCATAATTAGCTAAATAAGAAGAGAATTACCAGCAGATTTCCAATGAGTGACCCATCAAGAAATGTCAAAAAGTCTTTTTTGTTTATCCAGACTGTACATACATGGACAATTATGATTAGTTAAAACTCTCAATTATATGCAATAAGAATAATACATTATAATTCATTTTCATTATAAACACCATTAATCAAATTTGACACTACAAAATATGGAAACCCATCTTTTATGGAATTTGGTATGCCAACAGTATGCAGGTATATATTGATGAGATCTCAGTCAAGATCGATTTTGGTAATTTTCGCAAGAATAGTTTTGGAGTTATTGCCCTTGACTTAGTAACAGCGCCCCAAATTTGGCTTATAGTAAAGATAGAGAATACAGTTATTATTCGATCTTGATGAAAATATTGTTGAGATCTCAGTCGATAATTGATAATAATTGGATGAACGGTTTTAAAGTTATTGCCACTGTGCGCCGATGAGACCTTGATGAACTGTTTTTGAGGTTTGATCTAGACTTTTGATTATTTGAAAATTCATAATTAAGCCTCTTTAGACTTTGTCATCATTTCTGACAGCTGGTAGTGGGCGTATGTTACCTTGTCTGGCAAACTATCTTACAGGAATGTTTTCAGACATACGAAACGACGTAAGCAGAAGATTATTTGACTGGAATGACAAAGCCAGGTACTATGAATTTGTAATGATAAATATCTTTTCCGAAATAATCCACTCACCTTCATAAGATATTAGAAATTTGTCCGAAAAGTCCGGCTGATTTGAAGACACGAGACTACTAATATAGACACTTCCACATGACAAAATCTCCAAATTATTTTTTCGGATGTCGCAAAACGATCCTTTTTCAATCCGACCTGCGTTACACCCCGTGAACTGTATCTGTAAAAATTTCTGTTTGCAGTTCGGCATGGATTCTTTATGGTATGCTAGATGCACTATGACCCTGACTCTTGTGGCTGGAAATGGATCAATGGACCAATAACAATGACTAGAAGCTGAAGCAGTATGTTCTGTGAATCCAGGACTCAGGATGATTCCATTAGTCGGTTGAAGTTTCCGAACCGTTCCAGAGCAGACATTTTCCACTGATTTTTCTGAAAAGACAAAGCAAATGTTATTTTTGCAACATATGAACGTAAACTTAAGTCTCAAAAAGTTTTCCTTAAAATTGAAACAAATTGTTTCTACATTCTGTCCGGTGACATTTCTCGCGTAATCCCTGCTTCTATTTTTCTTCAACTGCGACTTATTAAGCAAGTGCTCTGGGAATGCCTAAAATTGACCACTTACTGGAAATGGTTGCTGAGTAAAGAGCCCAGTATACCTGGTATTCCAATTTCTGACAAAGTTACTCATACCAAATCATTTTATTGTGATCATTATTAAGAAATGTATTTGCTTGACAGAGCAAAGGTTTCTCGTCAAAGACCCGTTTTAGCCTTTGTTTAGCAATATATTTGTCCCCAGGTTTGCCAGATGAGCGATTCGTCTGGTCGCTATTCCAGACAGAAGGTCAACTTCCTGTCAGATGACATCAATACTAAATTCTCATGAGAGTTGATGTCTGAAGATGGAAGAAAGATTTTGACACAATTTGTCTGCTCAACGAAAATCATTCTTTAGGATTCAAAGAATATTTGAAATTATCTAAATTCTTGCTTTCCCAAATTCTGTCTAGATGCGAATAATGGAAAGGCGACTAAAACTTAATCTCTATATCACGTGCATGAGGAAAACCTGACGTCTAGTTTGTGGTCAATTAAGGAATAACAAAAGTTACAATAGCCTAAATGTATCCATGTCAGCATTGAATTGCCGCTACTTATATTTTGATAGCAACTTCATTAGTAGTATCAAGATGTTAGAATTTTCAGGTCTGTAATACTTAATTAGTACTTTCTTAAGTGCAGATGTACCACTCGTCAGATTTTCATTTTGGATAGTGTCACGGAATGATGAATTATGTGGTAAGTGTCGGAGTGTCGGACTCTGTCGGACTCTGTCGGAGGAACCATGACACCGCTACTTCAGGTAATTCGGTTTGAAGAAAGACACAATATTCAACATAGTTACTCAACATTTAGCTAAATGAAAACCGTATATGGACATAAACACTTCAAGCTAATGGTATTTTACACTACATTGGCTTTAAGTAGGGAGATATCATCGCAAATCGATGCTATTCAGTCCTCAGTCCCGTTTTATGAGTCTTAATGAGTTTTTATACACCATAAAATCGTAAAACAAACAGTTGAAACCATTTCTTGTATCAACATGAGAGAGCTGGAAGTACTAGACTAAATTACCGCCTCCTTATTTGAAGCTGAAGAGTTTACTTTTCGGATAAGGAGAACGAAAAGATAGCTTATTTTTTAACAATCGGAAAATATTTCGGCAAATTTCGGAAATCTATATCAAAACAACCTCTGGATTGGAAGGGAACTTCAGTTTATTTCGGAAATATTCGATAAGGAGTTCAAAGAGATGGCTTTTGTTCTTAATTCCTGACATTTTCAACAGAATTTCTGACGTGACTGTTAATCGGATAATTCCGGAGATATCCAAACAAGTCATTATTAACCTCAGACGGAACAATGCAATTTCTGACCAATATCTCTAAAACAGTCTGTGATGTCGTTGATTACATCAACATATTTATGTGTGTAAACGTTTCTTGGAGCACTATACTATTCTATATAGACTGTAATTAAACGCACCATTTATTTTCCCAAACAAATTACTCGTTTATAACCGAATTCACGTCGATTCCTGACCTCCATTTTTACTCATCGTCAATATTAATTAAGACTACATCAAGTTTAGCATCATATCATCGTCGACATTCCAAGGTGCTATTTTAGCATCGTACCATCCTCAACCATCAAGGGATCATATCGTCGATGTACCACAATACTGTTTAAACTATCCATTTGGCAGTTGTTCATTGATGCACTGATTCATTGGTCCATTGTTGGAGTAGTCCATTAGTGTAGTGGTCCATTGTTGGAGCAGTCCATTAGTGCAGTGGTCCATTGTTGCAGTAATCCAATATTGAAGTGATCCACTGGTACACTGGTTCATTAATTCAGTGGTTTATTGATGCAGTAGTTCATTGGCGCATTTATTTTGTGGTGCATCTAATAGTGGTCTATTGACTCATTAGCATAGTTGTTCATTCGTGCAGTGATCCATTTGTCAAGTGGTACAGTGGTGGTTGTTCGCTGATGCTTTGGTGCATGACAAAGAGTTCAGTGGTTCATTGACGTAGTGTAAATTGGTGCTGTGGTTCTTTGATATAGTGTCTATTGATGATGTGCTTCATTTGTGTTGTGGTTCATTGATGACGTAGTGCAGTCAGGTTGTGAGGCAGTGGTTCAGTGATGTAGTGCACAGTGATACTGTGGCTCAGTGATCCTTTGGTTCAATGATATAATGTCAATTGGTACATAAGTGCGGGAAGGTGCATTGGTTTATTGGTGCCTTGAAGATGTACTAGTCAGACCTCCTATGGCGTGATGGTAGTTTGTAGGATGCAGTCGTGATTAATATTATTTAATAATATCACCAGTAGAATATGAAATCGATGTCGTCTGCTTATACTAAAAGCTGTGAAGCGAATAATTGAATTCCTTTCATAATACATGGGTTTTAGAAACTGTAAGCTCAATGTCATTATGTGAATTTTAAACTTGCGCTCTCAGGCAGAAGAATTAATGATTAATTAATTAAGGGTTTAACCAGTTTTTATGAGCCAAAGTCCAAACCTAGCTAGGGTCAACTAGAAGAAGAAGTTTAATGCAAAAATGTATTCAAGGTTTTACATAGTTAATTTAAAGTACATTTGTACTGACATATACTAAAGTTTCAGTCTTTGTTCTCTTCATTCGATGGGTTACAAACTTCCAGTTTTAACAATTTCTTCTAGATTTTACGTCACTTGGGATTACTTCCGTTTTTTATAAGTGAGTTGAAAGGAAAAGGGATTAGACAAGTGATTAGAAAAATTTTCAAGCCACTGTTCTACATTTGATTGAATCAATGAAATGAAAAGAGTTTTACGTCCTACTGTTAATCATCAAATCATTAGATTGCAGGGTCCAGTTTTTAGCGATCCTTTCTACATCAAATTAATTTAACAATGAAATTAGCATCCAAAACAGTTGACCATGGGGTAAATTTGCCAGGACATCGATGATGCTTAAAATGGTCTCGTGTTATGTGACTATTTTTGGAATTTATTCAACAACCCCGAGGTAATTATGAAATCGCCGTGAAAACTGATTTCAAGTTTTCTTAATTAGATCAGTCTGCCTGTTTCTAACACACAGCAGACGATTCAATTATTTATCGTTCTTGTTAATTTTGCTCCATCTGGGGATTTTGTAAGACCTTGATAGTTTGTATATGAAAACAGTCTTATGTACCTCTGTTCTGTATACCTTATTGGGTTAATGAACTGAATTGGTATTTTGTGTTCATTTTTCTGTACTTTACTGGACTAATAAAATAAAATATTTTTTGTCTTACTTCACTATACCTTAAAGGACAAATGAAATGTAGTTTATTACATACCGGTATTGGTCTAATGAAACCAAATGGAAATTTGCGTCCCATCGTTCCGTTCTTATTCTTTAAGATTGAACGAAATTAACTAAATTTCAATTTGTAATTTTCTATTAGTTATTGTGCTTATAAAATAAAATGAAGTTTGTGCTTTTTGTTACATTGCAATAATCTATCTTATATCTGTATTTTTTAATAAAAATAAATACCTACTATTAATGCACACATAATCCACCAAAACATTGCGCTGTGAAACTTCCGGCTCTTCGCAGTAAACCGGTAGTACTGTCTTTAAGGCACCGGCGGAGCACTGTGATCTTGCCTCACATAGAGTATATAACGTCACGTAAGTTTCCCACGAACAAATCACCCCTTCATATTTACAAAATACTTTTTTCACATGTATAACTCCGCCGTTTAAACATTTTAACCCGGGACTATTTTCTGGACAAACATTCACTCTACAGGAAGTTGATGTGCCTGAAATGAAATTTGTTGGTATTACAGTATTGCCATAAATATACAATGATAAAAGTTGGCTGGATTCTAACAAGTAGTTTTTTTGTGCATCACACGGGATACGCTTTGAGACACGTGTCGATTGATTTTCATTCTAAAGAGTAGCCTAACATAAGACAACACTGCTTTTTGTTTTTAAATGGCACAAAATGTGAAAAAAAAGATACGGGGAACTGAATTTAAATGCGAAAACACAAACCTGTTTCACAGCGGTAATAAACATCTATTTTTCTGGCACTGACCACAAGATTGTCGCAATACACGTTCACCATAGAGCGCAGGTCGAGGTCACCACAGTATCTCTGTCCGTTACATACTGCGAATATTGTGCGGTTTATAAAGGGTGCACATGCATGACTGCCTGACCCACATTCTAGATTCTTTATGGCCACCTTTTCCCCCTCTCCACATTGGATGTCATGCCCATTGGATGAACAGATTTCAGACGAGTATAACTTATCTGAAATGATAGATTTAAATAATTAATGTGTCATGTAACTTATTTTTTGAAGGGTCCTTATTCATTTGTTCTTTCCTTCCTTCATTTATTCATTTATCCATGCCATACTCCATTAAGTGACTCCGTCCATTCATCTATTCGTTTGTTCATTTATTCATTCATTCCTGTCTGCATGAAAAAAATCATTCATCATCCACACAAGAATGTATTCTATATGCTTAAAACTTATTAATTCGTATATATCGTAAAAGGGAGAGAAAATTCGCCCTCGTTGGGCTAGTTAGGCAAAGAAAAATTATGCATCAATCTTCATTCCATTTCATATTCAAATCAAAAGGAATGAAGTATCAAAAGGTTTAATCAAAATGGTATGTTTGTGTGGATACTGAGCTCAAGCCAAGTCTACCGCGTGTTTCGCTGAAAGCAAGCATCTACCGGCTTTATATCGGTCTATTATTAATGAAAAGAAGGTTTTAAAATTTTAATTGGAAACTTTTTAAAGATTCAACCACACATTCGGCAATCCTCGACAGTTTCTGTGAAGTTGTATCTGACTCAGTAATGAATATTGGTGAATTCCGTTCTATCCTCTCGGGTGAGACTCTTTTCTTACTCGTTACTTCTGGTATTTAACGGTGATTTATCTATAGCGATATTAATATTGCGACCTAAACATAGTCGTTAAATTTAGCGACAGAAATAATTCTGACACTTGCATTATGTTATTCAATAACGCATTATATTATCACATTAAATCCATATCTTACAGATGTTTCGTTTTCATTCACTTAGATTACAAATACTTGTAGACCTGAAAGACCAGCATCTTATGTCTAAATTACCAGAATCGCGTGACAATTTTGAAAAAAACTATCTGTCATTCATTACTGTGATATGTTGCAGAGCGCTAGCGTAACTTTCACGGAGGCCGTATGTGAATATAATTTTTTTCGGGATTACAAAAGATGTTTTTTTTTGTGTTGAAGTTTTTTTATTTACGTTTTTGTTTACTAAATTAAAGATTTTCAGATGTGATTTTTTATTTTTCTGAATAACAATTTGTTTTTCTTTAAAAGAAAATTCAGAAAAGAGAAACTGAATCAAAATTCAGAAAATGAAATTGTATATTTAAAATAAAATCGTTTCTAGAAAAATAAAAATGATAAATCAAAAAACAAATGATTGTTTAGAAAACTTGAGTGATAATTTGATAAGCTAAGATAAGATAATATAGATAACAAAAATGATTGATTTAATATCTTAAAACATGTCCTAAACGAACCACCGTACACTTTGCTTTTAATACAATTCTCAGTGTCTATAGAATTCTAGCGATGAAAAGTAAAATTTAACTTCTTTGATGGCCTTTTACTTGACTTGAATTTCTTTGTTCGTGAACATTTGAAAGCCATCTATCTAAGTTCACAAAGAGAAGGTTTTAGTTGATAAATGTGTGAAAGTGATGCCGTTACCTAAAGATAGTTTGATAGGTCGAAATTGACGCCAATTACCCGGGATTGGAGGGAGGGTAGGTTAAGTCCATGGTATAATCTCTACATACCTTCAAAAACGAGATCTATAGTTTGAAAGTTAAAAAAAAATAGTAACTGGAATATACGCTTGTCACAGCAAAGGTTAGATTGTATCTTTGTAAGAATATGATCATTGTAGGTGCCAGACGCTGACTGTGAAGATTTATCTATAATAAAGCTAGTGTCAATATGGTTCTATTATAAAATAGGTGTTAGGTCAACAAAGAAGTTCTAACCAAATACATAGAAATATTTACTTTATAATCATTAAAACGTTCGTTTTGGGGAATCATACAAGAGCAGCCGAAATCACGCAGGAGCTAAAAGCATACAAGAGTATTAATCATATAGTCATACAAGAGTCATATCTTCCCAATATCAAGACATACGTTTGATACCTTGACATCATAATACACTTTTCTTGTATTATGGAATATAAATTACGTCCATTGTCTTATGTATTTGTAAATCATAACACAAGTTCAAAACGCAGACAAGATCTAGTAGATACAAACTCAGCCACATTGGTTACACTATTTTGTCGAGATCTCTGGTTGGCTGTATTCATTAGTGTATAATCAAATCAAGGTATAAGGCTTAGTTGGTCAATCCGATTAAAATACAGAGGGAAGATGCATGGTCATCAATATGTCAAACCAGTCAAATCAGAAGTTGGCAAATATTTTCATCTCTTTCCTAGAATGGTGTTTTGTGTTGTTTTTTGAAACCGTTTATTGACTCTATCATAGAGACTGGATGAACCAAGTCCACAACCCCCCCCCCCCCCCACCCACCCCCTCAAAAAAAACATTGAGTTACACAGGGGTTTAAGAATGCATGAGAGCATATGTAAAATGCAAAAATACCCGGGTAAGGTTTTCTATGTTGAAATTTCTTAACTATCGTCCACATATTTTAATCTTGCCAGGATGGCTATCAAGACGTTTTTAAATTTTCATATCATTACGTATATTTCCCTATGGTGTTGTGAAAACTTGACGAAAAGTGAAAATCGATATTATGTGTGACAGGTTTGTAGACAGACGGTAATTAAATTGATTTAAACCTAGATGGATACAGCTGGTCTTTACTGTTGTTTTTAAAGGCATACTACAGCTTAGAATGGCAAAAAAATGTAACCTTAGCCATCTGTAGACTGGTGTGAAAACCATACAACAGAATCCCTCTTTTATCCAAAAGAGTAAAACATGTAATCCATTAATATAAGTAATTTTGAAACACGCTTACAATATATCGTCTTATATAGAAATCTATTCTTCATAGTCATGGCACCTGGTTTATGGGTTGCTGTCCCCTAAAAAATGGTCAGTATAGATCCAGCTAACGTTTAGTGCTTTTTTCAAATGTTCAATGATAAAGGGACGGAATCGTCTGATGGTGTATTTATTTAGTAAATGAGAATTTACGTCGAATGCTCCTGGTCTATCGGACAAAGCTTTGCAGTACACAATGGCAATGGCTATATACCTCCTGAAGACTACCAGAAACAATCGATATAGTGAAAATAAATTCCTGGAATGATAAGATGTATGACAGGTTTACTGCCCTTTAGTTTTATGGTGTGCCCTTTTTCAAATGAACCACAATCAACCAAGTTGAGGTTAATTAATCGTCTAAAGTTTGACGTTATCAGGTAATAGAGTTCAATTTCAGATAAATGTTTAGAAGTATTGCCTACACTCAGTTTGTTTACAAGTTCTAAATATCAAACGGACGGAACTGACGATAATCTTAATCTAAAGTCGTTCTTCCGTGTAAAATTACGTCATGTCGGGAATACCGGGGTAATATTGACCAGTGGCGGTTCCAAAGCACCTAATAATGGCTTTGGGTCGTGGCACCGCTTCATTTTCTTCAAAAAACGATTTGGCAACAGCAGCCATCCATTCCAAAGTTCGACAGCCGCCACTTTCAAGGACCGTTGCATAAGCAAGCGTCTAACGCAGTATTGAAGTTCCATTTAATTTTTAAATTAGTTATATTTTATAAGTCGACATAATATCTATGGTATAAAGACTTTCTGTTTAGCTGTATTCAATACAATATATTCTTATCCCTATATTTACTAACTTCCGTGATACAAGACAAGAGCCCAATGAAATTAAGGTATTATACGCAGTACGAACAAGCTTGATATTGTGCATATATATGTATATGTCCGCTCCACATTCAAAGTTAGGTTTACTTTTTCCACAATATTTAAAAGACATTCAAAACGTCCATAGCTTTGTCATGTATCTTTTCTGTACATCAAAGAAGTATAGACAGCTAAACTCTTCGACGCCATATAAATGGAAATTAGTTACACGAAAAGTAAGTTAAAAGTAGGGAATAGAATGTTTCTATGACCCGGCACGTTTTCTATCACTAATAATTCATTTGACTAATGAGAACACTAGAATTTGTCTTTGATATCTTGTTCAACATCTTCTAATACACGGTAATATGTCGCAATGGCTCAGTGAGTATATGACACATGCTCGCTATTCTGAAGAATCCGGGTTCATTTCCGGCATAGGTCGCGATAAAAATCGGATTTCAACCCTGTTCCCCCTGTCAGTGATGCAGGTAAGAGGGGCTGACATGGTAAAAGCGTCTAGTCGCCCGGATGAGTAAACCAAGGCCCCGTGTGCTACAGGCAGTGCACGTTGGAAATCCCTAGACAGTTGGAAGTCGAAAAGGACTAAGACCACTGTCCTGACAAAAGTCCCCCCGTTGCACACACTGCATGTAGGTTCTCGTCTGGTCCAATTTAGTGCAGTATAGTAGGACGTAAAGCTCCATTCATTTCATTTGTGTGTGTGAGTGTGTGTTAAGGGAAGTGGCCAGAAATGTTTGAATAAAAAGCTGGAAATCTTTGGGTAAAAGATATTCTATACTAATACTAATCTGAATAACAAGACTGTCGTATCATTTTAAAGCTGTCCAATAGATCGACAACTATATAATAAGCTAGAACAGAAGGACCCCCTCGGGTCAACTCCAACTTTCGTAATTAACTGACAATGAAAGATCTCAATAATCCACGCTTTCCTGCAATTTTGATGACGGCCAGAAGATATTGGGTGATTTTCTAACTAATCCTTCAGGGGCCCCAGTGGCCAGGAATATACTAAATAAACAATATTAGCTATGTTAGAGTGTTGGTGCTAGCTAGCCAATGTCGCCAAGCCCTAAAACATAAATTAGCCTTGTAGAGTCTGAAGTGAGTAGCCGAAGTGTTTGCTTAACTGGATTGGTTTGATACCGGCATAGGTGCAAATAAACAATTTTAACTATGTGGACAAACCAAGTGAGCAAGGCACTTGGTGGTTAACCTGAAAGACCAGGGTTTTATACCGGCAAAGATACAGATGATATCATCGCAGTTTTCGCAACTCTCACCCATTCGTAAAAACGCCGGTGGATAATTAATTCAATTTTCACGGAATCAACTTTGAAAGTTTGACATCTGGTAATGATCAAACTAACACCCACATTTTACCAGTAGTGTTGAGATGTAACTAGATATGTCTGTCGTTAAAAATGGAATTTTATTTTGTAAAAGAGAATACATGTAAGATGGATTATTGAAATAAAACAACTGATGAGCTGACAAAAACAGCATAAAAAACGGAATATTTTGGCTTTTTGTATAAAAAGATAATCTCAAAATTTGCTTTGCTTTACCAAAATGCTATAACATAAATACTAATAATATACCAAAATATAAACCCTAGACCTCATTTCGATCACAGAACACTACATAGTCTGCTATCTAGTACTATGATACTAGCCCCGGTGGATCAGTGAGTTAGACGCTTGTCAGTGATGCAGGTAAGAGGGACTGACAATGGACAAAGCGCCTAGTCGTTTGGATGGGACAATAAACCGAGGCCCCGTGTGCCTCAGTTGAGATCCCTGGACATATGGAAATCGAAAAAGAGAAGGATAATGCCGCTGTCCTGGCAAAATTTCTCTCATTGACCTGCATGGAGTTGTCCGTCTTCATTAGTCCACATGGTACAGAAAAGTAGTACGTAAAACTCCTTTCATTTTTTTAAATGAAATGTATATCAGTGTCAAGACAACCTGTATGGTGCAAAATGTTATATTACCGGCTAGGCACATTCTTCTCTTTCTGCATTTGACATTTCTGTACACCCACGCTCCCCAAAATAAAACTAATCTAGTAAAGCCGGAGAGGATCGGTAAGGTAGACTACTGCTCGGTAGCTCAGGGGTCCTTGATCCAAACCCGAAATCCAGCTTTAGATTTATCAACGGTGAGCAAGTTGATAGAAAAATGACTTTTTTGACTTGACTAAGCACTTTTACATTAAGACAGCCATTTTGGTTATTAAAAATGGTAAAATTAGCCGAAATAACGAGAATGACATTCACATAGTCATATTCAGGATAATTTAAAATCTACTTTGGTAATGACATTAACACTTTGAAAGCGGAGTTATGTTAATAGGTTACCATAAATAGAAAGATAGCTTGCCAGGCAAGGTAACATACGCCCACTTTCAGCAAAGTCAGACAACGATATTTCGGTGAAAAATTATCCGATCATCACGAAAATCAATAGGGATCATCTTCATAATGACATTGACACACAAAATAAAAATCAAAAGAATCTGTAAAAAATTGTAGCCTGTAGAGTGAGCACGAGTTGCACAATATAGCTAATAGAGAAAAACGTCAAGTCAGACAACGATATTTCGGTGAAAAATTATCCGATCATCACGAAAATCAATAGGGATCATCTTCATAATGACATTGACACACAAAATAAAAATCAAAAGAATCTGTAAAAAATTGTAGCCTGTAGAGTGAGCACGAGTTGCACAATATAGCTAATAGAGAAAAACGTCAAGTCAGACAACGATATTTCGGTGAAAAATTATCCGATCATCACGAAAATCAATAGGGATCATCTTCATAATGACATTGGCACACAAAATAAAAATCAAAAGAATCCCTAAAGAACTGTAGCCTGTAGAGTGAGCACGAGCCAAATGTGAACGGACGGACGGACGGACCGACCGACGGACCGACGGGGTGATTACAATATACGCCCATCTTACGTGTGGGCGTATAAAAAGCATTATCTATAGTGGTCGGTCACTTTTTGGATTTGGACACAGACCACAAATATATTTAATTGAAGGTTACATCAAGCCGAATATGATATGATAACGTAAGATCCAGCAATGGCATTAACTCCTTGAAAGCATAGTGGTATTAATATGCAGTGTCAAATTCTAAACTAAGGGTATTTATGTTAAGTATAGAATAGAATTAAATAATTGTTCTAATAATTTTAATAGGCGGATTTGGACACAGACCACCAACAGTATTAGCAAGAATACTCTTGAATAAGATTATCTGTAGAACATGAGGCATTGAAAGCAAAGTTATGTTAATAATTGACTAAAGGCCTATAAAATCCGATAATTGGTTTATTCTGCCAACACAGTTTATATCTGACCTTCATAAATATTTAGTATCCTTTGATGTTTGTGATTTTTCTGCAGTAGACTAACCATAGCCTCCATTTCTTTGCGAGCAGGTTTTGATTATGGATGTTTTTTTCAATAAATTTCAATATGATCAATATGATTATTACACCTGTTTGCCCCAAAGTATGAGTCAGGGTGCACATATCAATTTACCGCATTTTTACCTCAGTTGCCAATAATTGAGTCTGCCCCCTATAGTCTCGGAAGGCTGGCGCTGCCACTGTGCACTTTATTTATCTTTTGCAAATTCTTCAGCACATATAAACAGTTATTGGTGTAACTGAATTTTTTCCTCGGCCTATGCTTTCTTAATTTAAATTACATATACGTCTTCGGGTCACAAAAGGACAAAAGTGTCGATTACTGCATATGGTTTAAATACATT